GAGATTTCTCTAGATCCCAGCCTGTCTCCTAAAAGACTGAAAATAATGATAAACAAAAATTAACGGCCACTTAATAACTAGTGAAGTTAACTAAGTGGGTTTAACATTGTTATATTGAATATTTATGTAGTCCTGCGTGAAAGGATCCATAAAAAATCCACTAAAATTTATAACTTTGTAAAATGTTAAATTGGGCTGTAGTCTTATTACAATATTTTGTGTTTTTAGGCGGTAAACAAGTCTCGTTACCTTTACGCATGCGTCTTGAACGATCGTTCAATATTCTTCGAATGGAAAAATTCTTCCATGCACTTCATAAGTGGCAGTGATAATCAACTGAAGTATTATAAATGATTGAATAGGTTAAAAATAAAATGCAAATAGTATGCAAGGGCAATATAAAATGCCAAACTTTTTTCAGTGGAGACAACATAAAACGCACTTGAATGTAAAGAGGGTGAAAATTTTCATGAAATATTCATTTTAATGCACTATACATTTCAAAAAAGAGCATTAATTCTTCGAGTAGTAATCTAGCTGAAATAAAAAAAGAGGATTATAATTTTTATACTGTAAGCAGTCTCATGCACCTGATTGTTGTAGGACCTACTTATAACATGAAAATCTTCCACTGACACTTAAATTCCTGGCACAGGGCGCCACCGCTGTCCTACCAGTAATAGAGCTACTTGTTTCTAAGCAACTATAAGCACACCAAACTTGACCTAACTCTTGAATTGAAAGTTGAATTTGTTTAATTACTGTTTTAATCCCACGATTACATGTAAAAATCCTGCTGTGGTAATGATTTTTCGGCTGATAACGACCGACAGCCGATTTTAATGACTTGACATAATGCTCGGGCCCGTGTTAGTGCCCTTGGAAATTCTGTATTCAGGACTAAGTGTTGGCTTTTATTGGGAAATGACCACATCTAAATGAACAGGAGGCACGTTCTAGGATGTTAAATTATTCGTAACATTTACAACAAGTATCGATCTACCATTCTCTGCCAAACCTTAAGTAAGGATACACCGGACGGCAACGTGTGTTATGTTTTGAAGAGCTTTCTTAGTCAAAGATGAGTGTTTGTTGCTTCATTCAAATTAATTACTGCGAGCATAAGTTACTTTCTAAACGAGTTCGCCAGTCGCAGTCTTACAGCTTTAAACGGAGATTACTTGCCAAACAGACGGTCTACATTGGCAGGTACGTTTCAAATGAGTACTGTAAGGGAGGTGGCTATTAAAGCAGTTAAAAGAGTTTGGGGGCCATAGATATCAACATGGCTTTTGATGAATTCAAAAGATATGAGGACGAGGAGAGCCCGTCCCGTCTGCTTCTACAGTTCGGTGAAGATACCACGGCTCACGGCGTTGGAAATGTGGTCCGTAAGAAGCAGCTCTTTCAGCGCTTGATATGGCTTGGATTGGTGATTGGTGCCATTTGCGCAACAACGTACCAACTGAGTGAGGTCTGCATTAAATTTTTTAACTATCCGTCCGAGGAAATGACGAGGACAACTTATGGCCGCACAGAAATGCCGTCTATAACTCTTTGTAACATTAATCCAATCTCACCATCTAAACAGGGTGACGCGCAGCAAAAGCAAAACACATACATTGGAGTTCTCACCATGTTGTCTTATTTGGAGAATGCCACAAAACTGAACAGGTCTGATGCTGCAAACAGTCATGTTTTTCGGCTACTTTCAGCGACTGGTTTGTACGAACATGACGAAAACGCCCCGGATGAGGTTGGTACTTCTTTTCAAGATTTTGTCATCGGTTGCACGTTCGATATGCAGCCGTGCGGGATTAACCAGTTTTCAAAGTTTGTCGATGCACAGTATTACAATTGTTACACGTTTAATGGACTAAACGTGAACGATAGTTTGGTTTCTATGTCAACGGGGCCGAGAAATGGACTCTCGCTTATCCTGTATTTGGAGAGCGACAGTGACACTCAGATTGGATCCGGTATTTATGACAAGCTGTCGAATACGGGCAATAGCGCGGGTGCGCGAGTGGTAATTCATCCCCCCAAAACATTTCCGAGCCCCACGGACATGGGGTTTGATGTATCCCCTGGGTTTTCAACTTCAGTGAGCGTACGAGCTGAGAGAAAAGAACTGAAAGGTCTGCCTTACAGTAACTGCTCTGAAGATAGCTTAACAGCTGGAACAGCCTTTCGATACACTTCAGAGCACTGCATGAAAATTTGTCAGCAACAATTTGTTATCGAACGATGCGGCTGTATGGCACCAAACCTACCTAAAGTATCAGATGAAATACCAGACAATATCACATACTGCGGCTACCTATACAGCGACGACTATGCAGCTTCACTTGATAATGTTGAGTGCGAAGACAGCGCCCTGAGAGAATTTGTATCCGACTCCAGAAACTCGGAAAAATGTGAATGTTATTCGCCATGCTCGGAGTTTTCATACCGCACAGCGCTGTCCCAATCATTTTGGCCGTTAGATTATTATGCCAACAGCTTTCTGCTAACCTACGTGTTTAACCACCCTAACTACAGTCACCTTTTGGCGTACAAGAACTTTCAGCAGCTTGGATATTCCGACCTTGGCGGAGCCATTCGCAGAAACTTTCTGCGGCTTAACGTATATTTTGAAGATTTAAGCGTGCAAGAAAACGTTGAAATAGCATCTTATGAGTTTCAAGATTTTTTCTCTGATCTTGGAGGTACGTTTGGATTCTGGATTGGTGTCTCCATGCTTACTTTGTGTGAGCTTATTGAGCTATTGGTACGAGTGTTTTATTTTGGTGTTTCTTGGTGTTTTGTGAGAAAAAAGAAACGTTCTCCCGTGATTCATGTTAGTGAAGCACCGACAAGATACCCAAGCGTCTCAGTTATTGGGTTGAATTAATTTGTGAACAGTTTTTTTTTTGTCTTGATATGTTGCATTTGTAAAGTATGTTTGGAATATTTGACTTGATACTTTTCGTGTCTGATTTTATGTTCAGCCCTAACTTTGACTGTGATATTGGGTCAGTTTGAGACGTTTGATGTTGGAATAACACCAACCAAAAATATCAGTCATTGTCTGTAAATACTCAAGATTCAATGCATTTAGGAAAAGAAGATACTAGAAAAATGTTTTACTTTTACAACAACAACAAAAAAGCACCACAAATTTCACAAAAAAGTTGCGCAAAATATTTGAGTTTTAAAAAAATATTTTTATATTTCGTATTGATAAGCTTCCACTATCAGTCGATGCAGTCTTTGGGTTTGTTTTTTCTGACGGAACGTTTTTTTTCAAGGAATTAAATTTCTGAATATATCGTATAAATTCACGCAAGACGGAGGCTACGTAGATGTTTTGAAATTTTTAATTATAAAATTGCAATTATCAATTTGCGATCAACATAGGAAATATTTCCATTTTTTGTTTGTTGTGAATATGAGACTGTTAATACATAATAATTTTGATTTTAAAATTTTAATATTACCTACAAAATGCGTGTCAATTTTTCCGTTAATTAGGTCTACCATTAGATTGATATACTCTTTTTGCGTAACCCAGCAATCAAGTAATTATCTTTTTAAAATTACTGTCATGGAATTATCCATGTGCTCGTTCTATATCGGGTAGCCTGTGATTACGTGTTTGATATAAATTACATCTCAGTAGCTGTAGAATAACGTGTCAGTGTCAAGGTATCTTTGTCCTCTCTTGAATTATTCTGGTGAGTATTTGTGAGTAATTAGTTCAAGATAATTTTTTTTGTGTATTTAAAAACGTGTTTTTAACAGCTGATGTATGTAAGAATGAAATAAAAGTGGACAAAGTTTCAACTTAAACTGATTAATATTAAATATGTTGAAGAATTGGCGAAGTGTTCGTGTGTAACTGAGTTTTTGTTCGTTGTTTTGACGCACGCAAGTCAGAAATATATTCAAAATCTTCTTACACCTCAAGCCAAGTTATTGGTTGGAAAAAAAACGTAAAAAAAAGAAGACAGAATCTAAGAAATGTTTTATCTCATGTTTTATCAGGCTCACTTTTACGATGCGTGCACTCATCCCACGATTACTTGTTAGACCAAGATTCATTTCTTCTACAAGTACACGTTCAAACAAATTACAGATACCATATCGATGATAAAGATAACGTAACTGCGCGACCCGTGCGCGCTGCCACTTCGCCACACCTTGTTCGTGATATAGGTATTAAGCGCGTATAAGTTATATATATATATATATATATATAGGTGCAGCGAAGGTGAACAATCGGTCTTTGTTGAAAGAATTAACAACAATATGACTAGGTTTCTAGGAATTGTTGTCGTCGTTTCTGTTTTAACAATTTGTTTGGGACTGGAGTATCCATGGAATGGTCCGTGCAGAGCCGCTTACGATGGGCAAGTCATCTTTTATATCATAGCTCAATTATAATGCTATATCATCAATATTATACTTTTTCAAATGACTCGTGCAGTTTTATTATTTTTATTTGCATCTTACCTGAACTTGTGTTTTACAATGTAACAGTGCAAAACATTATTAAGTACATTAGGTAAATACAAATTAAAATGAGATTATTGTTATTACATTACACAGTCCTTACAAAGAGTCGGAGACTAAGGAATACACCGCTAAAGCTGACTGCACTGAGGGTCGCTTTGACTGGAACTACCCCGTAGGCACAACGGTGTTTCACATGCAAAGTTCAGTTTACAAGAATTTCCAGTTTTGTTTTGAAGATTTATACGGCTCACAGCTGGCTGGATACTGGAAAATTTACGATGTCACTGGCGGCCAGAACGTTCCAATTGCTAAACCCAAGGGAAGAGGTAATTTCTTTGCCACAAAGAGGCAATCAAAAAGCGCATATTGATTTAGGTTACTGCATTTTTATCGACAAATATAAATTCAGTGGGTGAGGATCAAATTTGATGATAGGGTTAACATGTAAGCATGAATAAGACCGAAGATCTTAATATCTGTGTGTAAAAATCGTTTAAATTAAAAGTGGAAAATGCTGAATATTGAGTTCGTGCTACTTGGTTTTCAATCGTGTATTTTTCATACAACTTATCCTGACAAACATGTCCAGCTGTAATTATTTTGCAATGATTTTTAGGGGTCGTCATCTGCCGCCAGTCTAGAAATGGCAGAGTTGACCTTCGTCTGGAAGCGACAGATGATAAAACTTACGTCGCAGCGTTTGTTTACAAACTAGAGACCAACTGATGTTCCCCTTCCCACGGAGCTAAGCGCAAAGTCAGTGTATGGCATGGTGAAGACAATTTTGTGAATGCACCTTGTGAAAATTTGAAATAAACCAATGTACTTTAAAGTCTTCCTATAATTTTTTTATTCCTTTTTATAAAAGAAAAGTCCTACTTTGGCATTTCAAACATCTTGATGAAATTGATATTATTCCTATGAAATGAAGTCTATTTTTTAAATTTTGCACCTGAAGAAAGATGGTATTTATCTCAACTTTAATGCTTCGAAAAATGCTCGGCACAAGTCTTGAACCCAGGAACCTTTTTTTCACTTTGCTCACAATGGGCTGGGCTGGTAACAGATACCTCAGCTGCCTCTCAATGTAATGTCACCTCGACCGCAATAAGAATAAAGTGACTTGCATCTCAACATCTTTCATTTCATGGAAGAACCTATCCATGAGCGTTATTTACTTAGATTTTACGAAATTGACCAGTAGAAGTTAAGTCTGAGAGTTTATGGCTAAACGACAACATCGTTTTACAGTTGCTGCGGAAACGATAAATGTGCGCGCCTACGGTGTAACGACCAGGGTGTCCGTGTATCACACCAAGAAGACAGTATCGCCTTCTCCTTTGAGTGCGCCGTGCTGGTCGTACAAAGACAACCAGTGTCCTCAGAAAATAGTGGCAGAATGTCATTCAAACGCCCGTTTCAAGGTCCCTCGTGAACAAGATTATTGCAAGCCGGTTATTTTGCACGGAGACCAGTACTAAAACCACTGTTAACAGCAGGTCATATACAGCGACGTCTGCAATGGGCTGGGGACCACGTGCGTTTGCGGCCAAACCCCTGGAATCACATTGTTTTCGGTGATGAGGCCAGATAGGGAGTTTTTAGGGTTGACGGTCGAATCCGTGTCCGCCGACGTGTACGAGAGGCATAAAACGATGATTGTGCACTGCCTAAGGTGCAAGCAGGGGGTGGTAACGTCTCTGTTTGGGCAGCATATCATGTCGGTGCCCAGAACCAGTTGGTTTTTCTAGGAGGCAACCTCAATTAGGGTTCCTACAGAGACATTCTACAGCAAACAATGCTTCGATTTGTAAGAGTCATCTTCAGGAACAACTTTGTGTACCATGATGACTGCACAACCCCACATCGCGCTCGCAGAATCACTGTTTTTCTTCGAAACCAATGGGTTCAGCAACTGCCCTGGCCTGCAAACTCCCCAGATATGAACCCAATTGAAATTCTGTGGGCGGAAGTAACTCACAGAATTAATAGCTATGGTCATCGGCCGGTAAATAGTGATGAACTGCGACAGGCAAATATCACTGCGTGGAATGATATCCCCATCCAAACTCTAAAAAACGTGTCACAGGGTATGCCATGTAGGATGAGAGCGCTGCAAGCGGCTGCTGGAGCTCATACCCGCTATTGATGACTTTTCATGATTTACTGTAATGAGTTCTTTAACTGTGTAACATATCACTGTCCGGAGGCTATAATTTTCTTTAATATCTTAGCTTAAAATTAATATCAAACTGTTGATATGGTTTTCTGGGGTGTTCTTTTCTTTTGAATGACATCTTATGTCACATTTGATATTATTGACCAAAATATCTCACAGTAGAAGACTGGATATTTTTATAACTCAATGACACTTTTTTATGAATCAACCCAAAAATTTTTTAATCAGCACTCAAAAATAACAATGATAAAAAAAATTCCATATTAAGTAGTAACCCTGTAAATCCAAACCCGTCTCTATACGCTTTGATTGTCCATCTATACTCAGAAAACAATTAGGAAGACCTAAATCTATCAAACATTGGAGTTTTCTTTTCTGGTTATATCAGTATTTTAAAGATTTTTCATGGTTTCTCTATAATTTGCAATGGCAACGTTGCCATATTCATCAACCCAAAACTAATATATCGAAACGTTTTCTTCTGGATCATCATTTTTATCTCACTTTAATGCTCCCGACAGTAATTCAATACCATATCCCACCATATTTAATCATTCATCAGTTATTATGAAATTTTATTTCGCAATGACATAGGCCTCGTGCGTCTTAACATCTTATCATGAAATACATAATGTAATGTATTCTAGTATGAACGCGGCTTTGATTCCGAGCACAATCCTACCGTTACACTTGTCGCCTCATTGTGTCGTCTCTCCTATCACAATTATTTTTACATCTACCACATTTTACTATGTAAAAGGACTAGTTTTCCTTAATTATGTTATCATGTAAATTAGAGACAATTGTATTTTAAAATTGCTGTATTAAGAATATAAGAGACAATTACTGAAATAAATGTGTGCAAAATGTTACCACGTTTAAGCACATATTTAAGGAGCAAATCTAATAATAATTACCATGTCCTCACAATAAGTTGGCATGATCAGCTATAGATCTAAAGAAGTCTTTCCCCTAAAAATATTTCCATTATCCGCTTACAGACCTTAAACTCTTTAAAGATAAGAACACAGAATAATGTTTAAGTGCATTTCTGCTCTTGAAACCAGGTCAACTGTCCATGACATTTTGGTGAGAGATATGATTATGAAGTGACTTATATTAAGTACTCGATTTTGGACACATTGCCTCAGACGTGAACCCACCGCTGTCTAGATTTTATCATAGAAATAGAGTCTTCTATGATTTTATCTAATACGTTTTATTAAGAATCAACCGCCTACATACGATGTTGCGTCACTGCGAGAACATCAACCATGCTAGATCCTTGAAAACAAATAGCAGCAACTACATTATCTACATGTATTCCATCTCGGATTTTCACACCAAATCAAATTTTCCACGTAATTTTCTTACAAATTTACTTATGAATCATTGCCTGACCATCCCAGCATTTGGAATAAATGTGTTATACCATTTAAAGTTACATAATTTATTTTTAAATATTTCACGTAACATTTCAAAGGAAAAATATCAACACCTGACACGTTTACAGGTCTGGATAGGGAAAGATTAACAGCTTTGCAGGAAATGTAGACGGTTTTAAAAGTGGACAGTATACCTCAAATAGATGAACCATGGAGTTTATATTACTACGCACTAGTTCATCAAATACGTTTTGGGTTTTTATACGTTGGCCTATATTACTGAACTTGACTGAACTCGTCCTACTTGGAAAAAAAGGGGAGGCCGTTAAATCCTGTCCCCATGGTTTTTTATGACTACAGGATTTGAAAAACTGAATTATTTAATATGTGAGGAAAATTCAAATGGAAATTAGGTTGACAGCATATTACAAGTACAGATGCTGACCTCGTTTTTAGTGTAGATGTGATTACGGTTATAACTTTGTTTGGCCAGGGTTATTATATCCACCAGCTGTAGTCTAACACACATTTGGTTTGATAACACGATTCCTTCAGATAACATTATGTATTTCATAAACTTGCTTTGCTGGCAAAACTTCTGTCCTGGTATTGACTACATGAAAATCCTGTTTAGGCAGTAATGAAGCGCATTATGTGGCATTACATATTCCATGCAAGTCAGCTAGAAAATGAGTTAAAAAGATTAATTGGGGAATCCATTAAAAAATGCTGTATTTATTTTACTAAGCACAAATTTATTAAAAATTGACATAATTACATAAATTCTAATACTTAACTACAAAATAATTTAACTCTTCTTTCATCTATAGAAGGTTCACCATAAAGGTTTTGTTATGATATATCATTAGTGTTTTCAACCTCTAATCTGCACATGTTATGTATACATATATTCTGTCACAAAATGATAAAAACAACCACATGATTACTTTAACATAAGATGTGCTCAAACGGCAGCAGTTGCCTTCATAGATCACAATAATATGTCTGTAAAAAAAATCCATGCATCTTAATACTTGCTAAAAATCACTGGAGCATGCAGCATACATAAAAATACAAAATATAACCCAATAGGTACACGTGCATCAAATCAAGCACGGCTGCAAGAATGTGCCCCAGTATACACTAAAATCCTACAATCTACTCAAGCCAATTGAGTATTTTGCTAGCTTATATTGTTCCCTCATATGGCAGTCACAGCTACCCTCTACCAGGGCGACTGAGATTTTTTTACAGATATTCACAGATATGTCTCTAGATAGATAGATAGATGGTCATTTTGGTTCAAACTCACCCTGTTGAGAAATCCCATGTGGAAACAATTATCTCTGCGCGCGCGCCAAAGGCTTTGTACTCGCTCTGCATGAGCTGAGCTTCACAACGATGTGATAACTGCTCGTTATGCAACCAGTCTAAGGCTTTTTTATCTGTCACAGAAGAGCAAGTGATTAAAGTCAGAGCAATTACTGTCTTGATTGCTGTCACGCAGACTTAGACTGGACCTGCTAAGTGGCAGTGCCTGAGCAGTTATGCAAACAATTACCAGCCATGTAATCAGCCTTGAGGTTTCTCAACAGGGTGAGTTTGAACCAAAATGACCATCTATCTATCTAGAGACATACTGTATCTGTGAATATCTGTGAAAAATCTATAAGTCGCCCTGGTAGAGGGTAAGTCACAGCTATGTGTGTTGTCAAACCATACTTCAGGAAAGTGGAAGACCATTCACACCTGTTCACACAGGTGATATTTTATCTATCAACAAACAATATAAAACATTATTCAATGTTAAATTTCATTCTTGTAAACACTGTTAAAAGCCCCACTACAGCAAATTTCACTGTAAACCCCTAATAAGGCTACTTGAAATATTAAACATAACATTCTGCAAGAATATTATTTTGGCAAGGAGATCCACATCACCCGAAGTCTCAGAGTGCTGACTGCCTTGCTCCTCCACAAAGTCTTCGCCTCACAGCACTGTTACATTTCACAGACAGATCAGCAAAACCTGAAACTAGGGGTGACCAATCAAGTAAAAAAACTTTAAGACTTCAATCCAGTATAAGATACGCTTGACCTTAAGAAGGTAAATATGACACTGATATGATAACATGGTACACCTCGCAACATCTTTCAACTTCTCATTATTTCTCCTTCAATGAAGATGTACTGACCAGGGCTTAAGGGCCAATTCTGAAGTAGCACATTTTCACTGTGGTACATCCAAGGCAAGACATATCAGATTTTTAACAGCTAGTTAAGCAGCCTTGTGCAATAGCTATGTAGAACTTGTCTGTCCACACTGCTTATATGACTAGCTCCAGAATAATCTTATAATAATCTTTCACAGCTATTGCTCCTTTGTGCTATCAATCAATAAGATGGGGACTAATTCCTTGATTGCAATACATCTAAAATGCTTTCAAGCTTGAGCTGTTTTGTTTTAGTTTTTCATCTATAATGATGCACTTACATAGACGTTGAATGAGAAGATTCCGGGGTGGACACAGGTGTGGTCAGTTGCTGGCTAGGACCAGGAGCCCCATCAGTCACTGCATCATCCAGCAAACTCTCCAAATGTTCAACTATTTTATATCCCCTGTTCAAAGTAGACTCCGTGGACTGCCCCTGGGGACCATAATCTGTGCTACTCCCTGTACTAGCCCCAGGCACCGGTACTGTAGCACTGTTCAAAGAGCTACCAATGGAAGCCTGGCTCTGTGCAATGTTAGCCCCGGGGCTGGGCTCCCTGCTTCTGCTGTTGCTCCCATCAGTTTGGGATATAACCTCTTCCTGACTAGGTGTACCCCGCCCATTGTCTTGCCCTGTTTCACTCACTATCTGAACTGTTACTGTATTTGCATTAACGGAATTACCGTTGGCATCCGGAGACATGGAGAGAGGAAGTCTTGGCCTTGTGGGCGACCCCAAAGTCCCAGCATGGGATCTGTATGTTGGTGGCCTGGAGGAGGGGTAATCCTCCCCTAGCTTAGGAAAAGTGATATGAAGTCCTGGCCGTATTGTGCTATTGTGAGATCTGTATGTTGGGGGCGGCGAGCTAGGAAGACTGCTATTGTCCCCATTGGCACATTGGGAAGATTGCTGCATTTGTGCTAGCATCAACTGATGTTGGTATTCCTGCATAGAGGCATTATAAGATGGTGGTGGCCTTCTGTATCGAAATTCAGGATATATCAACCCTGGAAAATATATGAAAAACCATTGTTATAATATACTATAAACTCTATCTACTTGACTGGGAGTTATTGACTGAATAAACCACAAAAAAGGTATAGTAATTACAGTACCCTTTCCATCACTATTCACAGTCACTTATCTTTCCATTAAGAACAGTGTTATTATCTCTGTTAATTACTTCAGGCAGCTATAATAAAGACATAACAAGGACAAATGGCACATCACTAATTGCAGAACATGAAAAATGGGAATTAAAAAATTAACACAATTAGTACAAAGTAACATCAGTAGCAGAATGCTTGACTTAATTTGTCTATAATTTAATAACTTCATAAGTGCACTTTCAGAAAATTCAACATCTGGCAGTATAGTTAAACACATTTTAAGAAATATTGGCTTTTGGGTCCAAGCAAGAATCCATTACCAGTCCAATCCATTGGTGATGCATTCTAGATCCAAGTTGATACTAGATACATAGTATTAATCACTCTTGACAAAATATCTAACAATGGGCTACTAATTGACAATGCAATATTCAAAGCTAACAGCAGAGTATCTGGGGCCTATGTAGTCGAACAATAAGTAATAATAAGGCCTGAGGAAAATTATATCCGTTTTACAACACTACGTAAATGAATCATCTCCATGAGAACAGACAATAGAGACTGATCAGATCATTAGCGGCCACCTGCCACTAACACACAATCATATGTTGTGCCATCATTGGATATTACTGTCATACTTGTATTTGCTAGTGTACAGTTTCCAAAATATTTCTCATCATTTCCAAACTCAGCATTTGCAAACTGTCCAATATTGATGTTTTATAGTTGTAGCAATTGTTTTAATTAACGAAACAGTGCCAAATGTGGTTTAATTTTTTTTTACCTTTTTTAAAAATTAAAAGAATGGTCTATTATAATAGGCACTTTTTCTATGCTCAACTTTTTGAGTAGTGAAAAAATGTCTCTCAACTTTTCTTGCAAACACAACCGAATCTCAATGGTAATAAATCACATACCCATATATGGTAACTGAGTTCTGTGGCAGTCAGGTCTACATGAATTATAACTCTATAATTTATCCAAAAATCTGAATTAACCCACACTGAGTCTATTCCTAGCAGACCATCCTCTCCGAACAGACATCAAGAGATAGCAATCTTAAACACCCAGTGCCTTATTAGGCTTGAATGACTAAAATCAAGGAGCTGACAATCTAAACTGTGGGTGTGGTATTTCTTCATGACAGTGAGGCATCAGGAAAACAATGTGTCATCTAAATACAAGAAAGGCTGTACATGCACTATTTACCCCTTTTGGCCTGAAATTGCCAAGACATACGATATGCATTTATTTTCTAATGGGCATTCCTCCTCCCACAAAGAAGAAATTATGACCTATAACTAACCAAACCCGACTCTGATGTCTTTTATGAAATGGCTTTGCAGGCAATAACTGCTTTGGTAAGGGAGACCCTTTTTTCTCTTTCCTTGAGTTGAAATTTTATACTCACTGAAATCATGGTTTGTAAGGTGTGCCTTCAAGGTTAATATAAGTGTACACATTAATAAAATTGTCACTTCTAAAAGATCCATCCTCAAATCCACAGGGTTAACATTACCCATATTTTCCAATAGTATATAAACATAACATATGCCAAATGATTCACCATATTCTGAAATATAGCTGAAAAAAGGAAGGAAAAAAAATATTGTGAGTGTTAATTTCACTGGAATTTTTTTTAATGAGTATGATTCAAAACATTGGTGCTACATTCTAATTTTAATTCTTCTAGTTCTTATTTTCCCATTCTAAAAAATCTAACTTCTGCCAGTAGATGGAATCAAAGGCCTTGCAGTGCACAAATTATTCCACATCAGACATAGGTATGACTGATGGCTTCCATATAGTCATGCCTGCCAGTTACAAAATACAACACTTATGGACTGCCCTAATTCAGCAAGACTTAAACTATATCTATCTGATAAGGACCCAGTGGTATCCATTTTCATTCTTATCACATGTTTAAGTAGCTAGATTGAGCACAAGTCCCCAGCTATGCAATTTACATCTCCATCTTGATGAAAATCTGCACCAATATGTCCTTTTCTACCACCCCCTGATCCACCTACATTTACAATTTCACCTTTACAAAACAAGAAGCCATCACACTCAAACATTACTGACAAAAGCAATGCTACATTGTTTAATTGTCAAAAAAGTACAACCTACATTAAAACAACAAACTGTGCTTTCATAAAAAAAAACTTCTCATTAAGCCACAAATGTAATAGTGACACAAAACAAATACACTACGTCTTCTGTCCTTCGGTCATTTATATTTGACTGCATTAGTCACTGCCCCAGTGTGGCTGACTAGTCAAAAATGTCTTTTTCACATGGGACTGGACAATAGTAACATAAAAAACCACAAATCTGAGACCTAGATATGACAAATGGAAACCAAGTGACCACAAGAAAAGGTTATTTATGATTGTGTTTGGAAAAGGCACTCCATTGTCTTCTAACAGCTTTAATCACTGGATACCATATCAGATACAAAAAAAGAGCTATTTTTGCACACTTTGCAGAAAAAAATTTGTGTCATTCTGTTGTGCTGTCATTTTGATACATATATATGCTTTGAATATTGATTTCATCTTTCTTCAGTAATATATTGGGAACACTACATTTTCATAATTCTGGAAGCACAGGTTCAGTTAGTCTGGAGTATAATACAAATTATAATAAGCATACTGGATATCATCATAGCAATCAAATGCATAGGAATACAATAATAAAGGGATTTCTTCTCAAGAGAGTCAAGACCAATCATCTCCAATGTGCATATATGCCTTTAAGGCACATAAATTGCAGAATGTATTTAATTGTGTGATTTGAGCATAAAAGCTAAGAGCTATACATCTCTAGATTTTGGAAAAATACATTAGGAAGTTGGGAAGATTTGGAAAGGAATGACTAATCTTATAGTTAAAAGCAGTTATCAAAAGAAAAAAAATAAATATCCTTCTTATCCAATAGGTGAATCTAGTTATATGAATGTTTGGGAATTTTTTGGGGTCAATATTTTATAGCAAAAGCAAGTCCAGTGCACTTTCCAAGTACCTGGAACAAATTACATGAGGTAGTAAAAGATACCCTTGCAAAATCACTACTGAAATAGATCACTTTGGCCCTTAATGCTTCTAAAATGTTAAGTTCACCAAACACCTGAACATATTTTACTCAACCATATAGCAGAACATTGGAAAACAGAAGACAGCCCCAGGGAAAAATAGGGAATAGGGAACCTAGGGAAAATATTTTATATATATACAAAAAAAGCATTGCACCTAAGAATACAAAGTATTGATGGTAAAGGCCACAAGAGAGAACAAGATCCTAGGTTTTACACCGAAAAAAATCAATACGAAACATTGACTTCCATGGACAGTTGGCAAGCAGTGATAACAGATATTCCCATTTGTCTGCAGAAAAGCCATTTATTCTGCTCTAACTGCCTTTGTAGGTTTATGCAACTGAAAGGCATTTTCTTTAATATCCAGTAGAAGCAGACTATGTGATTTTCATCCGACTTGGCATGTTCTTCTGCCAATCAATACAAAGAAATTCAACCAAAAGAAACTCTTGCATCGAGGTAAAACAAGTATAGTATATTTGTATGCTGAAAATATTCAGCCACACAATCTTCCTATACAGGCCTTAATAAATGAAGTGTTGTTTTCAATCTGTGAGTAACAAATAAGTGACTTTAGAATCATAATTTAATATTCATATTCCAACTCTTAGCATCAAGTTACCAATTCCAAATCACTAGTCCCCTTATTTGCCCTTTCGACACTTTCATTATGTGCTGAAGATTATGAAGAGCATATTTCACATTGTCCATGAATTTACAGAGCATAGCAATTAATAATTTCCAACTTCAAATTTAGGCAATTATGTAGGAGCTGGGTCTTGGTGAAGATGTCTAAATCATCTCCCATTTGTTAATATAGAAAAAAGTGGAAAAAATATAACTCTTTTATGATATGGAATCTCGCATAGTTCTAACATGCAATTCCTTGTACTAGTATGTATACAGTAACTACTTTATCTTTTCAATGGGCATTTATTATTATACCTTCAGATACATAACTTTAAAATAAAAAAATTTACATTTTTATGTAGCATTTAGAAGCATAGAGTAACCTGCTTTTTAATTTTGTTGCTACCACTAAATGGCAGTTATTTCCCCCATTGAAAAGATCAAGTAATTACCGTCTCCTGCCACATTGTAAATAAATCTTTAAGTTAGTGGAAAAAAGAGCCTGAATCACAAGAGACCAGAATGAAAGCTGAAAAAAAAAACTTTACAAACTGTTTGAAGTCAATAGCTTGATGCTTGGAGTTAGTATTGGCAAAATCTGTTCAAATTTATTCAGTGAGCAAAGTCACCAATTCACGAACGACAATAATCATTTATATGGCCTGTCAAAGCAATGAAAATTTGGCACTATTCTTTTGGACTTTTTTTGACAAAAAAAAAAAAAAAATTAATGTATAGACCTATACTAACCTGCATACCAGTTGAACCCCCTATCTGGAGCTCGCAGCCTTCCTCTGTGAAATTGTCGTGTGTTATACTCCCCCAGACCAAATAAAAGATGACAAGGCTCATGATCAGCTGGTGTACACTTCCAACCAATTCCTACCACCAAGACCAACATGACCCCAAGACCTGGAAAATAACAATAAAAAGGCAAATTAAATTTTTTCAACCAATAAAGAAAGGTATAAACATCACGTTTGCTTCTAAAGATAAATAAATGAACAAATAAGTAAATAAAATAATTTTCAAAAAAAAATAATAATAATAAAATAGAATTATACCTACAGATAAGATGAAAAATTTAAAAAGTGGCAGAGTTCTCAGTTGTGTTGTAAAGCAAGATTTATCAAAATTCATCACCAAAGGGGAGAAAGATCAAATATTTCATATCCTTTTTAATTTTTGCTAAGACATGTGCGGGATCTTACGAACATAAACTATATATAAAAATCTATCTTTATTACACATATATACAGCTTATCAAATCACAACTGGCACCAGTGACATATTTATTCTTTTGCTTCATCAGCTGGTTTTATTACACATCCTGTTATGGTAGGACAAAGGCCCTTTTCAAACTGTGTAGTATATTCCTCTGTATTGCAATGTTTTGATAAAAGTGTCACCTTGATAGCTTGGCTATTACGCAACAGAGTCCTCAAAACTGAGTTCCCATGCTCGACCCAGGCAGTTAACTGGATTTTAATTTATTTTAACAGTTGGAAGCAAACTTATGAAAAAGAGTTTTAAAAAACTACAGCATAATTATATGTTAAGACCAGTAAAAGTGTTGTGATACAGATTGGTATACTGTAGGATATAAAAAGGTCCAAAGACTCCTCTGCATATAATAGTAAATCATTTGTTTAAATACAAACTCCTCTATTCTCTTTCACAATGGTGTTTGCTTGTATTCCCTTGGCAGCTTATTCACCACACACTTACAATGATATGATATCTGCCTTATATGTTTATTTAATATCTGCTATACTATTACTAAGGCAGAGTAACCCAAAGAAGCATGAGGACTTAACAAGATCAATGTAATCAATACATGTTCTTGTTCCCAAATGACCTGATTTATATTGTTGAACAGGTAGGCCTAAATTGTATTCTATAGTCCTAGAAATGTGCACAAAAGAGTAATAGTCAATGTTTGTAACCTTTATAGTATATACTTCATATTGGTCAGCAATTATTAATAAACTCATTTATAAGGGGTCAATTTTTCAAACTATAAATATACTATAAATTCATACATTTATTTTACAGGTTTCATCATTAATATCAAAAGCTACTATACTTTAGCTGCTCTGTGTTCAAATGACACAAATAAAGGAGTCTATTATTACTTTCTGTGATTTTATGGCAGAATTCATTAAAAATATAGACAAGCAACTGTCAGAGCTGGGTAAATAAAGGTACAAAGCAGGTGTTTTACACAGACATACACCATGTCATATCAGAGTCACACAACATTGTTAGTCAAATATAAATAAAAAATAAGCAGCCTCTATAGTAGTGCTATATGTCATGCCATGATGTACCTATTCTATATCTTAACATTTCACATTTTATATACTGCAGAATAAGAGAGTGAATGTTAAATAGAAGGCTCAAGCATTGGAGAGTGATGTGCTCATGTCAGGAAAACCGACAGTCAAGTATTACAATGTTTGTCTTTACGAAACTGCAAATATCTGTAGAAAAAAGGACAGATGACCCAGTTTATATATCAATGCAGAGTTACCAAGTCAAAGGTTTAGCAGCATGGAAAGTGAAGTAGTACCTGCCCCATAACTTGAAAGCATCGCGCATTGCGAGCGTCTCGATTCCATAATTTGCCCATACTCACCCCATATAATACATTGTAGCCTTTATTTGATATCGCTGTTCGCAATGCGCTATGCTTTCGAGTTACGAGGCCATGATAGTGATATGCCACTGTGACTCAAACAAAACTTTAGACAAAGATACGAGGACAAATATTAGCGTCAAAACCCTCGAACTATTGTTTGGATCAGTTTTTTTTCATAAGCAAAATTAAGACTCGGAAGTCATCAAAATTTGAGCAGCTGTACATGTCAAAATTGCATAAATCTCATTCAATCTATAATTGACAGACTATATATTATAAAAGATGCCACCTGTTTCAAGGCATATCACTTACAAGTAGAGAAGATAAGGATATGCTTGACCTCCCAACAAAACTTATATATATGATCCATTGTACACATACTCTGAACATGTCTGCTTGCCTTAAGTGTTGTTCTTATTATGAAATGTTATTCTATGTGAAGTAAATAACATGTTGTTATTTTCTGAAAGGATGAACAATAGAACAGTAGGGCAAACATTTATATTTTTGTTTGGTTTAGTTAAAATCCTTATGGAATTGGCTTTTTTCTTCCCCATATTTTATTTAGTTTTGCTGCCTCTGTATAATTGTACTATTCAGTTGCATTATGCCCTGTCCAAATATAGCCTTTGTTTGGAACAATATAGCTAAGGACTTTCTGTCATAGTGCTTTGACTGATGGCTTAAGTCAAAAAGAATTAACATGACATTCATCTATCAGTCACTTCTGACCCTCTTAATAGTTTCTATTCTGTTCTTTGTGCATCACATTAAATCCATATGGAATTTGCTTATTTGTTTCATGTTAGAGACCAATTTAGTTCTGTCTTACATTTCCAAAGTGCAAGCGCTTTTCCTGGCTAAACAATCTTATCTTGCATCTTCTACTCTTTAATTTAGCAAGGAGGAACATATCCTCTCTGATAAATATACTGTGTGATATATGTACTATGTCGCATTCTAATATTGAATGTTATACTTGAAGATATTGATGAAACAGGTGGGAGTGAAACAGTTATTTTTCTTTATGTTTGTTTTTCATTGTATGTACCTGTGGTGCAGCTTTATCTTCATTGATTGTGGGCTGGCTAAAATATATGGCATATGTTAAACAGCAGTGAAAGGAAGGTATAATTACCTGTTACATATCCAAAACATGCATAATATCTGATTATGCTAAATAAGTGTTAATTTTAAGGAAGTTGTAGAGTGGTTTCTACATGTGTATATATTGGTTACCCCCTGTAATGTGGATGTTCACGCATTAATAGCCTGCCATTTTCATTATAAACCTGGTGGTAATTTAAACACCTGTCCAGCAACATCTCTGTATCAATTTTCAGTTACAGGAAGAAACCTAACATGCTGTTTCCTGCTGCAAGCTGCTGAAACATAGTTTTTTTTTNCGAAGCCTATGTGATTTTCATCCGACTTGGCATGTTCTTCTGCCAATCAATACAAAGAAATTCAACCAAAAGAAACTCTTGCATCGAGGTAAAACAAGTATAGTATATTTGTATGCTGAAAATATTCAGCCACACATTCTTCCTATACAGGCCTTAATAAATGAAGTGTTGTTTTCAATCTGTGAGTAACAAATAAGTGACTTTAGAATCATAATTTAATATTCATATTCCAACTCTTAGCATCAAGTTACCAATTCCAAATCACTAGTCCCCTTATTTGCCTTTTGGACACTTTCATTATGTGCTGAAGATTTTGAAGAGCATATTTCACATTGTCCATGAATTTACAGAGCATAGCAATTAATAATTTCCAACTTCAAATTAAGGCAATTATGTAGGAGCATTACTGGGTCTTGGTGAAGATGTCTAAATCATCTCCCATTTGTTAATATAGAAAAAAGTGGAAAAAATATAACTCTTTTATGATATGGAATCTCGCATAGTTCTAACATGCAATTCCTTGTACTAGTATGTATACAGTAACTCCTTTATCTTTTCAATGGGCATTAATTATTATACCTTCAGATACATAACTTTAAAATAAAAAAATTTACATTTTTATGTAGCATTTAGAAGCATAGAGTAACCTGCTTTTTATTTTATTTTATGTAGCATTTAGAAGCATAGAGTAACCTGCTTTTTAATTTTGTTGCTACCACTAAATGGCAGTTATTTCCCCCATTGAAAAGATCAAGTAATTACTGTCTCCTGCCACATTGTAAATAAATCTTTAAGTTAGTGGAAAAAAGAGCCTGAATCACAAGAGACCAGAATGAAAGCTGAAAAAAAAACTTAACAAACTGTTTGAAGTCAATAGCTTGATGCTTGTAGTTAGTATTGGCAAAATCTGTTCAAATTTATTCAGTGAGCAAAGTCACCAATTCACGAACGACAATAATCATTTATATGGCCTGTCAAAGCAATGAAAATTTGGCACTATTCTTTTGGACTTTTTTTGACAAAAAAAAAAAAAAAATTAATATATAGACCTATACTAACCTGCATACCAGTTGAACCCCCTATCTGGAGCTCGCAGCCTTCCTCTGTGAAATTGTCGTGTGTTATACTCCCCCAGACCAAATAAAAGATGACAAGGCTCATGATCAGCTGGTGTACACTTCCAACCAATTCCTACCACCAAGACCAACATGACCCCAAGACCTGGAAAATAACAATAAAAAGGCAAATTAAATTTTTTCAACCAATAAAGAAAGGTATAAACATCACGTTTGCTTCTAAAGATAAATAAATGAACGAATAAATAAATAAAATAATTTTCAAAAAAAAAAAAATAATAATAATAAAATAGAATTATACCTACAGATAAGATGAAAAATTTAAAAAGTGTCAGAGTTCTCAGTTGTGTTGTAAAGCAAGATTTATCAAAATTCATCACCAAAGGGGAGAAAGATCAAATATTTCATATCCTTTTTAATTTTTGCTAAGACATGTGCGGGATCTTACGAACATAAACTATATATAAAAATCTATCTTTATTACACATATATACAGCTTATCAAATCACAACTGGCACCAGTGACATATTTATTCTTTTGCTTCATCAGCTGGTTTTATTACACATCCTGTTATGGTAGGACAAAGGCCCTTTTCAAACTGTGTAGTATATTCCTCTGTATTGCAATGTTTTGATAAAGTGTCACCTTGATAGCTGGGCTATTACGCAACAGAGTCCTCAAAACTGAGTTCCCATGCTCGACCCAGGCAGTTAACTGGATTTTAATTTATTTTAACAGTTGGAAGCAAACTTATGAAAAAGAGTTTTAAAAAACTACAGCATAATTATATGTTAAGACCAGTAAAAGTGTTGTGATACAGATTGGTATACTGTACGATATAAAAAGGTCCAAAGACTCCTCTGCATATAATAGTAAATCATTTGTTTAAATACGAACTCCTCTATTCTCTTTCACAATGGTGTTTGCTTGTATTCCCTTGGCAGCTTATTCACCACACACTTAGAATGATATGATATCTGCCTTATATGTTTATTTAATATCTGCTATACTATTACTAAGGCAGTGTAACCCAAAGAAGCATGAGGACTTAACAAGATCAATGTAATCAATACATGTTCTTGTTCCCAAATGACCTGATTTATATTGTTGAACAGGTAGGCCTAAATTGTATTCTATAGTCTTAGAAATGTGCACAAAAGAGTAATAGTCAATGTTTGTAACCTTTATAGTATATACTTCATATTGGTCAGCAATTATTAATAAACTCATTTATAAGGGGTCAATTTTTCAAACTATAAATATACTATAAATTCATACTTTTATTTTACAGGTTTCATCATTAATATCAAAAGCTACTATACTTTAGCTGCTCTGTGTTCAAATGACACAAATAAAGGAGTCTATTATTACTTTCTGTGATTTTATGGCAGAATTCATTAAAAATATAGACAAGCAACTGTCAGAGCTGGGTAAATAAAGGTACAAAGCAGGTGTTTTACACAGACATACACCATGTCATATCAGAGTCACACAACATTGTTAGTCAAATATAAATAAAAAATAAGCAGCCTCTATAGTAGTGCTTTATATCATGCCATGATATACCTATGCTATGTCTTAACATTTCACATTTAATATACTGCAGAATAAGAGAGTGAATGTTAAATAGAAGGCTCAAGCATTGGCGAGTGATGTGCTCATGTCAGGAAAACTGACAGTCATTCAAGTATTACAATGTTTGTCTTTTCAAAACTGCAAATATCTGTAGAAAAAAAGGGCTGATGACCCAGTTTAAATATCAATGTAGGGTTACCGAGCCTGATACACCTAAGCCCCGTAACTCGAAAGCATCGCACATTGCGACCGAGCACAAGCACCTTGATTCCATAACTCGCCCCATATAATACATTGTAGCCTCTATGTGATATTGCTATTCGCAATGCGCGATGCTTTGGAGTTACGGGGCCCTGATAGTAATATTCTATACTGTGCCACTGTGACTCAAACAAAACTTTAGACAAAGATACGAGGACAAATGTTAGCATCATAGACCAAAACCCTCCAACTATTGTTTGGATCAGTTATTTTTCATAAGCAAAATTAAGACATGGAAGTCATCAAAATTTGAGCAGCTGTACATGTCAAAATTGCATAAATCTCATTCAATCTATAATTGACAGACTATATATTATAAAAGATGCCACCTGTTCCATGGCATATCACTTACAAGTAGAGAAGATAAGGATATGCTTGACCTCCCAACAAAACTTATATATATGATCCATTGTACACATACTCTGAACATGTCTGCTTGCCTTAAGTGTTGTTCTTATTATGAAATGTTATTCTATATAAAGTAAATAACATGTTGTTATCTTTTCTGAAAGGATGAACAATAGAACAGTAGGGCAAATATTTATATTTTTGTTTGGTTTAGTTAAAATCCTTATGGAATTTGCTTTTTTCTACCCCATATTTTATTTAGTTTTGCTGCCTTTGTATGATTGTACTATTCAGTTGCATTATGCCCTGTCCAAATATAGCCTTTGTTTGGAACAATATAGCTAAGGACTTTCTGTCATAGTACTTTGACTGATGGCTTAAGTCAAAAAGAATTAACATGACATTCATCTATCAGTCTCTTCTGACCCTCTTAATAGTTTCTATTCTGTTCTTTGTGCATCACATTAAATCCATATGGAATTTGCTTATTTGTTTCATGTTTGAGACCAATTTAGTTCTGTCTTACATGTCGAAAGTGCAAGCACTTTTCCTGACTAAACAATCTTATCTTGCATCTTCTACTCTTTAATTTAGCAAGGAGGAACATATCCTCTCTGATAAATATACTGTGTGATATATGTACTATGTCGCATTCTAATATTGAATGTTATACTTGAAGATATTGATGAAACAGGTGGGAGTGAAACAGTTACTTTTCTTTATGTTTGTTTTTCATTGTATGTACCTGTGGTGCAGCTTTATCTTCATTGATTGTGGGCTGGCTAAAATATATGGCATATGTTAAACAGCAGTGAAAGGAAGGTATAATTACCTGTTACATATCCAAAACATGCATAATATCTGATTATGCTAAATAAGTGTTAATTTTAAGGAAGTTGTAGAGTGGTTTCTACATGTGTGTATATTGGTTACCCCCTGTAATGTGGATGTTCACGCATTAATAGCCTGCCATTTTCATTATAAACCTGGTGGTAATTTAAACACCTGTCCAGCAACATCTCTGTATCAATTTTCAGTTACAGGAAGAAACCTAACATGCTGTTTCCTGCTGCAAGCTGCTGAAACATAGTTTTTTTTATTTTTCCCATTAAAGGAAATGGTATGACCTTGCCTGTGTAAAGCAATGAGGCTGGCTTCCTAATGTTTCAGTGCTCTGTATAAAAAAATAGATTTCTTTGACACCAAGGAAATTGCATTTTTTATTTTATCATCTTGTAGGTTGTCATTTTCATGTGCTGTTTTACTATTGACTAAATCTCTAAAGTGGCATGACAACAGCCAAGAATACCTATATAGTCAGCATCAAATACCATACAAATACAAAGCCCTTCAATGAAATGACCAATATAATTTCATGTTAGAGAATATGAAAAGGTCACACATTCAATGTAAAAAATCTTTTAAATATAGTCAACACTGGTAAATCTTACTAACCTCCGTTTAGATTAACAATCTGAAATGGAATTACATTCTTTGATGTATTTACATCTGAAATGTGCACTTTAAATACGACCACAATCAAATTTTCTTTCATAAATATTTATTGAATAACACCAACACCTTGAAAGAAACACCACAATCATATTGCATCAACAAGCACAAGACAAAGAAAAACTCCACTCTATGTTTCGATTAAAAAGACTGAAAATATTTGAACCGGTCCCTTTCTTTGGTATTTAAATACCTTACAGGTCAATTTTCACCTGTTCATAGACTAAACAAAATGAAATAAAATTGTCCAGAGTGCATAAAATAATAGGAACATGTGGGAGGGAAAGAAAAGATTAAAACCAGACGCATTTAAAAAGATCTGTTAGATCAAAGACCTGCATACAACAAACAGTTGCAAACCTTTCAACTCCTCCATTGACAGAAAATAAAACCATTACTTGTAGCTGTTTGTTGCAGTTTAATTCTATATATCAGACAGAACTAACACATCATCTTAAAGAACTGAAATCACATTCTTTTCAGCAAAACATCTGTTATAGAATATGTTATAACATTAATACTTCATTCCAGACTAGTTTAACATGCAAATGCAATTGGGCTCTTCCTGATCTCTGGTTAGGAATACACTTGGAACAATTTAGATCATATCTCCTTTGATATGTCATGTATTGCCCAGCGTCTTTGCCAAAAAATATCGACTTTTAAATCAACAACATAAAAAGTCCATTATTTTTGCAATTCAAAAATGCTCTGCTTATCTTCAATACATGTTTTTTAAATTCTTATCATTTTAAGTTTTTCCTTGTGCTTTTAAGGCAACCATTTTCATATACAAATTTCAAAACATACATTCTATATTAATGCAATCAAAATACTGGCATGCACTATATGTGCAAAACAATGACAGGTCCCAGATAGATGTGTCACTCCAAACTCATGCATATCTTGAGTATCAGTATCAGTGTGTGCCATCTTTACTTTAATCCCATATACAGAGCAATTCAGTTGCAAGCATCAGTGCTTAAGAGAATTACTACTAAAATATTGATTCAGCCCAAGAATGCCTCCAAAATGACAGGCTTAAAACCGCCAAAGGTGATGCAGTGACATTCTGATAATGCGTCTGGAATATCACAACCTAACACAGAACTTTCAACAATTTGGTTCCCTAATTGGGTATACTTATGGCATGGGAATCACATATATTAGATATTTTTCTACCAGCCAAACTGTTAAGAGAATTAACAAAATTGCTGGGCTCTCTCAGGTGCAATCTTTATCATACCTCTGTTGACAGAGTAACCAAACTTATCTAATGGCATGTCACTGCAATGATGGTTAGATACAAAGTTTAAAAGGCAACACACACACACACACACACACACACACTCACATACACACACGTGTGCACGCACAAACATAAAAACACACACACCAGTCTGCACATACACAAAATGCATGCTTTCTTCAATGTCATTACTGAAACCATCTACTTCTACACAATAAGAACTGTCAGCAACCTTCATGTATCTATTCACTTATGTGTGGGTGATGGAACTTGTACCTTACAAGTCTATAACAAAGTTTGGGGTTAGTCTTCTTTCTTGTGGCTTCATATGCCATCTAATAACAAAAGTTACTTGCCCCAAGGCAACAATGGAACCATAGTTACTGTTAAAAACTTGTGAATAATCCTTTAGCCTTACGTGAACAGACAGGGTAAATGATGTTTGCATATGAAGTAAAATGAGAAAGCCCCAGAGCCTGCAGTAATTCCATTTTCTTAATGGATTTGTCATTTTCTCCCATATCCAAAAGGAAAAGCCTGAATGAGCAGATTTTGAATAAAATTAGGTCTTGGTAGTGAACTGTGACATTGAAACAATTTTTTTCATGTGCTGAGTAAGAAACGAAGTAGGCATGGAACATTTACCGTACATAAATTTTGCCAAAATCAATATGATGCAGCAATATGTAACTTCTTTCAATTGCAGACATTTCTATTCATCATGAGCTAAAAACAATGTGACTTCAACTCAGGACATCTCACATATATTTGACTTTTGTTGATTATTTGTAAATATGCACCAATCAACTCAATGTTAATTTAAAATGAATTTTTTTAAATAATATAATCGTGAAATATTTGCTCTGTTATGTGACTATACAGACATGTTATTTGGGATAATAGAAGTCAATTCCACCATAGAACTATTAAAAAGAATCAAAGGAATCAAGTTTTTTTTTTATAAAACCTGATAGTTAATTTAAAAGTTTATTTAAGGAGGGGGTCTAACATGCTCCAATAGATTAAAAAAAAGTAAACAGAATAAAACAGTCTAGCCCCAGTAGAAGATGGACAAGTAGAGATGAGACAAAAGTAAGAGGGAAGGTGGCGGGGGGAAAAAACATATCAAAAACGATGACATGATCTGCACAGATGTAAAATGGGAGCAATTAAAGGAAATCTAATGTCAAAAGGGCAAACATTTATAGTACAAAGGAGTCGCTGCATTCTTTACTTATGTTAATCTTAGAGATTAGATTGACTGCTTCCACTTAATAGCGCCAGATTTCAAGATATCGCATGACACACAAAATGCCAGTCACAGTGTGACATCGCAAAAGGACCAAAAAGATTCATACAGGTATTGAGCATGCTGCAAACATTTTGACCCACCAGGTCTTATAAATAGGCCCTTGCTATCACGCATGGAATGCATTGGGCCTGACATATTACATACAATATATATTACACCAATGCCACTGGCTCCTTTACTATGTAATAAAGACATGTAAATGTATTGTTACCTGCCACATGAAAAAAAAAAAAATTGTGAAGATGAACTTACCAATAAACATAAGAGATAAAGGCAAAGAGCTTGATCCAGACATCTGTAAGGCACCCAGTATAATCCCTGTAACTACACAGCAGATTCCAAGGACAGCCAAGCTAATAAGCACCCATCGAAAAGTAGTCAGCGTTGTAAGGCAAGAAAAACAACATTCTCTGCTACAACAGAGTTTATCTGCTTCAAGATTTGTTGACTGCCTTGACCTGCGTCGCCTTCTCCCTGAGTTTGAATGACGAGAACTACGACTGCGGCGATTGTCACTTGTATTTGAAGCACCCTGCCCATGATGAGAAGATCTATGGTGACTTCTCTCTGAGCGCCGTTCCCCATTCGAGCGTGATCGATGCTGATTCTGCCGTGAAGGTGCATATGGAGGTAACATATGTGAGTTCAGTATATCTGGAAGTCGTTCACTGGGTCCGTTAGGATCCAGTCTACTTACATTGGGCAGGTTGCTTCGCGTTTGACCTCCACTCCTGTGATCACTGCCACGTCTTGGTGACAGTGAGCTGGTCACATTTGATTGACTCGGTAACTGAGTAACATCTAGATTCAGGCTAGCATTGCTGGTCAACAGTCTTCTCTCGTCACTGATTCCTATCATGTGTTCTGAAACAGCACTGACTGGTCTCGCTCCATTAGGCTGGGGTGCAGCCCGCCTCGGCTGGTCTGATTGTCTTCTAGGCACTGTGACTACACCCCCAGACATGGCGGATGGAATAGCTGAAGTTGAAATGGTAGCAGCAGACGGCAGAGTTGAGCTGTGAGTTTGTCTGCTTGAGCTGAAGTGGGCCCTGGAGGGTCCTTCGACAGCTGTCCCGGTCATGGCTTGCACTCTCACTTCCTCTGTTTGTGTTCCTACATCCTGCTGTATTTTGTCTTCTGCCCTCTGCTGCTGTGGCTGCCTTACTTCACCCTGATCCTCTACTGTGCCAGTGCCACTTTCTCCTGTTGTGCTCCCTGTTTGTACTGATGCACTGCCACCACCACCAGTACTGCTGTGACCTTCATTAGTATCAATCACATCTGGGTAATTAGCCACAGTGTGGGACATGTGGACATGTGGCTGATTCACTGCAGGTGGATTACTCTGCACATCACAAGCTGCTACAGCTGTACTTGGGTTGTCTCTGTTTACTGAACTTCCTCCACCAGTTTCAACCTCAGTATCACAAACTTTATCTCTTGCGCCTTGTGCTGGTAAGTTCCCTTCCAAGCTGGAAGCCATTTATTTATCAACAAATGACCTCATTGTTATTCACTGGACCATTTACTCCAGGTTCGTTCCTTTCTTTCCACTGTCCTATGTGTTCTGCTGAAGTATTATTTCCTTTGGTCCACAAATGACACCCTGCAAAGGATAATCATATAGCTAGGATACTGATTTAGCATTTGAAAACAATATAAAGCACTGGTCTATGTAAAGCCTATGAAAGTACCATAATATAAACAACTTCTGAATATTATTAAATCTGTATAGGACAACAGTAAGACACTTTCATCTTACATCATGTTGAAAAGGCTACACTTAACATTCCAGTCTGAGATAACATAATGCCCATATATAAACAAAAGGAAATTTAGACTTGATAGTTATCAGATAAGCTGAAAAGTCTGATAGCTCCTAGCAGATACATGTCTATTCTTTTTTACCAGTCAAGCAATGCAGCAAAGATAATGTTAAATAGTCATGAAAGCCCATTAGGTATCAGGTGGTCTAAATGTTTTATATATACTGGATAAATGCATACTCCATGGGGAGGGGGGATAGAGACCAGTGGGGACAAAGAGAACCTGAGAATGCACTATGCTGTTTGTCTTTAGGCATGTAGATTAGCATCTCCAAAAATAAATGCATATTAATGAAAGGTGACATCAAAAGAGGCACAGAGAAAAGATGGATCAACTTTTCCTGACTTTAAACTGCATATTTATCTTAAGAAATAAACAATTATTTCTCAAGAAAACATGCCAGGGCTTGTTTAAATTGAACAAAGCAAGAAATTACAATATTATAATATCAAATATAAATGAAAGGAATTGAGACAAATCTCTCTTTTCTAACATTAAAAGATAAATGGCTTGACTTTCTATAGATAATCAACATCTCATTTCAATGTTTGGAATTTAAAAATATTGATAAACAATTTGGGGATTAGATATTTATAACAAAAAAAAAATAAATAAATAAATCTTACTTATACAAGAAAAAACTATTTCTTCACTTCAAAAAATAGAAACACTGAAAATCACCGATTGAATTAAATTCAAAGAACATGTCTTAAATGTGCTGTTTTATATCATGCAGTAATCCATTATCTTTTTTATATCAAGGAAATGGTTCAGTCACGGTAGTAGCAAAACGTAACATTTTTCTACCCATCTCACAAACCATTCGCATAGTATACACCATACATTTAAAACACTGATAAATAACACACACGCTTGCTTGGCCAGTACTGAATAGTGAATAACATGCTCCTTTTAATTTTTAATAAGACCAAGACTAAGCGTGAAGCCACCAGCAAACTACTCGAACTTCAGATCCAATCACGCCGTCATGAAGGTTAAACTAAGGATCTTAAATATGTTAATACTGAATTTAACCAAATGTACGACGACTCTTATTAGCAATCGCTAGCCTTATTACCGAAGCTCAATACGGCGAAGTTCAGTAAACTCACCATGCATGGACAGACTACATGTCTCTTGGACCGCTGTAACAAGGAAATCTGCCACTGTTTACCTTTGCATGTTTGGTCGCAGCTGGGATCACGTGACAGGAAAGCGATTGCGCACTCTCCACGCACGAGTTTTTTTAGTTGAAGTTGATGCATTGTGAATCTGGAGCCCACTAAACAATTTTTTACTCATGTTTTTTTTGCGTTAGTTTGATAAATTTAATATTACTGTGTGATTATTCATCACCAAAATGTATGAAGTTCTAAAATAAAGATTTTTAATTGATGTAATGTGTCAAAATTATAGCACATTCGTGACTAGGAGTGGATTTGGGCATGCAGCGTGTTGCTAACAGTAGATTCAACGAAAGCAGCCTTTAATCATGTTAGTGACCATTCTTATATTCTTTTTTGATACATATTTTCTTTATTCTGTGTGTATTTCACAACAGTACAAAATAATGACAAATAAAATGCTATTAAATATACTTAAATTTATTCATAAAATAAATTTGGTTGTTACCTTCATCATAGAAGTACTGTAGTCTCTACTTCTATGCCTACATGTACATCTCTGTGTGAAGTGACAGTTAAGTTTAGATTTATGCAATGAACTAAAATCGTATACGTTACTGTTCTTTTTCCAAGTTTCAAAATTTACTTGATTTTCCCATATGCATCTACATTTTAACATTCATCTGATGATGAAAGGTTATCTTAATTGATGATATAATAGTATACTAGTAAATATATATTTTTAGTATTATTACAGTGTAATTATAAATAAGGTTCCGAGCCAAAGATATGCTACGAATACCTAATCTTATCCTGCCGAGCATTGTAAAAATAAACTGAAAAAAAAAAAAAAAAAAAATGATAAAACAATGTAGCAAATATATTGCACAGCTCAAAATTGAAGTGATAAAATCAATAAAGAATAAATAAATAAATGAATAATTACTATCAATTTTAAACTTTCTACTGCCCATACCAATGTAACCTTTGAATTCAATAAATAGCAATCAATATAGACATTTTTACTCTTGTATTTATAAAATAAAACATTGCTTTTTTCACCTATATGTGCAATGTGGATTATCTGGGCATTCAAATTTTAGAAGTATACAAATACAAATGATGTTAACTACGGCATCAATGGACAGATATGGTGTCTCTTCAGTGAAAGACAACAGAAATCTTTCCAAAGAGAAATATTTAATAACACAAGATTAAAGAAATTATTTCTTGAAAACATCAATCTTTAAACATCATCTTATATGCAATCTACATTTTACATTACATTTTTGTTTAGTGTTAACAAATAACTTCTGAGCATGTGTGGATGACCAAGTCACATTTTATCAATGTGACAATAATGACCCAACTTGACAAATCACATAACAGTCACCTTACTATTTTTCAAACATACAAAATACCACTTGTGGACGATATTTGGTATTAAGTGTAAATTACAAACTTCTTGTGGCAAAGATTTATATTGTAATGACACATCATTTTTATTTTATTTCTTTGGTTTCAGTCTTTGTTGCAACCATTTGTCACATATATTTTTCACAGCAGGTTGGCCTGCCCTCAGTGCAGCACCAGATATTCTTTGTACGTCCTCAACCCGCTCCTCTTTTACAGCAATCAAATAGGCCGACTTCAGTTTGCCACACAATATGTAGGCATTGATTTTGTTAGCCTGGCTCTTTATTAGCTTGATCAGACTTTCTGCTTCTTTTGCCTGCAAAATACGAAAAGGAAATAATGAAATGTGTGAAGTACATGAAGTAACTAAATGACCAAAACCTTATCAAAAGTAGTTACAATGCCTACAGACATATTTGTCACTCTGATAGCCACATCAATTTTTTTAAACTTTATGACTTCACAGGTTGGGGGGGGGGGGGGGGGGGGGGGGGAGGAGAACCCTCTTATATCCTAACCATTTCAAATTCCTTCACTGAATGTTACTTCATGGTATTGCCTCTGGAAGTTTTGACTATATTGCTTTTATAACATATCTTATCAATTCAAAAATCACAGTCCAAAATTTTTATGTACCAGAGGCAATACCATTGATTAGTGTTAAATGAAAATTTCTGGAATAACATGGACTAGTTTTCAAGAGAACCAAATTTAAAGTTTTGGAATTTTTTTTTTAATCCACTCGATATGTAGGTGTAATTTTTATAACTCCATTACATCATTAAAGTGAACAACACACCTCAGTGGCATCGTCTGCCATGACTCTAATACATGCTCCTATGACTTCGTCATAACTCTGGTCATCACATAGTCCAGACTCCTGGATACAGCCCAGTAATTGCTTTACAGAGATGAATTTCTTCTGTTTAGACAGCTGCCGGGCTACTGTGGTGTACACCAAGGTTGCATTCAACTGGAATTCCTACAACAGAAAAAGCAATTCCATCAATGACTTAATGCCATTTCTGGGTGACTAGATACATAAATGTGAACAAAAAATGTGCTGTCAAAAATATCTTTTACAACAAATCAACTTTATATATAAATACAGCAGCTTCTGCCTACCTGTATTATCCTAAATGCAATACCAAATCCATCATTAATATTTTTTCCTGCTACCATAACCTAAAATTTTGCAAACAAATTCATTTTTCATTTATTGTGGAAATATGAACAATCCAAGACAAAATGAATTTCATAAACGCACATTTTTTTTAACATAAAATTTTAAGAGTTATGAGCTTGAAGTTCTAAAAGCAAATGTGTTACTTTTTTTTTTGTTACTTTCAAAAGCAAGCATTCATCTCATTGGTTATATAATCATTTTACCAAACATGTCTTTCAAAAAGACTACAGCAAACGGAAAAATTCATCTTAAATAAAACTTCATCTCATGACCTGAACTCATTACCTCACAATCAACCATTTCATCCCTATATAATAATAATAATAATAATAATAATAATAATAATAATAATAATAAATGCATCATTTCACCCACCATGTTGACTACATCCACTTTGACATTGTTGTTTCCAAATAAAGTGGGTATTTTTCCTGGTGGGAACATGAGCTCTCCTGCTGCCGCCCCGGCATTGTAATACTGGTGTAAGAATTTAGTGACTTCCACCTGAAGGCTGATTGTGTTAATGTACCTAAAATATCAAATATTCTATAGTAATAGAATAATAAATCAAGAACAGGCAAATCTAAGGAAGAGAATTTCAATAATTTAAAAAATGCTTTTAGTGTGTCAGAAGAAAGCTGACAACTCACTAGACACTGGGGCCATTCAGAATATGGCCGACCATACTTCAAAGATGATCAGAGTATTAACTGATCTGCCGACTAAATATGGCCGACCCCAATTTAAAAGCGATGCAGCTAATTCCATGATGGTCTCCCCACCTCTACATGCACCATTGATGCAGGGACCTAGCAATTAAACCTCCGAGCTGAGATTTAATCCATTTAATGGCACGTGTAGAGGCGGGAGACCATCGGAAATCAGCGGCATCACTTTTGAAGTGTGGTCGGCCATATTTAGTCAGCGGATCAGTTAGTACTCCATTTAATTGTGCAGCAACATTTTGATATTTTACAAAGGAACCTTATTTACCCAGACACAGCAAGAGAGCAAGTAAAAGGAATTTCTAACCTTTATTTATTCTTTTTTTCTTCTAATTATGTTATAGTCAAATTAAAAGCATCACTGGTCGATTAAAATTTTCAAATCAGGTAGGACCCAGGGATATCATATATAATGTTAATACTAGGAACATGCATGGAGGAGTGCACACAGGGAGCACTCTTTCCTCTATCTCTGATATACCTATTCACTTCTTTAGGAGGTTGCAGCAGTCTCAAAGTGTCTCCACCACTTCCACCCCAGTCTGGTACCCTTCTTCCAGCAGGACCTTTCAGTCCTACCAACCATAGCTTCTGTTCCAGGTAGTCTTCCAAGTGTTGTTTGGCATCTTGTATATAGGAGAGACGGTTGTACAAATCCCCATATGATACAGCACCATGTTGGAAAGAATATGAGATGCAAGTCATGGCAGCTCTTACATAATCCTAAAGAAGAAAAATTTTACAGTGAATATATAAAAATATCCTAGCTGCCATATTCTTAAAAGAGAAAATTACAAAAATGAAGCCACATTACTTAAATAGACAGAGTTCAAATTTAAAAGAGCTAATGTTACGCATGCTCCTACTTTAGATCTATTTCATAGTTCTATTGTTGTCTTGCATGAAGTCTATGTACTAACAATATCATGCAATGGTTTTTTTGGCTCTCTCAATTAGGCATTTTTCTCTTTTCCTCATCTCTTCTAACCATAAGGGCCCTTTTTTTCAAAAATGATAACTTTAATTTATTTCATTCTGAATGGCTTTAACCCCAGCTTTCTTGCTACTGACAATGAAGATGAAACTAGACTGCAGGGTGGCAAAGCCAATGCACTGTCAAATTCTGTCACCAAATTTCTGTCAAAGAGACTCTGGTAAAAGTTATCCCTTCAACCTCTCCTGCCCCCTCCTCACATCTCTCTCTCTTTCTCCCTCACACAAGATGAACACTTTTTTGATTTTGGTATAGTGAATGGGGCAACCTCATTTCCAGACTTGTCTGAAAAGTGTATGCTAAGGCCCGATGTGTAAAGTAGAGAAATACACAACTAAAGCAAAGTTTCAAGTCTCACCTTCATGAACAACTGCAACTGGTACAACACTTGCATGTATTTTTTCTTGTTTAGGTATCTACATGCTGCTTTGAGGTAGGGTGCCCATTTCTCTAGTGTGGTGTCTATTAAGATTAGCTGATCTTGGAGCTTGGCCATTTCTCCAGTCTTCAGAGTGGGGACAAGAAGACATTCAACAAACACATCTGGTGAGCATCTCTGGAAGGCATGCAATCAATAGTTTGTATGATAATATCAAAGCTTACAGACCATATCAACGTGTTCCTTAATTAGAAGAATCAAAAACTTGCTAAGCACAAAAATATATTTTCACTTTTGTTGCTTGTACAAGGTCATATTTCCCGTGTGCCAAAATTGCTTAATTCACAAGTGTCATGTTACTCTGACAGTTTGTCAGTTCAGTCTTTTCACAAGATAATGAATACTTTTCCTCTACCTTGTCTAAAAGATATTGCACAGCCTTCATCCAATAACCATGTTTTCTATAGAAGCTAATGACGCTGCCATATGTACCATATGCTTTCAGGTAGTACAAACATTCTTGCAACTGTTGTTCACTGATGTTGGTCTCTTCATTCTGTACCTGGAAAATATGAACTTTCTGTTTGCAATACAAAATTTCAATAAGAGTGAAAAGAATTTTTAAAAACAGTTGTTCTTTTAAAAATAAGTTCTATGTCTAAGCTTTTCGCCTGCATATGTAAATTCAAATGTGTGAAAATGCAGAAATATGTACAGTAGGCATTGAAATACCTAGTATGTGCACGTGCCATAATTCTTATTTCAAACATTCATTCCACTGACAATGACAATGAAACAATTTCTCTCCATTCATGAACCTACCACAAACGGCTCAGCTATGAGACTGCTGATTGACTTCAGAGATGCCTGTAGTGCCTGGATCTGAAATGACATAAACCAATCAAAATTTAACACTTCTCATACATTCAATCACCTGACAGGTTGCAAATGAAACAGATAAATAACTACAAATTCCAGAAAAAAAAATGAGTCAGCAAAGCTGTAAAATTGGCAGACATATAGATGAAAAATAACTGATAGAAGCTGTAACACTCAAACAGTATAAAAATGGTGAACAATCAATTTGACTATGAAAGTGCACAAAATGTTTTTTTATTTTCACATTTGATGCAATATTTCATCAAGCTTAACAGCATAAACACCATTAGTTGTTAATTAGGTACTACTGCTATTATGGACATTCAGAAAATGCAACTACCATAGGGCTTCACTGGAATTCAAAGTAATGAAAAAAAAAAAATCCAATTAAGCTGAAATTCAAACCTGACCTGTATTTTGTTGCTTTGAATCAGTCCTGGTATTTTGAAGATAATAAGTCATATGGTTATCCATTACTATGTAAATTTTGTTAAGCACACAGTGAGGACAACCAATGCAGGTGATAGCAACATATCCAGAAACAAAATTTCTATCAAACAGCTTTAAATTCACTTTACTACTAACTGTCTTTGAGGCTTATGAATAATAAATTTGTCATCAATGCATTAAACTATTTCCTAGATAAATAATAACAAGAACTGTTTTAATTTTCTAACCAGTGACTACATTGTATGATTACTGACTTACTGTGTTGATTCCAGAGCCTGGTAAATTTTCTATGCATTCTACAATATCATTCAACAAATTGGAAGACTGTTGATACTGATTTTTGTCCACTGGTGCCTGTAAAAGACAGACAAATGTACTTTATGATATCAAAAATGCAAATATGTTAACCTAAGATTAAAAATTTAAGTAAAAGTAATCAGACCATTCTATCAGAACAGTTCCATTTTTATCATTATTATAACCCCATTTTATCTTGATCAGTCCAGAGTTGCCTTTAATATTAACTAAAGTTGAATAAACTACCTTCATACACCTAGAAAATTTTTCTCTTGCTGCCTGGAAGTCTCCAGTTTTTAGGCAAGCTTTTCCCCAAGCAGCCCAAACACCTGCAGGATCAAGTCCACATTTGGTTGAAATTTCCATGGCTAGTGAGAGTCGCTCATCCTCAATTAGTTTATCTCTCAGTCTCCTGCAATGATAAAATATAAAATACCAACCGCTGATCACACTCAATCCCAAGTTGCAAAGTAGTGACTATAATTCTAAAAATTCTATAAAACTAAAAAGCATTTATGTTTATGTTTGCCATGGTCTGTTCAGTACGAGACTTTCAGGACATGCTAGAATTAAGAACAGTCTTGTTAAGCAGTGGAACCTGCAGTTAAGAACAATGCCCCTAATAGAGAAACTTGGATGACAAAGATAAGGATTTATAATAACAGCCACAGCTGACATAGTTAAGAGTACCTTTAAAACATAAATACAAAATATTACTTGTAAAACATGAAAATTGTGAGTTAAAATTACAACTGCACAAAAGCTAATGAGATGAAACATTATGTATAATGTCATGTATAACTTGAAAATGCTGATGAGATCAAATTTAATATATATAGGTCCCACACCTTACTGTTTCTAACTGAGTAAGCTTCTGAAGGCTTGGAATGTGTTTACAGTGTGATGCAACCAGAAGGTTCAGCATCTCCACTCTTCCACTGTACATTTCACACTGAGCTATACCATTACTGTTCCCACATGACAAGAACTTCATCTTGGCGTTGAACAGAAGGTACTTCATCATGCTGAAATATCATTATTAAATGATTTATCAAACCTTTGATCAAAAGAAATTTAAAAAAAATTCTGAAGTTTCATTTTGAGAATAAGATACTTTAATTTCCTCACATATTTTTCCCTTAAAATATGGAATTTCAAAATGGCAGGAATTAGCAATCCTCATGCAAATTTAAAATTAAAAGATAAAATCATGGTTTAGAGTTACCTAATGACAAGGCCATAATCCACTTCAGCATGATTCTTTACAGCAAGTAATTTTGAAACATTGTCGCACAAGTTAAGCAACAACTGTCCACATTCTTTTGCATCACTGTGCAGTGCCAGGATGGATAAGCACAATGGAAGACTCGGGGCCTAAAAACAAAATATTATTATATACATTAGCAGGGGCCGATCCAGAGATATTTTCTGACAGTCTTCCAAATTATCTTTGTTGATTCATCCTCCATTTTTGACCGTCTTCCGACAGAAAGAATTAGACACCCGTCAATGTAAACTTGAAAATCTGACCGTCTTCAAGAAGACGCAGAAGACGGCCTAAATCCGCCCCTGATTAGGGTATAACATGTGTTTTTAACTTGTAGATCTTAATGCATTTTTAAAGACATCTCATTTTCAGCAGTTTTAATTTTTATACCAATACTACATTATCTAACTACTGAAATTCTGATCAAACACTCACATGTTCATAGTAAAAATCTTCTCTTAAGTTTTTGTTGTGAGTTTGGTCTTGTGTTAGCTGCCAGAAGAACTCGGACTGCTGCTGCTGATCAGTGACAGTTTTATTTATATCAGCTTCATCATCTTCATTGTCCTCCTCGATGATATTTTCTGGCGTTCTGGACAGCACAGATATGCGGGCTGGGCTTGCAGACATACGACCAGCTGACCCTGACAACCTGTCCCGCAGTCTCTGCTGCAACATCTCTTTCTCNATATGTATCTTAGGATATAAACAATTATTTCTCAAGAAAAAATGCCAGGGCTTGTTTAAATTGAACAAAGCAAGAAATTACAATATTATAATATCAAATATAAATGAAAGGAATTGAGACAAATCCCTCTTTTCTAACATTAAAAGATAAATGGCCTGACTTTCTATAGATAATCAACATCTCATTTCAATGTTTGGAAATTAAAAATATTGATAAACAATTTGGGGATTAGATATTTATAACAAAAAATTAATTAATTTAAAAAATCTTACTAATACAAGAAAAAACTATTTCTTCACTTCAAAAAATAGAAACACTGAAAACCACCGATTGAATTAAATTCAAAGAACATGTCTTAAATGTGCTGTTTAATATCAGTAATCCATTATCTTTTTTATATCAAGGAAATGGTTCAGTCATGGTAGTAGCAAAACGTAACATTTTTCTACCCATCTCACAAACCATTTGCATAGTATACACCGTACATTTAAAACACCGATAAATAACACACACGTTTGCTTGACCAGTACTGAATAGTGAATAACACGCTCCTTTTAATTTTTAATAAGACCAAGACTAAGAGTGAAGCCACCAGCAAACAACTCGAACTTCAGATCCAATCACGCCGTCATGAAGGTTAAACTAAGGATCTTAAATATGTTAATACTGAATTTAACCAAATGTACGACGACTCTTATTAGCAATCGCTAGTCTTATTACCGAAGCTCAATACGGCGAAGTTCAGTAAACTCACCATGCATGGACAGACTACATGCCTCTTGGACCGCTGTAACAAGGAAATCTGCCACTGTTTACCTTTGCATGTTTGGTCGCAGCTGGGATCACGTGACAGGAAAGCGATTGCGCACTCTCCACGCACGAGTTTTTTTTAGTAGAAGTTGATGCATTGTGAATCTGGAGCTCACTAAACAATTTTTTTACTCACGTTTTTTTTTTTTTGTGTTAGTTTGATAAATTTAATAGTACTGTGTGATTATTCATCACCAAAATGTATGAAGTTCTAAAATAAAGATTTTTGATTGATGTAATGTGTCAAAATTATAGCACAGTCGTGACTACTGGTAGATTATAGGAGTGGAGTTGGGCATGCAGCGTGTTGCTAACAGTAGATTCAACGAAAGCGGCCTTTAATCATGTTAGTGACCATTCTTATATTCCTTTTTTGATACATATTTCTTTATTCTGTGTGTATTTCACAACAGTACAAAATAATGACAAATAAAATGCTATTAAATATACTTAAATTTATTCATAAAATAAATTTGGTTGTTACCTTCATCATAGAAGTACTGTAGTCTCTACTTCTATGCCTACATGTACATCTCTGTGTGAAGTGACAGTTAAGTTTAGATTTATGCAATGAACTAAAATCGTATACGTTACTGTTCTTTTTCCAAGTTTCAAAATTTACTTGATTTTCCCATATGCATCTACAATTTAACATTTATCTGATGATGGAAGGTTATCTTAATTGATGATATAATAGTATACTAGTACATATATATTTTTAGTATTATTACAGTGTAATGATAAATTAGGTTCCGAGCCAAAGATATGCTACGAATACCTAATCTTATCCTGCCAACCATTGTAAAAATAAACTGAAAAAAAAAAAATGATAAAACAATGTAGCAAATATATTGCACAGCTCAAAATTGAAGTGATAAAATCAATATAGAATAAATAAATAAACAAACAATTACTATCAATTTTAAACTTTCTACTGCCCATACCAATGTAACCTTTGAATTCAATAAATAGCAATCAATATAGACATTTTTACTCTTGTATTTATAAAATAAAACATTGCTTTTTTCACCTATAAGTGCAATGTGGATTATCTGGGCATTCAGATTTTAGAAGTATACAAATACAAATGATGTTAACTACGGCATCAGTGGACAGGTATGGTGTCACTTCAGTGAAAGACAACAGAAATCTTTCCAAACAGAAATATTCAATAACACAAGATTAAAGAAATTATTTCTTGAAAACATCAATCTTTAGAAACATCATCTTATATGCAATCTACATTTTACATTACATTTTTGTTTAGTGTTAACAAATAACTTCTGAGCATGTGTGGATGACCAAGTCACATTTTATCAATATGACAATAATGACCCAACTTGACAAATCACATTACAGTCACTGAACAATTTTTCAAACATACAAAATGCCATTTGTGGATGGTATTTGGTATTAAGTGTAAATTATAAACTTCTTGTGGCAAAGATTAATATTGTAGTGACACATCATTTTTATTTTATTTCTTTGGTTTCAGTCTTTGTTGCAACCATTTGTCACATATATTTTTCACAGCAGGTTGGCCTGCCCTCAGTGCAGCACCAGATATTCTTTGTACATCCTCAACCCGCTCCTCTTTTACAGCAATCAAATAGGCCGACTTCAGCTTGCCACACAATATGTAGGCATTAATTTTGTTAGCCTGGCTCTTTATAAGCTTGATCAGACTTTCTGCTTCTTTTGCCTGTAAAATACGAAAAGGAAGTAATGAAATGTGTGAAGTACATGAAGTAACTAAATGATTAAAACTTAACCAATAGTAGGTACCATGCCTACAGACATATTTGTCACTCTGATAGCCACATCAATTTTTTTAAACTTTATGACTTCACAGGTTGGGGGGAGGGAGGGGTGAGGAGAACCCTCTTATATCCCAACCATTTCAAATTCCTTCACTGAATGTTACTTCATGGTATTGCCTCTGGAAGTTTTGACTATATTGCTTTTATAACATATCTTAGCAATTCAAAAATCACAGTCCAAAATTTTTATGTACCAGAGGCAATACCATTAATTAGTTTTAAATGAAAATTTCTGGAATAACATGGACTAGTTTTCAAGAGAACCAAATTTAAAGTTTTGGAATTTTTTTTTAAATCCACTCGATATGTAGGTGTAATTTTTACAACTCCATTACATCAATAAAGTGAACAACACACCTCAGTGGCATCGTCTGCCATGACTCTAATACATGCTCCTATGACTTCATCATAACTCTGGTCATCACATAGTCCAGACTCCTGGATGCAGCCCAGTAATTGCTTTACAGAGATGAATTTCTTCTGTTTAGACAGCTGCCGGGCTACTGTGGTGTACACCAAGGTTGCATTCAACTGGAATTCCTACAGCAGAAAAAGCATTTCTATCAATGACTTAATGTCATTTCTGGGCGACTAGATACATAAATGTGAACAAAAAATGTGCTGTAAAAAATATCTTTTACAACAAATCAACTTTATATATAAATACAGCAGCTTCTGCCTACCTGTATTATCCTAAATGCAATACCAAATCCATCATTAATATTTTTTCCTGCTACCATAACCTAAAATTTTGCAAACAAATTAATTTTTCATTCATTGTATAAATATGAACAGTCCATGACAAAATGAATTTCATAAACGCACATTTTTTTTAAACATAAAATTTTAAGAGTTATGAGCTTGAAGTTCTAAAAGCGTGTTACATTTTTTTGTTACTTTCAAAAGCAAACACTCATCTCATTGGTTATGTAATCATTTTACCAAACATGTCTTTCAAAAAGACTACAGCAAACGGAAAAATTCATCTTAAATAAAACTTCATCTCATGACCTGAACTCATTACCTCACAATCAACCATTTCATCCCTATATAAATATAATAATAATAATTATAATAATAATAATATAATATTAGTAATGATAATAATAATATAAATAATAATTATAATAATAATAAATGCAGCATTTCACCCACCATGTTGACTACATCCACTTTGACATTGTTGTTTCCAAATAAAGTGGGTATTTTTCCTGGTGGGAACATGAGTTCTCCTGCTGCCGCCCCGGCATTGTAATACTGGTGTAAGAATTTAGTGACTTCCACCTGAAGGCTGATTGTGTTAATGTACCTAAAATATCAAATATTCTATAGTAATAGAATAATCAATCAAGAGCAGGCAAATCTAAGGAAGAGAATTTCAATAATTTAAAAAATGCTTTTAGTGTGTCAGAAGAAAGCTGACAACTCACTAGACATTGGGGCCATTCATAATTGATGATCAGAGTATTAACTGATCTGCCAACTAAATATGGCTGACCCCACTTTAAAAGGGATGCAGCTAATTCCATGGTGCTCTCTCCACCTCTACATGCACCATTGATGCAGGGACCTCTGAGCTGAGATTTATTCCATTTAATGGCGCGTGTGGAGGCGGGGAGACCATCGAAAACAGCAGCATCACTTTTGAAGTGTGGTCGGCCATATTTTGTCAGCCGATCAGTTAGTACTTGGACAATCTATTGTGAATGGCCCCATAGAGAGTTCCGTTTAATTGTGCAGCAACACTTTGATATTTTACAAAGGAACCTTATTTACCCAGACACAGCAACAGAGCAGGTAAAAAGAATTTCTAACCTTGATTTATTCCTTTTTTCTTCTGATTATGTTATAGCCAAATTAAAAGCACTGCCGGTCAAATAAAATTTCAAAGGACCCAGAGATATCATATATAATGTTAATACTAGGAACATGCATGAAGGAGTGCACATAGGGAGCACTCTTTCCTCTATCTCTGATATACCTATTCACTTCTTTAGGAGGCTGCAGCAGTCTCAAAGTGTCTCCACCACTACCACCCCAGTCTGGTACCCTTCTTCCAGCAGGACCCTTCAGTCCTACCAACCATAGCTTCTGTTCCAGGTAGTCTTCCAAGTGTTGTTTGGCATCTTGTATATAGGAGAGACGGTTGTACAAATCCCCATATGATACAGCACCATGTTGGAAAGAATATGAGATGCAAGTCATGGCAGCTCTAACATAATCCTAAAGAAGAAAAATTTTACAGTGAATATATAAAAATACCCCAGCTGCCATATTCCTAAAAGAGAAAATTACAAAAATGAAGCCACATTACTTAAATAGACAGAGTTCAAATTTAAAAGAGCTAATGTTACGCATGCTCCTACTTTAGATCTATTTCATAGTTCTATTGTTGTCTTGCATGAAGTCTATGTACTAACAATATCATGCAATGGTTTTTTTGGCTCTCTCAATTAGGCATTTTTCTCTTTTCCTCATCTCTTCTAACCATAAGGGCCCTTTTTTTTTTCAAAAATGATAACTTTAATTTATTTCATTCTGAATGGCTTTAACCCCAGCTTTCTTGCTACTGACAATGAAGATGAAACTAGACTACAGGGTGCCAAAGCCAATGCACTGTCAAATTCTGTCACCAAATTTCTGTCAAAGAGACTCTGGTAAAAGTTATCCCTTCAACCTCTCCAGCCCCCCCCCCCTCCTCCCCCTCCTCCTCTTCCTCTCTCTCTCTCTCCCCAAAAACACACAAAAGGAACACTTTTTTGATTTTGGAATAGTTAATGGGGCAACTTCATTTCCAGACTTGTCTGAAAAGTGTATGCTAAGGCCCGATGTGTAAATTAGAGAAATACACAACTAAAGCAAAGTTTCAAGTCTCACCTTCATGAACAACTGCAACTGGTACAACACTTGCATGTATTTTTTCTTGTTTAGGTATCTACATGCTGCTTTGAGGTAGGGTGCCCATTTCTCTAGGGTGGTGTCTATTAAGATTAGCTGATCTTGGAGCTTGGCCATTTCTCCAGTCTTCAGAGTGGGGACAAGAAGACATTCAACAAACACATCTGGTGAGCATCTCTGGAAGGCATGCAATCAATAGTTTGTATGATAATATCAAAGGCTACAGACCAAATCAAAGTGTTCCTTAATTAGAAGAATCAAAAACTTGCTAAGCAAAAAAATATATTTTCACTTTTGTTGCTTGTACAAGGACATATTTCCTGTGTGCCAAAATTGCCTAATTCACAAGTGTCATGTTACTCTGACAGTTTGTCAGTTCAGTCTTTTCACAAGCAAACATAACTGATAATGAATACTTTTCCTCTACCTTGTCTAAAAGATATTGCACAGCCTTCATCCAATACCCATGTTTTCTATAGAAGCTAATGACGCTGCCATATGTACCATATGCTTTCAGGTAGTACAAACATTCTTGCAACTGTTGTTCACTGATGTTGGTCTCTTCGTTCTGTACCTGGAAAATATGAACTTTCTGTTTGCAATACAAAATTTCAATAAGAGTGAAAAGAATTTTTAAAAACAGTTGTTCTTTTAAAAATAAGTTCTATGTCTAAGCTTTTCGCCTGCATATGTAAATTCAAATGTGTGAAAATGCAGAAATATGTACAGTAGGCATTGAAATACCTAGTATGTGCACGTGCCATAATTCTTATTTCAAACATTCATTCCACTGACAATGACAATGAAACAATTTCTCTCCATTCATGAACCTACCACAAACGGCTCAGCTATGAGACTGCTGATTGACTTCAGAGATGCCTGTAGTGCCTGGATCTGAAATGACATAAACCAATCAAAATTTAACACTTCTCATACATTCAATCACCTGACAGGTTGCAAATGAAACAGATAAATAACTACAAATTCCAGAAAAAAAAATGAGTCAGCAAAGCTGTAAAATTGGCAGACATATAGATGAAAAATAACTGACAGAAGCTGTAACACTCAAACAGTATAAAAATGGTGAACAATCAATTTGACTATGAAAGTGCACAAAATGTTTTTTTATTTTCACATTTGATGCAATATTTCATAAAGCTTAACAGCATAAACACTATTAGTTGTTAATTAGGTACTACTGCTATTATGGACATTCAGAAAATGCAACTACCATAGGGCTTCACTGGAATTCAAAGTAATGAAAAAAAAAATCCAATTAAGCTGAAATTCAAACCTGACCTGTATTTTGTTGCTTTGAATCAGTCCTGGTATTTTGAAGATAATAAGTCATATGGTTATCCATTACTATGTAAATTTTGTTAAGCACACAGTGAGGACAACCAATGCAGGTGATAGCAACATATCCAGAAACAAAATTTCTATCCAACAGCTTTAAATTCACTTTACTACTAACTGTCTTTGAGGCTTATGAATAATAAATTTGTCATCAATGCATTAAACTATTTCCTAGATAAATAATAACAAGAACTGTTTTAATTTTCTAACCAGTGACTGCATTGTATAATAACTGACTTACTGTGTTGATTCCAGAGCCTGGTAAATTTTCTATGCATTCTACAATATCATTCAACAAATTGGAAGACTGTTGATACTGATTTTTGTCCACTGGTGCCTGAAAAAACAGACAAATGCCAAGTACTTTATGATATCAAAAATGCAAATATGTTAACCTAAGATTAAAAATTTAAGTAAAAGTAATCAGACCATTCTATCAGAACAGTTCATTTCTATCATTATTATAACCCCATTTTATCTTGATCAGTCCAGAGTTGCCTTTAATATTAACTAAAGTTGAATAAACTACCTTCATACACCTAGAAAATTTTTCTCTTGCTGCCTGGAAGTCTCCAGTTTTTAGGCAAGCTTTTCCCCAAGCAGCCCAAACACCTGCAGGATCAAGTCCACATTTGGTTGAAATTTCCATGGCTAGCGAGAGTCGCTCATCCTCAATTAGTTTATCTCTCAGTCTCCTGCAATGATAAAATATAAAATACCAACCGCTGATCACACTCAATCCCAAGTTTCAAAGTAGTGACTATATTTCTAAAAATTCTATAAAACTAAAAAGCATTTATGTTTATGTTTGCCATGGCCTGTTCAGTACGAGACTTTCAGGACATGCTAGAATTAAGAACAGTCTTGTTAAGCAGTGGAACCTGGGGTTTAGAACAATGCCCCTATTAGAGAAAGTTGGATGACAAAGATAAGGATTTATAATAACAGCCACAGCTGACATAGTTAAGAGTACCTTTAAAACATAAATACAATATGTTACTTGCAAAACATGAAAATTGTGAGTTAAAATTACAACTGCACAAAAGCTAATGAGATGAAACATTATGTATAATGTCATGTATAACTTGAAAATAATGATGAGATCAAATCTAATATATATAGGTCCCACACCTTACTGTTTCTAACTGTGTAAGCTTCTGAAGACTTGGAATGTGTTTACAGTGTGATGCAACCAGAAGGTTCAGCATCTCCACTCTTCCACTGTACATCTCACACTGAGCTATACCATTACTGTTCCCACATGATAAGAACTTCATCTTGGCGTTGAACAGAAGGTACTTCATCATGCTGAAATATCATTGTTAAATGAAATATCAAACCTTTGATCATAAGAAATTTAAAAAAAATTCTGAAGTTTCATGTTAAGAACATGATACTTTAATTTCTTCACATATTTTTCTCTTAAGGTAGATCGGTCGTTACATGTTCCAACGTTTGAATTTTTTAAAAAATTTTTTTGTTTGAAGAGACACCCAAGTACATTAAAAATTTGCAAAAAAAATTGGGGGTCACCGACCAAATAAGAGAACTAGCCCCAAATATGATACACCCTGCATATCGCACTAGTCCCCATTCAAATCAATGGGAAAATGGGTGTTTTCTCACTAAAGCATTATTTTTATGACTTTCTGACGTTCGAATTTTTTTAAAAATTTTTTTTGTGTAAAGAGGCCTCCAAGTACATTTAAATTTTACCAAAAAAATTGGGGGTCACCGACCAAATAAGAGAACTACGCCAAGTTGAAGTGCATTACACCCTGCGTGACGCACTAGTCGGAAGTCCCTATTCAAATCAATGAGAAATGGGTGTTTTTCACTAAATTGTTATTTTTTATGATTTTTTTTTTTGTGTGTGTGTGTGTGTGTCTGTGTGGAGAGACATCTAAGTACATTTAAAACTTCCATTATGTTTAACAGTTGAAGTGAGTGTACTCAGCTATTTTCAGATTTGTCATACTGATGAGAAGGTGTAAGCCATTAACTTTACAACAAAATTATTGAAGAGAGTAATAAGGGAAATACTCATGCATATGAAAAAAGTTAATTGCCGTTGTTATTTATTAATGAATATAACATGAACGTGACAGCGTAAACACTGTGTTGTCAAGTAAAATGAAGCGTCTGATACAAAGTATCAAATGCGGCATTCACGTGCATGCTTGCTTGCGGTGCGTTCAGTACACTTTGTTTACACTGACAAGTCAAGGTCAGAAGTGCACAATTCTTCTGTATTATATAACGCAGTTTCAATTTTGGTTGGTGAATTTTCTTCAAGCTGTATGGCCATTTTCTGAACATTTGTATAAGCTAAGAAATATTTCTCAGTCCAAATTTCTCTAAGTCCAAATGAGTGGCGTTATGACGCACTTCCGGTTTTTGTCGAAATCTAAGCTACGGTTTCAGCAGCACTTTCAGGGCGTTCTACCTCAAAATGTACGCAGCCGCTTTGATTGGAATTTACAACACTTATTCTTTACATGATATAGCATCTACGTGCATAATTTGTGAGCTTTAGCTGTCATACATTTGCTAGTGCCAATTCAAATTGTAAAAGGAGCTATTCCGACGATTTCTTGAAGGGCAAGTCTATGAACGTGCTACAGTTGTCGTATGGAATCATAGTCGACAAACGTTGTCGAAAATCTGTATCGATCATACAGAGTTACAGACAAGTTGATAATGTGTGTTTATCTTATAGATAATTGTTTTATTTCCTCAAATTGATAAAACAGACTGAAGTGTCGTTAGAGACGATTGACGATGCGCTGAAATTGCGCAAATCGTCAAATTACGTAACGACCGATCTACCTTAAGATATGGAATTCAAAATGGTAAGATTAGCGATCCTCATGCAAATTAAAAATTATATTATAAGATTAAATCATGGTTTAGAGTTACCTAATGACAAGGCCATAATCCACTTCAGCATGATTCTTTACAGCAAGTAATTTTGAAACATTGTCGCACAAATTAAGCAACAACTGTCCACATTCTTTTGCATCACTGTGCAGTGCCAGGATGGATAGGCACAATGGAAGACTCGGGGCCTAAAAACAAAATATTATTATATACATTAGCAGGGGCGGATCCAGAGATATTTTCTGACAGTTTTTCCAAATTATCTTTGTTGATTCATCCTCCAAATTTGACCCTCTTCCGACAGAAAGAATTAGACACCCGTCAATGTAAACTTGAAAATCTGACCGTCTTTCAGAAGACGCAGAAGACGGCCTAAATCCGCCCCTGATTAGGGTATAACATGTGTTTTTAACTTGTAGATCTTAATGCATTTTTAAAGACATCTCATTTTCAGCAGTTTTAATTTTTATACCAATACTACATTATCTAACTACTGAAATTCTGATCAAACACTCACATGTTCATAGTAAAAATCTTCTCTTAAGTTTTTGTTGTGAGTTTGGTCTTGTGTTAGCTGCCAGAAGAACTCGGACTGCTGCTGCTGATCAGTGACAGTTTTATTTATATCAGCTTCATCATCTTCATTGTCCTCCTCGATGATATTTTCTGGCGTTCTGGACAGCACAGATATGCGGGCTGGGCTTGCAGACATACGACCAGCTGACCCTGACAACCTGTCCCGCAGTCTCTGCTGCAACATTTCTTTTTCCAAACCCTCCCTATGACTACAAGAAAAAAACAAAATATGCTGGCTGCTTATTGGAAGTGATGACAAACTAGCATGTAGGGGTGCATGTATGAATGTTTTTGTGTGAGCATGCAAGTGTGACTTGTGAACACTTCTTGAGGTGTATTTTCTCAAACAACAGATCAGTATACAAATGAAATAACTTAAAGTAGTCACAGACTTTAACTATATTTTTAGTATTTTTTTGATTAGGTTCTTCATTTCATTCTTCATTTAGCTCTCAACTTCCAAAAAATGTATATGATTATGTAATAATCAAATCTTTATTTTGAATTTCGATATAAAGGACATTTAGTTTAAAGTTTTAAGATCTTCAGATATTAGGAAATAAAAGCTTTAAAAACAGGGGAAGGTCAGGGATTAAATTACAAAAGTACAGCAATAATAGGAATTATTATTATTTTTTTAACTAAGATGATCCCCCGACAAAATTAATTCCTTCTCTCTACCAGAGGTCTTCTCTAGCTGTTAATACTGTACAATTTAAAATAAATAAAAAATACATACATAGTATGTACAACCAATGTATCCCAGCTAGTGAAAGCATTATAGTATTAGTTTAGATAAACAGAGCTTACCCTCAAGTATTTAAAAGCTATAACCTACAGAAGTAATCAGTGTTTACCAAAGTATGCAAAACAAACTTTTCTGCACATTCTCCATTATTTTTTCCCACAGTAAACAAGAAATAACACATATGATCATTTAAAAATGACTTAAAAAAAGGAAAAGAAAACATAGGAAATAGGAAGAGAGCTTGGTGTTTTGGATGTACATGTAAATCTGACTTGATTGTGGTAGATAAAGTTAAGTGTGTTATTATTATAAGTGTGTGGTGTAATTTTAATTCATATTTCTGGTCATCTTATATGTGATATAATACTGTTACAGACAAAACTTGTCAATCAAATCTTTCGTAGTTTTGTTTTGATTTAGCTGCAGATCGAAATACTCCCACTCTGCAATCTTGGTTATCTTACCCCATTACTGCCTCAAAGCAGTCATCACAAGTCCTGGCCTTGGTGCCATTGATATTGGTAGTCCTTGCAGAGCAGGCATAGCACACTACTCTGCCACAACGTCTGCAGTGATGACGTCGCACAAACTGAATTGAAGGACATACAATGTTTTACAAGAATTTTCATTTTAGTTGTTATTAAAATCAATCTAAATAGATTTGAATTGAATTGAAGAACATACAGTGTTTTACAAGAATTTTCATTTTAGTTGTTAATAAAATCAATCTTAATAGAAATTTCAATTTGTACAATTATTCAATATATCATCAAAAAGAAGGATTTACATGAAGAAAAAAAAACATTTAATTTCAATAAAATACTAAATATCAAGAATTTCCTCATAATTTTACTAGCTGTTCTTTATTAAATGTTAAGGTAACCCAAAACCAAAATAGACTCACCATACTGAATCTCTCGATCTTGCACACCATACAGATACTGACTGCCATGTCCGCTACCCATTTGTCTTTAGTTGGAGGTTCAGCAGGCAAGAGGAACTGTCCACTGGGACTGTAGTACGAGGAGATTAAGTCTGTACCCTCTTTCACACCATAGCTACTGCCTGCGGACACTCCAGATGAAAGGATATCAGTGGGGGACCTGGACACTAGTGATGCTGGATAATTATTAAAAAAAAAATACATGCTGTTAGTCCCACAGAAAGATCGAGTTTAAGACTGGGTTCCCATCCCTAGATCGATCTAACAGGATCCGTCTATCTCCACAGGGTCCCTCACTAAATTACTTTTAGCCCAAGCGGCTTTGATGTCTGGGTCGCCAACTAAAGCTGCTAAACGATAGTTAATTTCCCCTTATCAGCCTCCACAGGCTTGACAGACATCTAAGCCACCCAAGTAAATTGCATTAAGTGAGAATCCCCTCGGAGATAGTTCGATCCAAAGTTAGTACGATAGGGTCTGGGAATGGCCTCTATGAGAGAATGGTGATAACCTGGAGTACAAGTGATATAAATGTAGGTCATAGGTCGCATTAACAACAATAGATGATTTACGGACTAACAGATCTGCGGATCAATTATGTCCGACCCACTTGAAAGCTTACCAAGTAATCCCCACCGAGAATCTATTCATTGTCTATCAGGGGATTATGCGACAAACTTTGAAGTGGGTTGGCCATATTTGATCCAAGGATATTTAGTCTGCAGGTTAACTTGTTATAAATGCTCCCTTTAACTCAATCCTCCCCCTCCTCATTATACAATGAAAATACACTTCAAATATTCCAAAAACACAAACAGAAAATAAAGAAAATACCTAAACTGGCTGTTCTTGGGTATCTTCTAAATGTCAAATCTGAGAATGATGTATTATGAAGGAGACTTGGGGAATCAGTGGGGTTCACTGTGGATACAGATGTGGCAGAGTCACTCCTGCTCCTCTCTGAAGTAGATGAATGTTATTAACAATTTTACTTTACTATATTCATAACATTTTTTCATATTTTGGTCTTTCTAGAATTCAATCAGAGGTGTTTTGTATTCTGATTTCATTGCTGAAGTCTGTCTGCCTAATACTGGGTCCATGTCTGAGGCACTTTCCAATGACTGACTAAGGAGATTTCTTTTTCACTGTTACAGTAACTATAATTCAATTACAAGATGTAAAATGACTGATTGCTAAGCATGAGATGAAGTTCAACTTTAAGTGACAACCATTTTCCTAAAATGGTAGAAATGCTAAAAGGACTCCATGAGTTCCTTATATTATAATGGAATAAAAGAATTACCATCCTCTATCTGAACCACTGGGAACTCCAAAGCCTTGTTGGCATATTCTGCTATCAGCCCATCAAATTCCTTCAAACTGCAGCCAAGGCTTTTGTCAGAGAGATGGTTGTAGTCTGCCTGCATGCTTTCATATGCCTTACTAGCCCAGTCCACCTGTACAGAAAGATGTGTTACAGATAAAATAACTTACATGAACAACAGTCAAGTGTCTGTCCATTCAATAAATAAACAATTAAATGGTCAATTTTTCATTTTGGACATAGAAGCATAGAACTTGGCCAGATTACTTAAAATGCAGAAATTAGCATTTCTGGATATGTATGGAGCAGAAATTAGCATTTTTAAAATCTAGTACATGGAACAAAGTTTTAGCAGAATAAACCAAGGTTGATTTTTGTTATAACATAGCTTAATGATAAAACCTACCTTCATATTCATGAGTAATTGTTCCAGAAGTAGCTTTGGACAGAGAGCCAGGTGGTCATATTCTGCCCTGACATGGTCTGGTAAACACAGCAGTGCCTAGGGGACAAACATTCTTTAATATATATATATAGTTATGACTTCTTAGCAATTTTTTAAACACCTGTATGTATTATGTTACACAATCTTGATGTTATAATTTTTTATCCTGAATGCCTGCTTCTTTTTGGTTGGAAATATCCAAGGTCTGTTTATACAAAAATAGGAAGCAAGATGACCTCACTATATGTTATAATGAATCAGGGCAAAAATAATAAAACAAGGTAGCCATTAGTACACATGAGGTGTGCATCAAAAATGGACACTCTGTTGTTCAACTAAAATCATTTATCATATGTCAATTAACCATCTACCTTTGAACCCATACATAACACCAGCATTTCATCTTTCTTCCTTTGTCCTAGCTCTGCTCCTAGGTGACTCAGCAAAAACTGGGCCAGAAATAACTTGTGCTGCTGCTGGAGCAGTTTCTCCAGCAAATTCTGACAGATGCCATAGCAAAACTTAACGCTCTTCTGTTTCAAGTCCTCCAAGGCCTAAAACAAGATGCAAATTATTTATCTAACTCTCCAACATCTTCATTAATTGTTCTGGTAAATATATCTTTGGTATAACTTTTATATCTGCATAAGTTTTTTTCTTTTTGCAAAATTACAAAACATGTTTTGCCTACATCTTACCTGAAGAACGTTGGGCATGTTTGCATTGTCTTGGTCCAGTAGGAATGATATGTGACTTTCTTCAATTTCCTGAAAGTAAAATGAAGAAAGAATTCAGTGAGCCTTTATAAAAAGGTTTCAGAGGCTGGATTTTGTCTGTGGTGCATTTCAAAGCTAAGCATCTATGCACCATGTTCATGATTGGCTTGATACAAAATTTTATTGTATTAGAAAAACTTAACTCTTTCAAACAATATACACTCACAACAAATCATGTTTTTATGGATGGCAATATGTGTTCTTTTACCTTTTTCATCGTTTCTCCAACATTATGCATGTTAGACCAAGCTCTTGCTGTCTCAAAGTCTTGGGATGATATCAACAACCTGAATATAGGTTCAGGCTCTGAATCGGATAAGGTAGCAACAACTGTCCAACTTCCCAGCTCTTCCAGTTTATCGAAATCCAACTCCAGCATTCCACTGAAGGATTCTACTCTAGTTCTCATAGAAGATTTTATCTGCTTGTTCTTTGCATGTTCTGTGATCTGGAATCGTACACCAGGCAAGAAATATTTTAACACTAAACAAACTTCAAGGCATATTTTCAGACTTGCACTTACCACAAAATATGCTTAATCTTAAATTCTTAAATATTTAATAATTCCGTGAAAAAAAAAAAAAAAATATCCAATACACATTTATGAGAATATGAGAATGATTGTCTAGTCAAGCATCACTTACCCTTTGATATACTCTGAGCTCTTGAAGTTTATTCCTCACAGCTTTGAGCAACTCCACATTTTCTATCTCTCTGGCCACACAGTGTTCTAGCAATGTGACACAATCGTTCACATTCCACTTCTTCAGTGTACACATCACTTCCCTGGCTTGTGTATCAGGTCTGTTGATTTGTAGTAGGTAATGCCATTTTTCACAGGCCGCACCCCTGGTGCTACCATTGCCAAGACTGATGTTTGTAGCACTGCCAATGCTGACCATGCTTGGACTTGGAGGTGGCTCTGCCTGCTCCTTAGCTGCACAACACAAGACGTAATCTTTGAAATTCATCAGATCTGGCTGTTTGTGTAGATGCTCTACAGGGATACAATCCAAAACTTCCAAGATCACATCCCAATTCTTTTCATTCAGAACCTCACTGAGGACATTTGTGAGAAGCCATTTGAATTGCTGACCCTCTTGCAGAGCCAGAATACATGTTTTGATGGAAGAATTGTAGCTGTCACTAGAAAACTTCAACAGTGGATCACCACCATGGCGAATCTCTGGATTTCTGGCAGCGATGATAGGTTCAATGTGCCCTAGAATATGTCTGTGCAAAACTGAGAACTCTGTGGTGAGTTTTTGGTAACGGTAGCTTTTGATGTCCACCATGCTCAGTCCACTATCAGTGCTATTACTATTAGCAGAACCAAAGAAATCCTCCTTGATGTGTTGTTCTATGTCATCCATCTCATCTGCACAAACCAAGCTGACTAATGTTGCAACAAGGCTGGAACTACTTTTCAAGTACTCTAAAGTTACCGGTGTTAACCTGAAAGTGGCTTTATCAAACCCATCTTGGTTAAGAAGTCCTTGGGAAGAGCTTGTCATACTTCCAGAGGAGTTCTCTAATTCTGGAGGAAGAGAGGAACGTCTCCGATGTTTGGATGAGCTTGATAGGTCAAATTGTTTTGAGGAATTCTCAGAGAATTCAAAAGTGTAGCAAAATGTGTAGTCAAAGGCACCCTCTATTACTTTGAAAGGCAGTTCCTTCTTTGTGGCAATTCCTAAAAAGTGACTTTATTCTTTTTACTAGGTACAAAAGGGCAATCTTTTAGTGGAGTGGTAATATTTTGAACTAATTCCTTCAATGGCCTACCTTAAATTCTAATCAAACAGCAAATATGTATAAATTAATGCAGTCTTGTAAATATGTACTACAATGATTTAAGTTGACAGAGAAGTTTTTCTTTTTGTTTCTATACATATAGTCAAAATAAAGACATAATATATTAAACTTTCTACTTTCAGTAATTCTTTATCATCTATCAAATAAGCATTCTAAACACTAAAATAATATCAACTGAGTATAAAGTTGAGACTGCACAGAATATTAATTTTCTCCATCCAAAAAATTATAAAAGTAATTAATATATCCTTTTACCTACAGATATGTTAGAGTTTTACATTGGTGATTAAAAAAGGAAGCACTTTTATCTGCAATGAGAGTGGGGACAAGTAATGCTCAGGATGTAACATCCTATTGACCACATATTCTTCTATTTACATAACAGCAGTCAGCAATTGAAAACTTTTGCGGGTGAAAAGTTACACCATTGACATCTAACAAGGCAGCAGAGCTGTCAAATGTACAGACAAAAAGCAGAAAATAATGCTGCACAAAATAGGTTATTTTGTAAATTTGATGCAATAATACATTAAGCTTTACAGCAAAATCAGCAACAAGAAGTTTAATTATGCATATTAGGTAACAAGGTTATACTGCACGTAACTAGCATGAGGCTTCAGGCCCATATTAGAATTCAAATTCATACACTGAAAAGGCCAGAATGAAAAATGGAAGACTGGATCCGATAAGTCTGGTTTTTGAACTCAACCTGTATTAAAGTCATATTCATCAGTCATTTAAGTATGAAGACAATAGGTAAAACTGTTTCCACCTAAAGCGTTATCTGTATTGCATATAGTGTACATAATATATGCTGAAAAAACAAAAAGGAAAAATGGTTGGATCAAGCTGATTTTCGAGCTCAACCTGTACTTTAGTAATATTGATCACTCCTGTAAGTTTGATGACAATAGGTCAAATGGTTTTCCATGAAATATCCTATATGTATTGTATATTGTACAACATAATATTATGCTGAAAAAGCAAAACACAGTATAACTTCCAGAAAAATGGTTCAATCAGGGTGATTGTCAAACTTGACATGTATTTTAATAATACTGATCATTCCTGTAAGTTTGAAAACAATAGGCCTTTCAATTTTCCTGGATATGTGTTATCTGAATTGCACACAGTACATGCTAAAAAAAAAAAAAACATTACTTTTGGAAAAATGGTCTGCTCAAGCTGATTTTCAAACTTGAACTGTATTTTACTATTAATTTACTAATAAGCAGTGACAACAACAACAGGGGTGACGACAGATCCACGTGACGGCTATATGTACAGACACTATGTGTCTGCTCATAGAAATGTTTGGGTGGAGAAGATTAACATTGTAAGAAGTATTATGTACCATCATGTTCTTTTTTGGATGTTCCATCATCTCCTAATTCAAGCAGAGCCCTCAGTTTTTCATAAAGGCCTCCAGTAGCAAAATTTGCAATGAATTGTAGCAATCCTTCATACACTGCTATGGTGGAATTTGATCCATCACTTGCAAAGTTCTGCCTATACCACACTAACAACTGTGGGATTATCACCTGAAATATTAATAAGAATAATAATAACAACAACAACAACAAATAATGATGTAAACAATAACAAATGTCTTCTGTTATTCAACTGTAAGAATGGCTCAAACAAACTTTATTCAGCATTTTTTTTAATCAGATGTCATTTTCTCATACTTAAAAGGACATCTCTCTTTAAATAACGTCAAACAGAAATTTTACAGGCATCAATTATTAAAAAGTATCACAAAATCTATGTCAAATATAACTGCAATTCAGCTCACAATATCTGACATCTTTAGTTAAAAAAAAAAGGAAAAGGCACTGGCTTAAATATCTAAATTGTACTCTATTCTACTGACACACACACACACACGCCACACGCACGCACGCACGCACACACACACACACACACACACACACACACAACACACACACACAATCACAAACAAAAATCTTTTCATAGAATTTTTACCATTTTTTCCTCCTTTTTTGCTTCTATATTGTGTATGAAGTAATCTGTCATTGCAGCTTTAAGCTGGTTGCTGACAAGGTCTGGTGTTAGTACCTAACATTAATAATTATGAAACAATTTTTACTCTCTAGGGAAGTTTCAGCAAGTTACTGAGGTAACAAATCGATCAACCATTTAGTTTCATATAAAAACCACAATTGATTAAATCTCACTACACTGAGAGACAGCGATCAAAACATACAGACATGTTTGTTCATTATAAAATATATATTTTCATCTACTAAATGTGGATGAATACGCTACTATAAAGAAAGCATATAAAATACCACAACATTTGATTTCAATCAGATATTGAAGCAAATTCTTATTTTCCTTAAATTTCAAACATAAATATAACACAGCAATCTTCATTCTCAGTACTAAGTACCTGAAGTGGAGGAGAGGACTGGCAACCCTCACTGATAACAAATATGAGCCTAGGATCTGGAGGTGGGGAGTACTTGTACCAGGGGTCACTATGGTCCAGTGCTGGCAACAGAAAGAATACTATGATCTCATTCTATATGCCACAGAACAGTTTTTTTACCATTAATAAATTAAAGTGAGTAATGTACAAGTATAGTGACCCTTGTCTTTGTTAAAATAAAACATTTTTATCACTATTATCATTAAAAGTTTTAATAGTGACTCTGGTTAATAATTCATTTCAGCACCTTGCACCCTATCAGCTATCAATCCATCCATTTTGAATGGTGGATTAAGGCCTTGGTGGCAAATGACATAATGTACATCAAACAGACTGAAATAAAAAGCAAAAGAAACACATAAAAAGTTCATATAAAAGAAAGGTCCTGAAAGTTGTCACTACACATCTTATTTATGTAAAGATTCAATCAACTTGAGTAAGTGTAAATTACTTTCGCTACATGCACCTCCAAAATATGTGAGGTGCACTCATTCAAACTCTTCAGATCATCTTAACTCACTTTCACAGGTTTGCTTCCCACTGTTGGAGCAGAAGTTCTACACAGAGCATGAGTAGAGACACAGCAGGAAATGAGCAGTGCTACCGAGTGGAAACTAGCTTTAAATTTTTTACTAATGTTGATCTGAGCTCCATTTCAGATATTTTCAAGATTTACATAAAAGTAAGGCTATCGATCTGTCAATCTCTCAAAACTGAATGCTCAAGATAAAACTATCAAAGTGGAAAAGGTCTTAAATACTTTTTTCTCTTACCTCACAGGTCCCAGCTGTCCAACATAAAAGGACATTTTACACTGAAAGGCAAGCTGATCAAAAGCTGTGGTAGGTATGATGACTATGTCTGAGCTACTACGACAATCTTGAGAACTGCTGAATGAAGCCCCTCTAGGTCTTCCCATAGCCTGTGATTATAAAGAATTAATATACATTTTAATATACTTATTAAGTACCATCCAGATGAATTGAATGTATATGCATTCAAACTGACAGTAATGTCAGTTCAATGAAGAAGATCACTGAAAAAATACTCCACATATTGCAACTTACTTTTTGGAATACCAGAACTAGTAGATGACAATTTTCTATTCCAGTGATACATTCTCTTAGATATCAAATACAATTCACCACACACTTTTCTCTGTTCAAGTTTTATTAATAAATTTCAAAGATTTTGAAAAAAGGAATAATTCCTTGTCTTGGCTATGAAGAAGATAAACTATTTTTTACCGTTTTATCATTTATCAAAAATTAATAACTCAACAGCAAAAATGTGTCCTAGATGGGAAAAAATATTCTTCAAATGAAACATTTTGGCCATCACTTGCCTCCTCTCTTATCTGCTTCTCCACTTCATACAAGTACACTAAAATGTACATCAGATTGAGCAGATTCACAAAGAAGCACCTTCTCTCATTCTTCTCATCTAACAGGGTAAGGTCCACCCATTTGAGTTCTTTGGTCCCTTTCACAATTTCCCTGTACTCGGTGGTTCTGACGACTGATTTTGCAGCTGCTACATTGAAGATGTGACTTCCTGTAGCTTGGGTGGCTTGCTCTGGAAAAGGGAAACATTTGACTTCTGCATGAAATACAGTGTCCTTCTTCAAAAAGAAATTCAAGAGTTAAGTTGATCTTAATTATGAGATCAGACATCTGAGAGTAATTTTGGCTAATTTTAAAATCAGCAGTAGTCCACCTAAATAACAGTGGCATTTGGGTAACTTCTATGATCCATAGTTTTCAGTCCAAAATGAAGACCAACTCTTAACCAAACATCTTTTGTGAACTGATATTAGGTTTCAAAATGCATAACAGCAGGCTGTTAACTCAAAACAAACCCCCATCACAAAAATCATTTACTATAAACTTGATAATCATGACATATTTAATTCTTGAATATCAGAAGGAATACCAATGCAAAGATATTAATTGCACCTCTGAAAATGTGGCTTTTAAATGTTTGTCAGATTTCCTTTTCACCTTTCATTATTTTGATCATCCTGGTGAGTAGTTCTCTGACCACAATCTCTGGGTGTCTGACTTCCGCTGGACAGACATCAGAAGCATTCAAAATCAGCTTCCCATCCTTCAGCACTTGGCCTGGAAAACGAATTCAAAATCTAACAATAAAACTTTCAGGTCCGTAGCCAGGGGGGGTTCAGGGGGTTCGAAAGAACCCCCCTTTTTGCTGGAAAAAGGTCCACTCTGGGTAAAATTTGACCTAGGTACATGGGGATTATATGGTAAAAGGTCCACTTTTTCAGAAAAAGAACCCCCCCTTTCAAATAGCTGGCTACGGGCCTGACTTTGGTCTTCCACTTTGCACTGAAGAATATCAAAGTAATGTCATTTGTTTAGAACATGACAAATTCTTTGCACTTTCTGTCAATTTCAAAGTAATGTTGCACTTCTCAGGATAATTTTTCTTGAGGGATATTATAACGCTCACTTTACCTTGCATGACACCGGCAACAGGATACCTGCAGGGAATGTCAGGACAGCAGTTTTTCACTATTACACGAGTCAGATTTAGTTTCATCTTCTTGGCAACTACTTCAAGTCTAGAATGTCATGGCATGAAAAATGTTCAAGCAGATACAACACACTAACTGAATGGCTTGAACGAATATCTTTCAGAAAATAAGCCCATCTAAAAATTTACTTAACAAAATATACAAGCTGAAAGTTCATAATGTAAATATCAAGCTTTAAAAAATCTGTTCTTTTGCCAGGTCTGGAAAATAACAAGTTACGAGGTCATGTGGTCGGTTGATCAGAACTGATGCAGTCTCAAAGGAGAGGGAGCTAGCAGGTTAAACTATCAAACTGAGCTGTCATTATCTACCCACGTGGTAGGACCACTCAAAACAGAATTCTAAATAGATGGAACTCTAAAATAGAGCATCAGATAGTATAATGTTCAGTGCCAGAAATGCAAATAATTTTTCATCAGTTTTTCTCTTTATCATGAATGACTAAAATGTGTTAACTAAACAATGAATCCTCCAAATGAATGTTTATGCTTAGCTCATAACTTACTACTGTTTATGTAAACAGAAACAAGTAAACAGAAGCAACATTATACTAACCTAGTGGGTGGCATTTTCTTCCCAAACATGAGCTTTCCAAGAATTTGAGTTGGCCCCTCTTGTAACATTTTGAAGTAATTGCCCCTTGGATCCACTGAAAGAGTAAGCTAATTAAATCTAACCCAAACCATGAAAGCAGCGTCATTTAAAGGGATAATAACTCTTCGTTTTGGCCAAAAAATGAATTTTCCTGGAGTAAACAACAATTTTCCCATACTAACCAATGGTTAATGAATCCATTTTTACATTCAAAGTTAGTCCCTGTTTTTTTTCTAAAAAGTTTGGTTTTTTGTTAAAATCTCTTAAGAGATTATAACAGAGTACAGCCATCAATGGAGGTCACGTGGTCTGAAGACAAGCTCATATATCAGAATAATAGCAGTAACTGCCGTTATTGTGGTAAAACAGAATATATTATATTTCTATGAGTTGTTCACAATGTTTTTATTGTGAAATATAGATATCATATGAAGAGTAATTATCCCTTTAAGTATATTTTTCCTTGTTTACATGAAATACTTTTTACCTTTCATTATTTTGATCATCATTAAAGGTGAGGAACTGAACTGCTAGTCTGTAACAGCTTGTAACATAATCTTAAAATAATGACAAACCTGTTTCTATGCTTTCACACTCTGCTACTAAAAAGGCCAACTGCTTAACATGGTTGTACAGAGTAAATAGGTAGTTTGTATTACTGCTCATATTTTGATCCCTAAAAGGATAAAATTACATACCATAGTGATCAGAAATGCCATGTTTGAATCATGGCAAAATAATTTTGTGGCATATTATTTCTTAAATGATATGTTTGCAATAAAAGGTACATAAAGGGTCGGATTGTGAACTGGGGCCATTTTTCCATTCAGGTTGATTATGACAGTATATGCTAACTCAACAAACCATGTGATTTCTATTCATAATCACAAAAATTCAATCTACTTTTTTAATAACAAAAATAGTGGGTTTGACACAGGAGGTATCACACAGGCTTCTGTTGTAAAATGTAGATCTTCATCACATGGTCTGCAGAGAAGGTACATTTTTTTAAATTAAACTTTTGCTACTGGATTAGCAATGGGCCCTAAGACTCTTGAAAGAAATAAATACAAACCTGAGAAAGTAAGCCTGTAGTCCAGCTACAGGAACCAGTTGCTTATGGTGTGTCATTAACAGCTTCATGCTGCTATGAGTGACAGGTTTCAGTTTCACTTTCTTTTTTCCACTAAATGCTGCTTTTCTTTCCAATCTTGCAGCATTTTCCAATGCCTAATTCAAAGAAAACCAAGCTAATAAGACACAATTGCAAGGTGAATATAGGTGAGCAACAAGAGGAATGCCAAAATACATCTTTATATGGTATTTTTAGGTTCAGACTTGATGTAGTTTTTGGTTATAAGCTCTAGAAATTAATGAGGATCCTGAACACATCCCAAGCAGGCATTTGCCTTTCTTGATTCTGTTCAGTCACTGAACATCTCACCTTTTCCACACCTTCCACTCCCTTATCTAAATCCATGACTGCAGCAAAGTAGAGCTGAAATGATGTCAGGTCCAGAGGCAGGGCTGCAGATGTCAGACACTGATTAGCGCTCTGTTTGACATACATAGTGCTGCCCTCTACCTTCCCCTGAGCAACCATTCCTTCTGTTGTGCCTTGGGTGTGAAGCTTGGTTAACTGGTCCAAGAAACCCATCATGCCCTTCAACTGCACTTCATGCTTCGAAGATTTGACAGCATCTTTAGGAGAGTCACCAAGATGAACATGTCTGGTGTTCCCTTCTCCATTCAGTCTTTTATTTGCCATGGTCAGCATACTACTACACGTCTCCCATGACTTGCAGCCACAGCATGCTAAATCCAGCATTATCATACATGGAATATCCTCAGCCTTGATGTGACTCGAAAACATACTGGATGCTCCTTGAGACTTCACGGCTTCCAATAAGTCCTGGTTGAACTGAGGCAGGTTTTGTGACAACAGAAGTTGATCTACAATGCCGGATATGGTCATTTTAGCTACACCTGCCTCCGCTGCTTTCCTTACAGCCCCTAGGCCCTGTCTGCTGCTGGCACTAGGTTTGGTGAAAGCCTCACTAACATGAGACTGAAAACTCTGTAACTTAGTCAGTGCTCCCTCATACTGCTCTGCAAACACAACTTCTGATGCAGTGGCTTCACCTTGTAGACTAAAAAGCTATGAATAACAGTATAACAATATTATTTAGATATGGTAGTTAAAACAGAATGCCTAGAAACCACTGCATTCAATAGTTCTATGACACGATAAGGGTGAGTAGACTTGAGGACACAATGTAAAATAACCAGAAAAACAGAACATTTGCCATTAATTTAAAGAACAATTCGTCACAGTAAACAAAAAGTATGAAACTTTAGTTCTTCAGATGAAAACAAAAACTAGATACAAAACTGTTTTATAGCCAGTATCACTTTCAAAACAGCCACAGTATACCTTTATCACTTGCTGTGCTTGAGAGTAATTTCCTCTTCTCAGTGACATCACCAGCAGCGCATCATGGGAAGACAACATTTTTGTAACAATACTCTTATCTTTGCGCATTTGAGAGATGCTAAGTTTTCCAAAAGATTTCATTTTCTTGCGTTTAGTATTGCGACGAGAACGTCCAGTGCCACTTGCATTTCCATCATCTAAAATGTCTCCACTATCCATGCCTGACTTGCTACTTTCTTTCCCTTTATTACAGATAGGGGAGAAAATTCAACAATTCATATGAAATACAAAAATAAGATTTTCCTTGCTTTATGTCAGTCTTATATGATGTAAACTAAATTTCACAAGCTTTATTAGATTTACATTTGAGAAACTTAATTTATAACTTTCTTTGAAGCATCAATTTATTTACCTGATGCAGTAGACTCTCTTTTAGTTCTTTTTATTCTGCTTCGCCTATTCTTAGATTTTTGGTGTTCCTCCTCATCCGCATCTCTTGTTCCATCTAGTGAAAATAACAACAACAGGGTTATGAAGTGACCATCTATCCAATTACTAACTCAGAGGTGATAATTAACAAAATAAATGGTTTACTTCATCCATCCAAAATGACTGCGCAATACATACAGATGAACTTATCCTTCAATCAAAAACAACATTTTACAAATGAACATTGAAGCTAGGTTACATATTCAAAATGCAGGAAAAAAGGTGCACTATCTGGAGACACTTATGTGCACAAACTTTTAAGTATAAAATATTGCATTTATTACAGATGACTCTAAAATAAATCAGTTTCTGCCATTGGGTTTGACAAGTAAATTTAAATGTATTTATTTGTTTATAATGAACTTTGAACATCAGCATCAGCAATGCTGTGAAACAGTGTTTTTGACTAAACATGCTTTTTTTACCTATGAGGCAAGACTTTTGAAAACACATTCAGTCTCTTTTTAAAGAGACAATTTACTTTTTTAACAAAAGTAACAGTTTGGCATAAGTTGAACCTCACCCAAATCTTCACTGCTGTCGGTGTCTTCCACTTGTATCACCCCACTGGCTAGCTGCCCCACTACTGTAGGTATAGTAGCACTGGACACCAACTGATATCTCCACTGAGCCTCGCTGATATATTGGTCCAGTCTGGAGATATGCTTCTGTAATGTGTCATTTCTCACACTGGACTGAACCCATTTGGACATTTCAAACTCAAGCTCTTTGCTAATGGAAGATTCTGCACTATCCAAGTCCCCAGGATGCCTGTGACTGCCTATCGCTGATATCCCAGACTGCCTGAGACGCTGACCCTGAACAGCGAATTTGGCTGCTTTGAGATCCACCATGCAATCCTTCAAAACAGATAAAATGTCCCTAACAAGGTATTCATTCATCAGAAAGCCTAGTTTAGGACTGCTGGTTGNTAAAAAGCTATAAATAACAGTATAACAATATTATTTAGATATGGTAGTTAAAACAGAATGCCTAGAAACCACTGCATTCAATAGTTCTATGACACGATAAGGGTGAGTAGACTTGAGGACACAATGTAAAATAACCAGAAAAACAGAACATTTGCCATTAATTTAAAGAACAATTCGTCACAGTAAACAAAAAGTATGAAACTTTAGTTCTTCATATGAAAACAAAAACTAGATGCAAAACTGTTTTATAGCCAGTGTCACTTTCAAAACAGCCACAGTATACCTTTATCACTTGCTGTGCTTGAGAGTAATTTCCTCTTCTCAGTGACATCACCAGCAGCGCATCATGGGAAGACAACATTTTTGTAACAATACTCTTATCTTTGCGCATTTGAGAGATGCTAAGTTTTCCAAAAGATTTCATTTTCTTGCGTTTAGTATTGCGACGAGAACGTCCAGTGCCACTTGCATTTCCATCATCTAAAATGTCTCCACTATCCATGCCTGACTTGCTACTTTCTTTCCCTTTATTACAGATAGGGGAGAAAATTCAACAATTCATATGAAATACAAAAATAAGATTTTCCTTGCTTTATGTCAGTCTTATATGATGTAAACTAAATTTCACAAGCTTTATTAGATTTACATTTGAGAAACTTAATTTATAACTTTCTTTGAAGCATCAATTTATTTACCTGATGCAGTAGACTCTCTTTTAGTTCTTTTTATTCTGCTTCGCCTATTCTTAGATTTTTGGTGTTCCTCCTCATCCGCATCTCTTGTTCCATCTAGTGAAAATAACAACAACAGGGTTATGAAGTGACCATCTATCCAATTACTAACTCAGAGGTGATAATTAACAAAATAAATGGTTTACTTCATCCATCCAAAATGACTGCGCAATACATACAGATGAACTTATCCTTCAATCAAAAACAACATTTTACAAATGAACATTGAAGCTAGGTTACATATTCAAAATGCAGGAAAAAAGGTGCACTATCTGGAGACACTTATGTGCACAAACTTTTAAGTATAAAATATTGCATTTATTACAGATGACTCTAAAATAAATCAGTTTCTGCCATTGGGTTTGACAAGTAAATTTAAATGTATTTATTTGTTTATAATGAACTTTGAACATCAGCATCAGCAATGCTGTGAAACAGTGTTTTTGACTAAACATGCTTTTTTTACCTATGAGGCAAGACTTTTGAAAACACATTCAGTCTCTTTTTAAAGAGACAATTTACTTTTTTAACAAAAGTAACAGTTTGGCATAAGTTGAACCTCACCCAAATCCTCACTGCTGTCGGTGTCTTCCACTTGTGTCACCCCACTGGCTAGCTGCCCCACTACTGTAGGTATAGTAGCACTGGACACCAACTGATATCTCCACTGAGCCTCGCTGATATATTGGTCCAGTCTGGAGATATGCTTCTGTAATGTGTCATTTCTCACACTGGACTGAACCCATTTGGACATTTCAAACTCAAGCTCTTTGCTAATGGAAGATTCTGCACTATCCAAGTCCCCAGGATGCCTGTGACTGCCTATCGCTGATATCCCAGACTGCCTGAGACGCTGACCCTGAACAGCGAATTTGGCTGCTTTGAGATCCACCATGCAATCCTTCAAAACAGATAAAATGTCCCTAACAAGGTATTCATTCATCAGAAAGCCTAGTTTAGGACTGCTGGTTGAGCTTGAAGTACTGAAAGCACTTGTGTTGCCGGATGTGTGTGTCTGTTTCTTGTGATCTAAATTCTTATCATGGCTAATGAGTCTGTTTTTCAATTGAAGGAGTCGTGATTTCTCAAGTGGTCCTTCTGCTTTGGTTGGTGAAACTATTGCAGTTGAAGAATCTTCAAAGGGTACATCGTAACCAGCAGCATAATTGATTTGAGACTGAAGTTCTAATGCTTCTACTGCTTGGTCGGGAGTGTCTGATAGCACAGTCTGCTCACAGGAAGCTTCCATGTCAGCCCTGAAGGAATGTTCCTCTGATATTGTAGATACATCTCTCCAGTCTACAGTTGTGTTAGGACTGCCCAACTCTGGTAATTCCTCTCCACTCTCTGAGTAGACCTCTGCAATATGTTCATGAGTTACAAACAGTAGAGAGAACAAGTTTTCTATAATCTCAACTCTGTATGTCAGAGGATGGATACTGCCCAAAAGTTGGCGACCATGGTTCAGATTTTTCATCACATGTTCTGCATAGTGTTTCTGTAAATCATTAGTTTCCAAGTGGGCCTTTGGGTCTCTGTCCCATGGCACTTTTGAATCAACAGATCTCGGTGACCTCAGTATGTGTCTTTGTGAAGACCGATTTTCACTAGAATCCTTATTTTCATTGTCCATTTCTACACTTTGTTCTTCACTGGACAGACTTGATAATATTTGTCTCCTCTTTGGCACATGGTCAACTTTCAAGTTTAAGTTGGCACCAGCAGCTATTGCATCCATAAAGCACCTGATGACACAATAGCTACGGTAGACAGCCATGTCACGCAGATGCTCCATACTTGATGAGAGAGGTTCCACTTGCTCTTTAACACCATCATCATCATCAAGGTTGAATCTCACTGATTTTTCTTTCTTCAACACAACAGGTGCTTCTTTCCCTACTATATATAGATGAATTAGTACTTAAAATCAGCTATTTTTATGACGTGTTTCCATGTTTACACCTAAAAACGAAGCATCAATTTTTAAAACATGAACACTGAATTTTTTTTTTTTGTACTCTAGTTATAATGTTTGTGTGTGAAGGTGTGAGTATGTCTACTATACATGTGTCTATTTTAATTTAGCAAAAAGAAGTTTAAGAGGTTGCAAAAATGCCGAGTAGGTAAACAGAATAGACAGTGGAGATGAATAAGACAGCACAGAAGCCTTATAACAAACTGTTTTGCTACTATACAGTTACTCATCCATATTTCCAAGTTTTTCCATGATAATGCATTGATCAATAACATCTGGTATAAAGTAGTTCACCATTACATGCATGTTAAATATACTTAAAAGCCTATAAAACTAAATCCAGATTAGTTACCATCATACTCATGGTGATCATACAACTCGATGATTGTAAATCAAGGATTAGTTTTGCAGTTTTGCTGTGTAAATAGGACCAATAGCCCTACCTAGCACCATCACCCAAATCCAATATGTAAAATAAAAAAATTATATATATATATATATATATATATATATATATATATATAAATGAACATTGGAAGACATGTCAGTGTATAAAAACATGATTACAAATTTTATGTGAAAACCTTACCCTGATAATCTAATACAGGACTTTTCTGTATAATATCCAGAACCTCCTGTTCCTCCAGCTGAGAAAGATGTGTGGCATGGTGAAGCATGTAAAGCACAGAATGGGTCTCCAGACTCTGAAACATGTCTGTCAAATTCTCCTTCAGTGCTGAGGTAGATCCTGAAGCCTTCATCAATGGGCTGGAAGAGAAAGGATTTATTTCTTATTTAGCCCTTGAACAAAAAAGGACACACACACGCACACACACACACACACACACACACACACACATGGTTCATACACTTTGAATACACATAAATGAACCAAAGGGTTATTATCAAATATACAATAATTTATGCATTTTTTACAAGGTGTACAATTAACTAACTTAAAATACAATATCAGTTTGTCAGCTTAAGCTGCCAGGCTACCATGTGCACATCTTGTAAATGCTCAAAGCAACTACCTGGCTTTCTCTAAGCACCACTGTACCAAATCAACTTGGTAGGACAATCTCTTGCAGGCCTGCTGCAGAGCTGAAGGAATCTCATCTTCCTGGCATTAAATGAGAAAAAGACTGAAATCAAATGTTATTAAAAAAGACACATACCAAATTTTCATATCAAACTTTTAATTACACAAAAGCAAACCAAGGTGACATTTGATTTATTCTTTTTTTAAAACATTACGTTATGCTGACTAACACCCACAAAGGCACATGAATCAAATTCTAGTTTCCAGCAAAAAATGTAAATATACCTTTTCATTCCACAACACAGTGAGTAAGTTCCTAGCACTTGTGCAACTGTGACAATATTTCCATCCCATCAAAAGCACCATTGGTTTCAGCACCTTTAATTCTGGAGCAATAAACAACTGCTGGAGATTGTGGAACTGGCCAGTCTTAATCATCTGAAGAGCAGCTTCCTAAAATGATAAGAACATATGAATTATAATTTTGTTCACTATGTTTGTCTCTTTTAAAATTGCACAATATTAGGTCTCCTTTTGAAAACAACAATCACTTAGTACAAGTACATGAATGCTAAGATCACAAAACATGACAAATGACATGCTTTATAGGTAAGGAGTTTCGAGATGCAGCACCGATGTTACGGTCATATTTTATCAACAAACCAATTGGATCTCTTAACAACAATAATGATATTTTTAAGAAATCTTTAAGACCCTTTTTTTAAGCAGACATGGGAAAACTATGAAGATAATGAAGATTCGGAGGACCCGCACTACAAGAACTACTACAAGTACTCCCAACTCTGTGCTGGTACGAACTAAGTGTTATATTTTGGTAAGTCTATGTTTACTTGTGATTTATAAAACAATATATATAAAACATTATTTAGAGAAGAAGGGTCTTGCAGCTCAAATACTTACCACTTCAAAATCAATGAAGTGCTTCTCCTGTTTTAAACATCTGAGATAAAGCTGCTGCCAAGCTAGCTCTCGGTCTTTGCACACTGCTACTGCAAAGATATGTCTGTGTTCATCTTCAATCTGTTCAGGTTCACCTCCGCTTTCACAGCCATTGGAATGTTTCTCTGTAAAGCTATTTGACAGAACCTTATTTTCAATATCACAGTAAGTGTCAATGAGAAAAGGGTCATCCCGTCCAAGTAAGGATGAATAAATGGCATTTTTATTGAGTGGAAGATCCTTGGCATCAGCTTGCAAGACTAGCTTGGTCAGAAAGTCATTCAATCCAAGTCTTTTCATATCAGTGTTTGGGTTAAACAGGGCTAACAAAGAGTACAGTTTATCTTCCAGCATAAGGTTCTCAGGTTGTTGTTTTGTTCCTTGCAAATTATTCAGAATGTCTTCCATACATTTTATGTATACTCTTTGAAGTTGCTCATTGTTCCAGTCATATCGTTTGTGTTTGAATGTCAGATGGCATATCATTGCACTGCCCAAAGCTGGTTCAGAGTAAAGGACATCTTTGATATAATTGAGACTATCACTGCCAAATGGCAGCACAGGTTGGGCTGCCCGTGACTGTCTCTGTTCCCTTTGATAGGAATACAGCTCCTAGAAACAAAACAAAGAGATTAATTGTTATATAATTTAAGTGCAGTCATTACATATTTAGTTGTAAAGTTGGCTCTTTTATTTTGTATTTGTAATGAGAAGGCAATAGAGGGAATACAGCGAAACAAAAAATGTATTTGTGAGAAGTGTGCAACTATACCCTCAGTATGTCTTTTGACACCCCTCCCCCAGCCTGTAGTAAGAGGAGCTGAAATTCCAAGTCTTCTTTAAGGTGAACAAAACCATCCTAAAAAGAAAACAATGCAAAAAATTTGTCAAATGAACAGACAGCTAAATGACAAAAGTAATGGAAGTATTGACCTGAAAGAAGTTTTAAAAAATGAAGCAGAAATTTAACCATATAAATGCACAAATTGGTTTGTGTCAATGTTGACACATCATTACATAGTGCTTCATTAACAACAACGTAATCACCAATTAATGATAATGAACTTCTTCCTACTATTGTCCTTTCTGCTTATTTTGATGGTGATGAATTGATGATGATGATGACAATGTTAAGAAACAGATTTGTATAGACCAACTAAACTGACTCTTTTAGTATGGTATTAAACAAAATGTAATATCCATATAACAAACTTTGAGGATTCCTTCTATCGGGGAAAAAAAAACGCAAATTAGAACTACCCCACTTCCTGTTCTTTTGGATTCCAATTCTGTTAGGCACAGCCATGATAGATGTTGTGGAGAATTCACTGATTCTGATCTTAAGCTACAAAATAATAAAAAAATGACAATGAGAAGTCGAGCTTTTCAAACTTGATAATCACTTACTGACCATTACTTAAGTCACGAAAGCAGGGTACGGTAATTGATAGAAAGAGCCGCTGCAAGATATGTTAAATCATTCATATTAAAAAGTGTAAATTGCAAAGCAAACCTTAAATTGTATGGGCGCTCCGCAACTTGTGCAACAAATTCATGTATATCTTTCCCCAAAACACAAGCGTGTGCGTGGAGTTCCTGAATACACGCTCTTGCCAACTCCCATTGACCAAGGTACACATTATTTGTGAAAAAGCGAAAAAGATGCTTGACGGAAATGCCTTTCTCAAATCCAAACTGATGAATAGATTGCTCCTCAACGCTACCTGCAGAATCCATATTATCTGTTCAAGTACATGATATCACAAATAAACCAACAAAAGAGGTAAACTTAAAGAAAACACTAAATGCTAGAAAACTCAGTTGGTTAACCAACACGGGGGAGGCCATTTTGTTATGATCACATGATTTCTTCCGTACAAAGATCCAATCAAAACGCTTATTACCTGTACGATTGACCAATCAACGCCGATCTCTAAATGCATTAGCGGTTGTTTTGAACAAGGAAAAAAAAGGCGAAGAGAACATTTTGTGTATTAGTTGTTGATGTTCAGAGGTAAGAGTGTATTTGGGTATTAATGTATGTAGTTGGTTTTCAAGATATTTGTTAAGATTAAATAAGCTGTCATACTACCATGATTATGGAACAGCATTTGTAGGTCTTGCAAGTTGCATGTACAGTACATGCTGCGCAGGTAAGCCTTAGCCACAATATAATGCTCACATAATATTTGAGTAGATCTATGAAGTTATCTTTTAAAACCGGATCCAGATAAATACGTTGCAGGGCCTCTCAACATAAAGCCAATGAGATAGCACAAGTCCCGCTGGCGCGACTGGTGTTAAAAAAGCAACCTATTCTTTTATCACTCACTGCCAGACAATGTTTTATTTTAAGGAGAAAAATGAGCTCTTAGAACTAGATCTAAGGCCCCATTCAAAATAGGGGACTAACTAGTCCGAGGATCAAATATGGCGACTCACTACAAAGCTTGTCGTCTCATCTGCTAATAAACACTATAAATAGATACCCCGTGGGGAAATATTCAAATGGGTCAGCCATATATGACCCTCGGACAAGTTAGTCCCCTATTCTGAATGGGTGCTGTTTGCCAATGTGAATGATCCAATTTATATCCCCAATAATGGTATCACGGTGTTTCTGGTTTTGGGGGACTGGCTATAAGTTGTAAGTTAATGGAAAATGTGTTTCATTTCTTTGCACTGAAATGCATTCCCAGGCCATGCTGAGGCTGATAATGTTAGCTCCTGTGGTGGGGCTGTTTGATCCATCTTCTGTCTAAATAGTTCTGTAAATAAGACCATCATTTGCAAATTGACTTACTGTACAGTTAATTGACTTCACAGAATCCTGTACAAGTAAGTTGTTTAAATGTGACAAAGATATTACTGGACCTAAGGCTTCGTTCACATGCAATGTCTATTTTCTAAAAATCTATTTTCTATTCGCGCTATCTTATGATCACGGTCTGTGCCCTGAATATTCCGCCGCGTAATTACTNCACACACACAAACACACACACACACACACACACACACACACACACACACACACGGTTCAATACACTTTGAATACACATAAATGAACCAAAGTGTTATTATCAAATATACAATAATTTATGCATTTTCTACAGGGTGTACAATTAACTAACTTAAAATACAATATTAGTTTGTTAGCTTAAGCTGCCAGACTACCATTTGCAAATCTTTTAAATGCTCAAAGCAACTACCTGGCTTTCTCTAAGCACCACTGTACCAAATCAACTTGGTAGGACAATCTCTTGCAGGCCTGCTGCAGAGCTGAAGGAATCTCATCTTCCTGGCATTAAATGAGAAAAAGACTGAAATCAAATGTTATTAAAAAAGACACATACCAAATTTTTATATCAAACTTTTAATTACACAAAAGCAAACCAAGGTGACATTTGATTTATTCTTTTTTTAAAACATTAAGTTATGCTGACTAACACCCACAAAGGCACATGAATCAAATTCTAGTTTCCAGCAAAAAATGTAAATATACCTTTTCATTCCACAACACAGTGAGTAAGTTCCTAGCACTTGTGCAACTGTGACAATATTTCCATCCCATCAAAAGCACCATTGGTTTCAGCACCTTTAATTCTGGAGCAATAAACAACTGCTGGAGATTGTGGAACTGGCCAGTCTTAATCATCTGAAGAGCAGCTTCCTAAAATGATAAGAACATATGAATTATAATATTGTACACTATGTTTGTCTCTTTTAAAACTGCACAATATCAGGTCTCCTTTTGAAAACAACAATCACTTAGTACAAGTACATAAATGCTAAGATCACAAAACATGACAAATGACATGTTTTATAGGTAAGGAGTTTTGAGATGCAGCACCGATGTTACGGTCATATTTTATCAACAAACCAATTGGATCTCTTAACAACAATAATGATATTTTTAAGAAATCTTTAAGACCCTTTTTTTAAGCAGACATGGGAAAACTATGAAGATACTGAAGATCCGGAGGACCCGCACTACAAGAACTACTACAAGTACTCCCAACTCTGTGCTGGTACGAACTAAGTGTTATATTTTGGTAAGTCTATGTTTACTTGTGATTTATAAAACAATATATATAAAACATTATTTAGAGAAGAAGGGTCTTGCAGCTCAAATACTTACCACTTCAAAATCAATGAAGTGCTTCTCCTGTTTTAAACATCTGAGATAAAGCTGCTGCCAAGCTAGCTCTCGGTCTTTGCACACTGCTACCGCAAAGATATGTCTGTGTTCATCTTCAATCTGTTCAGGTTCACCTCCGCTTTCACAGCCATTGGAATGTTTCTCTGTAAAGCTATTTGACAGAACCTTATTTTCAATATCACAGTAAGTGTCAATGAGAAAAGGGTCATCCCGTCCAAGTAAGGATGAATAAATGGCATTTTTATTGAGTGGAAGATCCTTGGCATCAGCTTGCAAGACTAGCTTGGTCAGAAAGTCATTCAATCCAAGTCTTTTCATATCAGTGTTTGGGTTAAACAGGGCTAACAAGGAGTACAGTTTATCTTCCAGCATAAGGTTCTCAGGTTGTTGTTTTGTTCCTTGCAAATTATTCAGAATGTCTTCCATACATTTTATGTATACTCTTTGAAGTTGCTCATTGTTCCAGTCATATCGTTTGTGTTTGAATGTCAGATGGCATATCATTGCACTGCCCAAAGCTGGTTCAGAGTATAGGACATCTTTGATATAATTGAGACTATCACTGCCAAATGGCAGCACAGGTTGGGCTGCCCGTGACTGTCTCTGTTCCCTTTGATAGGAATACAGCTCCTAGAAACAAAACAAAGAGATTAATTGTTATATAATTTAAGTGCAGTCATTACATATTTAGTTGTCAAGTTGGCTCTTTTATTTTGTATTTGTAATGAGAAGGCAATAGAGGGAATACAGCGAAACAAAAAATGTATTTGTGAGAAGTGTGCAACTATACCCTCAGTATGTCTTTTGACACCCCTCCCCCAGCCTGTAGTAAAAGGAGCTGAAATTCCAAGTCTTCTTTAAGGTGAACAAAACCATCCTAAAAAGAAAACAATGCAAAAAATTTGTCAAATGAACAGACAGCTAAATGACAAAAGTAATGGAAGTATTGACCTGAAAGAAGTTTTAAAAAATGAAGCAGAAATTTAACCATATAAATGCACAAATTGGTTTGTGTCAATGTTGACACATCATTACGTAGTGCTTAATTAACAACAACGTAATCACCAATTAATGATAATGAACTTCTTCCTACCATTGTCCTTTCTGCTTATTTTGATGGTGATGACAATGTTAAGAAACAGATTTGTATAGACCAACTAAACTGACTCTTTTAGTATGGTATTAAACAAAATGTAATATCCATATAACAAACTTTGAGGATTCCTTCTATCAGTGCAAAAAAAAAAAAAAGAAAAAAAAAAAAAAAAAACGCAAATTAGAACTACCTCACTTCCTGTTCTTTTGGATTCCAATTCTGTTAGGCACAGCCATGATAGATGTTGTGGAGAATTCACTGATTCTGATCTTAAGCTACAAAATAATAAAAAAAATGACAATGAGAAGTCGAGCTTTTCAAACTTGATAATCACTTACTGACCATTACTTAAGTTACGAAAGCAGGGTACGGTAATTGATAGAAAGAGCCGCTGCAAGATATGTTAAATCATTCATATTAAAAAGTGTAATTTGCAAAGCAAACCTTAAATTGTATGGGCGCTCCGCAACCTGTGCAACAAATTCATGTATATCTTTCCCCAAAACACAGGCATGTGCGTGGAGTTCCTGAATACACGCTCTTGCCAACTCCCATTGACCAAGGTACACATTATTTGTGAAAAAGCGAAAAAGATGCTTGACGGAAATGCCTTTCTCAAATCCAAACTGATGAATAGATTGCTCCTCAACGCTACCTGCAGAATCCATATTATCTGTTCAAGTACATGGTATCACAAATAAACCAACAAAAGAGGTAAACTTAAAGAAAACACTAAATGCTAGAAAACTCAGTTGGTTAACCAACACGGGGGAGGCCATTTTGTTATGATCACATGATTTCTTCCGTACAAAGATCCAATCAAAACGCTTATTACCTGTACGATTGACCAATCAACACCGATCTCTAAATGCATTAGCGGTTGTTTTGAACATAGAAGTAGAGAAAACCTCTATGTTTTGAACAAGGAAAAAAAGGCGAAGAGAACATTTTGTGTATTAGTTATTGATGTTCAGAGGTAAGAGTGTATTTGGGTATTAATGTATGTAGTTGGTTTTCAAGATATTTGTTAAGATTAAATTAGCTGTCATACTACCATGATTATGGAACAGAATTTTTAGGTCTTGCAAGTTGCATGTACATGCTGCGCAGGTAAGCCTTTGCCACAATATAATGCTCACATAATATTTGAGTAGATCTATGAAGTTATCTTTTAAAACCGGATCCAAATAAATACGTTGCAGGGCCTCTCAGCATAAAGCCAATGAGATAGCACAAGTCCCGCTGGCGCGACTGGTGTTAAAAAAGCAGCCTATTCTTTTATCACTCACTGACAGACAATGTTTTATTTTAAGGAGAAAAATGAGCTCTTAGAACTAGATCTAAGGCCCCATTCAAAACAGGGGACTAACTAGTCCGAGGATCAAATATGGCGACTCACTTCAAAGCTTGTCGTGTCATCTGCTAATAAACACTATAAATAGATATCCCGTGGGGAAATATTAAAGTGGGTCAGCCATATATGACCCTCGGACAAGTTAGTCCCCTATTCTGAATGGGTGCTGTTTGCCAATGTGAATGATCCAATTTATATCCCCAATAATGGTATCACGGTGTTTCTGGTTTTGGGGGACTGGCCATAAGTTATAAGTTAATGGAAAATGTGTTTCATTTCTTTGCACTGAAATGCATTCCCAGGCCATGCTGAGGCTGATAATGTTAGCTCCTGTGGTGGGGCTGTTTGATCCATCTTCTGTCTAAATATTTCTGTAAATAAGACCATCATTTGCAAATTGACTTACTGTACAGTTAATTGACTTCACAGAATCCTGTACAAGTAAGCTGTTTAAATGTGACAAAGATATTACTGGACCTAAGACTGCATTCACATTCACATATCATCCAACTCTGCTGGAGATTCTTGCTTAAGTGGAATCAGGATAATTGCAACTAAGGGGTAATTAAAAATCGTTTGCTGATTAAACTGATTGCACTTTTATGAGAATCCTCCGCAGAGTTGGATAGACCCAGCTAGTATAGTGTGTTAGTCCAAATGCAGGAAGGAGTGGTAAAGTATAGACATTCAGTTCACATAATGTTCAGAAGATTTTCTTTGCATGTATTTCAGAGGTCATAGACAATCACAATGCCTGCATCACTTGATGACTATGATGTGATATGCACTATAGGGTCTGGATCCTATGGGACTTGTAAAAAGATCAGGAGGAGGTCAGATGGCAAGGTATTTGTGGTCCATATTTGAATGTCAGTCCAACATTGTTATAATTTAATTTGTACGTTATAACACAATCACTTGTCTAACAAATCATGCAACGGGAAATTAACCATTTTGCTAAAATAGATATTATTTACTAAAAATATTGATGCTTATTGTTTCCTATACAATTTAAACCAACACATTTTAAAAACTAGAATCTTTTTTTAAAGTTTTAAACCCCTCCCCAGGTGTATTCCCTAAATTGAGAAGACGGCACTAAAAGTGACTTTGGGATTACAATGTATTATTTGTTTCTAAAAGCTTACTTTTAAATATTTCTGTTCTAACAGTAAAAACACCAATTAGTGTATTTTAAATATTGTTTGTTCTTGATATTCTATACTTTATTAGGTGTTGGTATGGAAAGAAATAGAATATGGAACAATGTCAGAAACAGAAAAACAGATGTTGGTATCTGAGGTGAATCTCCTGCGAGAACTGAAACACAAGCATATTGTCCGATACTATGACAGGATCATAGACAGGATCTCTACCAAGATTTACATTGTTATGGAGTACTGTGAGGGTGGGGACCTGGCCACTTTGATATCAAAATGCAGGCGCGAGAAGTAAGTAAAATTAACTTTGGCAGTTGTGTGTGTGGTTCAGAAACAAGAATGAAATAAAAATTGGAAGTGAGCAGATTGTCACTGCATGCACAAACATTTTCTCCAAAACACCTCCCTTCAATAATTTATTGAAAAGTTTACTCAGAAATCATAGTTATCAACAAGATGATATGTAACATAAAACATTTATTTGCCTGGCTTGGTTTTTATATAGCATTTTATATTTATCTGTCTTGTGTTTTTCATTTTAAAGATAAATTTGAATGCAGTTTACAATATTTTTTACAGTCGCTATTTAGATGAATCCATGATATGGAAGATCTTAGTGCAGGTCTTGCAGGCTTTGAAAGAATGTCATCGGAGAAAAGGTGGTCGTGCAGTGCTTCACAGAGATCTGAAACCAGCTAATGTATTTCTTGATGCCAGCAACAATGTAAAGCTGGGGGACTTTGGTCTTGCCAGGGTGCTACACCATGAAACCAGTTTTGCCAAGACATTTGTAGGGACACCGTACTACATGTCTCCTGTAAGTTGCCTTTTTACGACTGATTGATTAATAGAGAAATCCTCATAGTAAAATTTTGATATGAATAAGCTTTTTTGAAATTTGCAATATTATCAACATACTCTATCATAACAAAGACCAAGTGAATATCAATTTATTTGCAGGAGCAAATGAATTATATGTCCTACAATGAAAAGTCCGACATCTGGTCTCTTGGCTGCATGGTGTATGAATTGTGTTCCCTCCACCCTCCATTTACTGCAGCTAATCAGAAGGATTTAGCAGTGAGAATCAAGATTGGGAGATTTTCCAGAATCCCACGACAGTATTCAGATGATCTCAGCAGCATCGTCGATTGTATNTTTTCATGACTGATTGATTAATAGAGACATCCTCATAGTAAAATTTTGATATGAATAAATTTTTTTGAAATTTGCAATATTATCAACATACTCTATCATAACAAAGACCAAGTGAATATCAATTTATTTGCAGGAGCAAATGAATTATATGTCCTACAATGAAAAGTCCGACATCTGGTCTCTTGGCTGCATGGTGTATGAATTGTGCTCCCTCCACCCTCCATTTACTGCAGCTAATCAGAAGGATTTAGCAGTGAGAATCAAGATTGGGAGATTTTCCAGAATCCCACGACAGTATTCAGATGATCTCAGCAGCATTGTCGATTGTATGCTTAAAGTAGATGTAAGTATAACTATTATGAGCTGATAAAAATGTAATATTTTGTGAAGATGTCACATAAGCGTGAATTTTGTTTATAATAATGCATTTTTTGTATTTTCAGGGTGACAGGAGGCCAACTATTGATGAGTTGCTGGACAACTCTCTAGTCATTCCTAAACTCCCAAATGATCAAAGAAGGGCTGGCACTGGTGACAAGGAGTCTTCTCTCAGGCGTAGAGAGAAGATGCTTGACAAAAGAGAGAAGGAGTTGGACAGTTAGTTTTCAAATATTTCTTGCAGATTGTATAGTTTTGCGCTTGATCAAAGATTATGTCTGTGTACTTTCCTATGATATTAAGTGAAAAATGTTTTGAACAGCTAACATACAATAAACCTTCCTTTCAGGTAGAGAAAAGAGTATTGCCTTGAAAGAAAAACTAGCTGAAGAGAAACTGAGCAGGTTTGTATTCATATTCTCTTTGATCAAATTTGTACACACTTTTACATAAACACAAGCCATATTTTCAATGTAGATTATTGTAAAAAATATCACACAATAGCAAACCCTGCTCTTTTAAAGTTATATATAAAAACTCTATAAAAGTACTATATAAAAACAAAGGCTTCTATTTTTTTAGTGTTTTAAAACGTGCAGAATGTTTTTATTGTATTAACTGCATCAATCTAATGACATGATTTGTGTTTTTATTTAAGCATGGACATCTATTTATATTTGAAGGGTGTTAGAGCTACTTCTATGTGAAATACAGATATTCAGTTTGTCGTCATGCTCGTGATTCTAGTGAATTTGTTAGGGCGATAAATTTCTACAAAAGGTCTAAAAAGCTCCAAATCTAAATATGTGCCGACTAATAGCGGACAGCTACATTTATTGCTCTGAAGTTGTTATCTTTTATGGTCTGAAGTTGTTATCTTTTATGCAGTGCAAGAAAAAGTAATTGGAGCATATACATCTACAGATGCAAAATAAAATTTGAATAGACATAGTGTAATTTTAAGATCCGTTTTATAGAGAAGCATACCTTTGTCTTAAAGCTTCCATTAAAAAGGATATATTTCAGGTATTAATATATCTCTTAATGTTTAACTTAGTAGGAAATTTCAATGTATTGATAATATGACATGTAGCTCAGTATAATATTTTCAGAGCTGAGGCTTTAATGAGAGACTGCAAACTGAAAAACATTGACAGCATTGCTTACAGAGACACAGGTAGGAATGCCAAGCATAGCCCACAAGCTATAGTGTCACCGCTTTGCAGATTGAACTGTAGTCCACAAGCTAACATATCACCAGTATATAGAGACAAAACTTTGCCAGCAAGAACAAATGACCACTAAAAGATTGCACAACATGCAGACAGTAATGTTAGATGTTCACAATTGATCCTGTTTAAAGACAAAGTATTTCTTCATTTGCTCTACCTATCAATCCAACTTAAAGAACATTTGAATGGTCATTACAGATGTTTTTACATAAAATTAAAATTTTGAAAGTCATTTCACTGGAATGTTGTGCAATGTATAGATAAATGTCTTCAGAACACTTTGAATTGTTATATGTTTTGTAACTCATTGTATTCATATTGTACAAGGGGGTGAACTCTCACAAGGTATGTTGAGTAGATAAGTCTTGGATTATGTGTTCACAGAATAATAACCTGTGTGTTTCCGTCCCAAATATGCCCAATAACATGACCCAAGTGAGCATTAAAATATTAAATACATCAAGGTCACAAAATGCACAGTTATTTGGGGGGGCATTCAGTAGCTCATCACCCAGCCCATATTTTTGGCACAATAAAAGATCGGCTGTCAAGACATTCCAACCTACTCAACGTAGTGAGGTTTTTTCAGTTCACCCCTTTGCTGCTTGTTAACTTTGTTTGATTCATTAATAAGCACGTAGGCATTACACCTGTATTTCATATCTGTTTCATGTGCACTTAATTTTTTTGTTGCTTCATGAATCCCTTTTTTCATGTAGAAGTTGATATAGTGATAGTTGCATTTAGCTGTAGTTTAGCCTAACCCTCTTAGTTTAATTTATTCATATGTTTGAATAATACATTTGTTTAATTTGACAGTAAACTCTTCATGCAACAGTGGGCTTATTGCTATTTTTGTACATTCCTTGACATCGTATTAATAACCTTGTGCAGTTTCCTTGCATTTGTGTAAGTAGTTGGTTTTTTCTTGGCTTATAGTTAACAGTAGTTTTCCTTCTGCTTGCTTTAAAATTGCTTTCAACTGATGTGCTTTATGCACAACACTGTTCAGTTCATTTTGTAATATTACTTTCTACTAATTAAGTGTAAATTTGATTGTTTCCTTTCTGTTGAAGTTACCTTTGATTTGTTATTCTGTGCATCTTACATGGAATTAAATGGTATGCATATGCTAAGAAAGTTTTTGTTTTTATTAAGGTAAATTAAACAGATCATATTTAATTTTAGATCTTGGTACATCAAAGTCCCATGTAAAAGTAAAGTTTTGAATTCACCTCTTGTAATATACCCAATTTGATTAAAATGAGATTTGTGCTAAATTGACTCTTATGTCGTCTTTCACAGGTCTACCCTTCTAATTTTTTATCTGTACCGACTTTTTTTATAAAAGATAAGAGAGGTGTTTAGTAATTGTCATTTGCCTACAGAAAATTTTCATTTTAAGGGGGGAAATTAAACGCATCCATTTACCTCAAAAACACCATATAAGACAGCAAAATTGACCAGAGATATGAATAAAAGCGGGAATGGAAGAGAAACTTGACCAATATATCACAATCGATACTGAAACTCTCTCATCAAGAAAATATCCCCTTGGTGCATTAATTGCTCCCCCAACAAAACATTTTCATGGACTCTACTGAAGATGCATCGATTCAATTCAGTTAAAACCAATTTGGCATAAAATTTCTGATTTTAGACATACTTAAATTGACTGGCATCTCCATAAATTTCAGATATTGAGTACAAGATACTGCCGCCATGTTTGGTTCACAACAGAAAAGAAGACAGCCCTAAAAAGCAGGTCACATTCAGCTTTATTGACCAGGAAAATTCAGAACCAGACTTGGAGAGTGATACAGAGCTCCTTGCTGTCAAGAATAAGCCTTCCATCCCAAAATACAATGTCAGACAGGACTCAGATGTGGGCAATGGGCAGTTTGATGCAAGGCGTAATTATGCTCACGATTACTTAAAACGCCTTGAGCTGAGAGACCGCCTCAAAAAAGCCAAAGAAAGATCGAAGTATCTGAGAGATGCAGAAATAGAATCTAGAATTAGAAGTAGACAGCTATTAGGAATGCGATAGAAATATAGTGTGTGTGTGTGTATTTTACCTTGTGAGTCAAATTGACTGTTTAGGTAGAGAAGTACTGCAGATGAATTGATTTACATGACAACTCATATCAGGAAAAGATGACAAATTTTAAAGTTAAGCAAGACTGGAATTCTGTCTTAAAAACAAGCTAGTGAAATCTTAATATATGAAGAGCGTGGTCCCACATCTTGCACAATCATGTGTCATACTTAAAATAACTTGGAAGTTTTGGTCAGTATATAAATGATACTAATGAGACAAATACTTATCCTTGTTCATTGTTTAAAACAAGACTATGATACAAGATTGTGAGATGTGGGACCACTGTTCACACGTTAAGAAACTTGCATTTCAGCAAGAATTAACTGTTTTTGATTAATTAAGGAATTTGGGCTACATTTTTGTCACACTAATGGAATGGCTGGAGCAGCAATGGAGTTTTTCGCTCATAATGACACAGTATATTCCAAAATGATGACTTATGATCAAAACCAGAAGAACATTTCAGTTTTGATCTGAAATGTAAAATGCACGTGCTTGAAAATGCCCCACATTCATAGTTTTATTCTAATTCAGACCTTAAAGACAACAAAGCAACTTCAATAAAAATCTATCTGAAGAGTTCACAATGTCATTATTTCTTTCTCGTCCTTCTTCATAACGATGTGTAGTAAGCACGTATGAGACAATACAATGCCACAAAAAAACGACCATTTTTTGCCTATAGATAGAAAATGGGGCACCATTCTTGGTAAGTGTATTGTTAATGTCCGCATGAAAAATTGCGTACAGATTTCAATAAATAAAACAAAATTCTAGGGATGAGATTTTTTCAACTATTGGCAGATTTCTGACTTTTTGGGAGCCAAAAACATCATTGGCCCAGGCAGACCCCTGAAAACCAGGCCATATTTTCTGACTTTTTCACTAAATTGCAGTTTCATCCCTGAAATTCTTTGTCACTTTTTTTTTTTACCAATAGCTTGTAGTTTTTTGTAGTCTGCATTTTATTATATGACCATTTCCTTTAAAAAAATCCAAGGGTTTTGCACTTTATAACAACAGATTTTGATTATTAGACATTACAACTATTTGTTTTTTGTTTATTATCTAGTTGCTTTCAACAGACTTCTGTAGCTGAAAAGGGCAATTTGTAGCCACATATGTAATAAAGAATTGAACACAATATTTTAATTTGCCAGTGAAAATTGTCAACTAGGAAAATTTCACATAACTGTGTATTTATTTTCATCCTCTATAACACCAAACCGTTAAAATAAAGCAAACCATCTGTAACTGTTTTCAAGGCATAGGTGCACAAATCATGGTTAACTAATGTGTGTGAAAATTAACAAGAACTGCCTTTAAGTAAGTGTCCTGTGTCACCATGCTTCTTTTCCTTCTGGTCTTCCCCCATACAGTCTACTTTTGTTTTTCATGATGGACATATTCTTTGCAGTATAATTATCAAGTATATTGTAACCAGCAACAGCAGCTGCCACAATGAAAAATGGAGCTGATCTTCTAAACAATAATTGTAATGTGGATGCCATCTCAAGCCTGAAATGAAAAATTAAGGCATTTCACTTACTAAGATAAAAATATGTGAAACAAAACATCTCAATATTAAGCTACCAAAATTTTTATTTTATTTTATATATACAGTTTAGGGGAAAATTAAGTAGCATGGATTTTTTTTTTTTTTTTTTTTACAATTATAGGGCTTCATCTTATATATAAGTTTAAAGGTACAAATGAACTGAGTATTGGTGGAGCATGGATTCCCAGTAACATACATAAACCACTTCTTCTACTAGTTTCTTATACGACTCGAATAAATTTGACATGCCAAGGGATAAACTGAATAAATCACTTGATCAGCCATAAAAGAGCTTCAGACTGCTCCATTCTTAAAATTTTGGTCAGAAATTTTATCTATTTTCGTGACCTACTTTTCTGCCCAACTGATATACAGCATAGAATGCTAGCAGAAAAATCCATTCAAATATTTTTTGGGTAAATTTAACAATGCCTTTTGGTAATTCTCTTAGTTATACTACTTGAAACTGTATGCTGGAGTGGCATTTGGTTGGCTTTTGGGGCAAAAAATTGACTTCATATGCATCTTTAAGGATACTGTCACCCTTCACCCAAAACTCCTTATTGCCCTACATTCTTTTGGGTAAAAGATAAATCTTCAGTGTTCAGTGACTAAATTAATTAACATTTACACATTTGTTACCTACAGTGCAGTCATAATTGCGACTTTGGAGTAAAAACTGACAAACTGGTTTCTTAAATTTCTCTTTTACCTGAGCACCCACGATCACCATTTCAATGCCCATTTTATGACACCATTTTGTATTCTCAAAAGGCTTCCTTCGGATTTTTACATTGATAAAGCAAAACAATGCCTTTGTTTAATGAAAATCTGTAATTAGGGGCTCATAACTCAATAATAAAAACACTTAAACCAAAATGACAGCACAAGAATGTAGCCTATACACTCAAGGTCAACTCTGCAAATTTTCGTGATAAAATCTTGTTCAAGGATCAACCATGCACTTTCAGTGAAATGACAATAAGTGGAAAATTGTTTTACCTTTTGTCTTCAAATTTGTGGAACTGATAAATATTCATAAAATACAGGTAGAGTTGGAAAATAAGCATGATTAATGAACCTCAGCTTGAGTGGTTTCACACACAAACTAGGATTACATCACTTGATCGTCATACCACCAAGGGGGATATCCTTTAAGCTAGATTCATACCCAGGGCTTGACATTAAGGGTGGCCCACTGGCCCTGGGCCACTGAAAACCAACCTTGGGCCATTGAATCGATGGGGTCACTGGTCAGAAGAGCAAGCAAAATGTCATGTGTCAAATCATCCTTTCAATATTTACTGATATCTCGGGCCAGTATCGAAAAAGTTAGTGTCAAGCCCTGATACCTGTATAAAAACTTATGACATACAATCACTTTTTTTTGAGAAAATTATATATATATATATATATATATATATATATATATATATATATATATATATATATTTCAAATAAATTATCGTTTTGGCCCATTGTTTGATCTCAGTATACCTTTAAAAATTCAGTCAATACTTAAAATATGCTACCTTAATTCTGTATTCCCTCAGATGGGATATCAAGTAACTTGTCAAACTCTTCTTTTGTAAAACTTCCCTTAAACTCCTTCCACCTTCTGATGCTCCTTTGATCAGCGATGATATATAATACTACAAGTACTGGAACTGAGGCCAGAACCTTGTTATGACGTATGGCTGACAATACTTGCAGTACCATCAAAGCAGATGAATGGATACCTATGGAAAAAAAAAGATTAAGTGAAAAGAAATCACCAATTTTCTAAGGGTATAAGATAATAAGCCTGATTAATAAGCCAAACTGGTCCAGTATAAGATAATAAGCCTGATTAATAAGCCAAACTGGTCCAGTTTTTTAAAACAAAAAGATAAAACTATTACTGTCAGTGTGTTGCATATACATTCCAGGGGAGTGATGATATCTTCTACTTGACTATGCAGTTTTGTTTGTTTCAGGCTGTCACCTTAAATCACTGAAAGCTTCATCAACACTGCTTTTTGTTTAAAAAAAATTAAGTTAAAATTCAGTGCATCCAGAAGACTGTATTACTATTCTTTTTGAAAGATATATATTGCTCAAGCAATTATCCTAGAATCTGTGCTTGCCATCAGATGTGATGGGCTATACATCCGTAATAATCTTTTAAGATATTATTAAAAATTATTTTTAAAAAAACAAACTTGTAAGATAAAAAAACCTTTAGAAAAAATTAGGGGTTTCCTAATTTTACCTCACAGTTCTGTTAATGGGAAAACTTGGTGGCTTTACAGGAGTGTGCAATCAGGGGATATCAGAGGTAAGATAAAAAAAAAAAAAAAAGAAGGCTCCCGTATCATGGTAGACATGCAAACTGGTTGTCATTTGACAGGTATATGGGAAATATAGTAATGATAGTAAACTTAGGTTTTTGATCAGCATGTAAGATTTTTTGGGAAATTGTTTTTTTTTTTATTCCCCATTAAAAGGTCAACTTCTACTGCATTCACTTGTATCAACCCATATTCTGTTGCTAAAACTTGAATAACTTTTGATCTAAATGAGATAGATTGAAAATTTTAACTGGCTATGTTTATAATTGTAATCTAATGCATTAGATACACTGTCTCAAATTATACTGAAAAAAGATTTTTTAGATTAAGAAATTTAAAACCAGAATTCATACAAAGCTGCGACACTGCCATAAATATATTTATGGGATGTAAGTGCTGGAAGGTCCATACATTTATGTATTAATATTACTCAAATAAGTGGCTATCTTTATCAAGGAAAATTTTGTGGACCTCCACTTATGGACATTTGTAAGATTACACCTTTACAAAGAAAACACAACGGCCTACAAGGGATTAACCTTAACTTAAACGAAGTGAAGGGTGTTTCGACGGGTATAAATCTCACTAATATCATTCATTACCTTACCTGAGGTTGAAAACGGCGAAGTTCTTGGGCGAAGAGGTTAGATAAGATGGCGGTCTCGTATGTAAAGTTTACTTTCAACAGCAATTAATCGTTTCTTAATACGGTTTAATCATAGGGGAAACCATCACCTTGTCTGATAGTCTTCGGATTATCAGAGAAATACGAAACTTTTTGTCAGTATGACAAACTTTCTTTCTTATAAGAGATTGAATGTTTTATAAAGCACATCAATTATTCGAAGCTATCTATAGGACTATGTCGGCCGACTCCGCATTTTCAATACGGTATGCTTCTGTATGATTAACAAAATCCTACACGGCTGTTTCACAACCAGGGGTACAAAATAGGGGTCACATCGAGAGAAAAATGAACTCTGATGCATTTGTTTAATTTTGTAACAGATAAAAAGAATAGCATCTTAACTATGATATCTACAATTTTTAGAACACTATATTAATTACTTTTTGTGCTACGCTCAAATTAACAGAACGCCCCTTAGACTATGATCTGGGGGTACGGACACTAGACATTCAAGTAACTGATGCTTTTGAAACTTAAATATCATATTGTGTACCACTTATTTTTGCCAAAATTCTAAAAATTATCAAACTAAAGATATAACAGCAGTACTTTAAGGCAAAAGGATACAAGTACATATATTAATCAAAATAGTTTTTTTTAGAGAAACACCACGTACAGCACTTTTTCAGTGGATGCTGGAGCTTGGTTGTGTGTCATTCAGTGTGACTTTCATTCACCAGACTTTAATTTAAACTTTTCTTTCTGTTGCTTGACCTTTTTCATTTATTCATTTTTTTTGTTTCAGTCTTGATTCCTGTTTTTGGAGTCTCTTTTTTTTTTTCATCTCTCGTTAATTTGCACCTCTTGTTCTACTGTTTTCAGGATTGTTGGGTTTCTGCTTCTCCTTGACTCTCTGTCAGTATGTCCTAATTTCTTCTCTTTACTTTAGTCTTTCTTGCTGGGCCAGCCTAGGATGATTCTTCATTTTTTCGCTTCTCTGCTATGTTACGTGCATTCAGCGTCTTCCTTACATGCTTCAGCAAGATTATTAGCATCTTGGTAGCACTTTGAGGTCTTTTTTTTCCAAATTATTTTTTGCTGACAGTAAAATTTTCAGGATCCCTTTTTCTTTTCCTTTCTTTTTGTTTATTGTCATCCATATTTGATTCTTCATTCACTGAGAGTATAATAAATGTACTGTTAATTATGCATGTATTGAAGTGTTCGCACCCCCTCAAAATATATCATACACAGTAATCCATAGAATATTAATCCATATACAGTTTATTATTTTGCAATTAGCTATATTTAGCAATATATTCAAACCAATATTGTTCATTTTGAATGCAAAGAGTAGCATCTTTACTGATATTATTTCTTTGCAAAATCTCTTGCATGACTCTAATTAATCAGTACCACTTTATCAAATATATATTTATATACAATGTTTTTTCTAAACAGCATAAGACATAATTGCATTTTATATAGTCTAAAACAATATTTTGTTCCATATTTTGAAGTTTTATCATCATTGATAAGTAGCCAGTTATCCAATGGTTAATGTATAACTTGGGGGTACGGACACTACATTCGGCACCAAATTCTTGCATATCTTTTCATAATAAGGGGTTATGTGCTATTTTCTTCCTGCAAAATAAATGTCAGTGTAGACATTATAGAATAATAAAATCAGACAGAATATGCTGATTCCTAAATAAAACAGATAGGGGGGTACGGACACTACAAAAAGTAGGAGACACCAAGGGGCTCATGATTATAAATACCACAGCACTAATAATAATGGTTACATATGCACAACTCCTTTATTTTGTTTAAGTCATAACATGGTAAATTCATCTTATTATCACGTAGGTGATGTTTAAGTAGTATTTGGCCTTATCAAATATGTTTTTCATTGCATTAACAAAAATAATGAGTAAAATGTGTATCAAAACCCGTTTCTGCAAAATGGCTAAAATATTTTTTTTCTCAGAACATATCTTTGGAAGAACCTGCTAGAAGAGAAGACACATGTTGTGGGAATTATATACCAATATCATATTCATCATAAATCAATTTTGTAATGAGGTGGCCAAAACAATTGTACATATTTAAGGGAATGCAAGAAAATTTGTGTCATCTGGACATGAGTAATACTTAAGTGAAAGAGTAGCATACAGAATCATGAAAGGTAAGGTACGGAAAGAGACATTTGAAGAGACTGTACTGTACACATACATTCCTTACTGAGGTATATAAACTGCTGCTACTAATTTCTTATTTGACTCAAATTAAGTCCACATTTCAAAAGATAAACCAAATTAATCTAGCTCTCAGTTATGTGTCCCGCCAGGAAGTAATGCTGCAAATAAATTCATATAGATGCAACAGCAGGTCAGTCTTCAATCATCCCTTGGCAAGTTGATAGTCAGTGCTATTAAATCACTTGCCTCATTAACTCTCAAGTGGTCGTGAAATAATATTATGTGAAAAGGGAGCAACTTTGAATGAATTAGCTACAACAGTGTATGAGTTTACAGCCTTTCTCAGAAATCCTTAAATGCAGTATTAGGAAATATTGCATCAAATTTGAAAAAAAAAAAAAAAAACTCAATAAAAGGAAGACCGTTTTACATGTTATTCTCAAACTTGCAGAGGTGCTTTGTAGAACTGAACAGCCTGATTGGATTAATAACATTATTTTGAAGTTATCAAGTTTTATTTGGTTCTTTTCATTTTGCCTTACTTGTCCGACTTTAAGTACAAAAAGTTAAGCACCAGGACTAACATGTAGCCTGTTGCATGGTTCATCATTATATACTAAAACAGACCTCTTTTCTTGTAAAATTGATGCATTCTTCACCTCTTAAAATAGTGTTCTTTCAGCACATTATGCAGTTAAACTCTGAAATCATTAAAGAGATCCGTAATTACCATTGGCATGCTTTTATCCAGAATTTGGAGAACAGGGATTCCAAAATGAGAATCCGTAATTACCTCCGCCAAGGTAATGTTTTCACCCCTGTTTGTCTATTTGTCTGTCATCAACATAACTCAAAAAGTTATGGACCAATTTTGATGAAATTTTCAGGGTAGGTCAGAATTGGGCCAAAGAAGAGATGATTAGTTTTTGGTGGTGATCCGGGTCAATAATCAATCAATAATAATAAAAAACTGCTGCTTTGGCGGAGGTCTGCACTCTCGGAGTGCTTATCTACTTCGGTCATCAAGTTACAGGGAACCCAACCCAAGCAAGCCCAACCAACCAACCCATAATTTTGTAAGCCGTCCAGCTATCTATGGAAAGGTAGCCTAATAGGCCATCTTTTGAGGCTAATGACTCTCCATTAGATGGCTCTCTGGGAAGAGCCTTGCCTCTCCGGGAAAACCCATGCTTCAAAGTCAGATTGCAAACTTGATAATTGTTATTTTACAAAATTGTCTGTAAGCATGGTAATTAGACTTCCAGGTGAACTGTCCTCTTCATTAATGCTGGCATAACTACCTGGACTGTAAGACATTTTTGTATACCATCTTCAGCAGATGTTCTTCAATATTTTTTGGGAATTTCCAATTGATCACTTCTTGTTATGCTTTATTTCCAATTTAACACTGGTATTTTAAAGATCTGACTCCCATGCACCCGATGCCTTGTTGTAGTAACATGCCGTATTTCCATATGAGCAATAGTAAAGTTGTTTATGCCATTAAGCATGATGTAATATTTTGTGCACTGCGATCATCATCTTGAGATTTTAACTCTCATGGGCCTGAAACTATATTCTTATTGTCCATGGGCACAATTAAAAACTTTTTTATCATTTATGTTTAGCATCAGCATTGCATCAAAATTGACAAAATGACACATTTTGTGCACCTTTTATTTTGCCTGTACATTTGACCACTTGCCTTGTTTTACAAATACACTGTGTAACACACTACATGTGACCAGCCACAACAAGAAACAAGAAACAATTCTCAATTCATTTTTAATTTTTTCACAACAAAATTTAATAGATTTCCATGATTAATATACAGTAAACATTAATCAAACACAAAACTCAAGTCTTCAGGTTTTCGATCCTTTTTTGGAAACTACTTGCCATCATGCCTTATGCTCTTTGTGTTTGAGTATCCATTGTTCTTGAACATACATATCCATGATTCAGTCAGTAGACCACAAACTGTGTGCTTTTTAAAACCAAACTGGTAAAAAGGAAGTGTCTTCAATGATTGTATCCTTATCCTCTAAGTGGAAAAAAAAAAAAAAAAAAAAAAAAAACGCATTTCGTTAAATTCTCAGTTATAGTGATTGGGTTTTAAATAGATGCACCTGAGCACAGTGTGTCTGGTAACTCATATAAGCAGTCTTAAGAGTTTAAAATATTATTCTTTTTTCATATTTTTTTTGTTTCCCATGTTCTTGGCTGACTTCTGCAGCTTCGCCCATTTTGAAGTCTTTCCATACTTTTGCTCCAACCAAACCATATAGTAGAAGTGTGGCCCAAATATACAAACATTGATGAAAATAGTTGACAAATACAGCGTCTGGAAAATACAAAAAATACTGTTAGGTTTGCATGAAATAGCACGTCCAACTTTTTTCTTTTCTTTCAATTACAGTGCTTCAAATTATACTGGTCCCCTGATTAAATAGTGTCCCCTTGACATCTTTTAAGCTACATATGAAGTCACATCTTCCCCACTATCACCGACCAAATATCATCATATAGTGTTAAATAGCATAAATGCCAAACTGCATCGTCTGATACTTGCCAAACCACTATATTTAACCAGATATTTTCCGTTTCAGTCTTTATTATATATTATCTCTGGTTGTTTCCACCTCTCATTTGAATATTTATGCTACTGCGCAGCTTGGTGGACTTTTATGAATTGGAAGCACGGATAAGGTTCCTACCAGAAATTTGTAGGAGGTGCAGTTTAACAGCTATTTTTTGAATGGCAGTGTGATTGATTTGACTTGTCCCTTAGCATGTCTACCTAATTTAAGTCATATAAGAAACTAGTACTCACAGTAGTAGAAGTGATTAAAGAAAATCTTAACTCACTTCATATTAACTTGAAACATAAAATGAAGTACCACCTTTAATAGACTAACTTCTTAAAAAAGAGCTAAATAACACATACTGAAAAAGTGCTGTTAAATGTCTACATTGCCAAACATTGTCTAATTTGTCTACATAGCTAATGTAGGTATATCACAATCCGCAATTTATAACTCATTTAGCTCCATGTAAATAAACTAATACAAGCCATTTATTAAATAAGCTATAAATCAAAGAGTAAATTTTTACGTGTTGCAGTCTTAGAGAAATTTGATTTGAGGACGTTTAAAGTTTTGCCTCGACAAAATGTTTAAAATTTCAGATAAGTACTGCATGGAAGTTTTTGTAATTCATGCCAAGTAAATTTAATGATATTTGCAATATTATGTCGAAAAATTATGAAAATTTAACCATGCGAAGTATAGTTTATTTGATGCGCAATATTTATAGTACATGATCTGCATGGAAGCCATCCCAGCCATGTGCTTGTGTGGTCGCCAATTTGGGTTTGTTTCCGAGTCATTAGATAAACCTACAGCCCTAATTGCCCCAATTGGTCACAAGCAATTTGAGCAGGCAAAATATATATTAAAATAACTTTAAGTGGTGAAGTTGGCCTCTCTTTTGTTGAGTGTAACAGGCTGTAAGAATTTAAGAGAAGCCTGGAATTTAAAAGACACGGCAGTCGACTTCTAATGAAGACACCTTCATATGTATCGAATAACCCTACATTAACAAGACAACAATATAACTTCTAATATTAACATTAATATATCCGTGGAGATACGTACAGTTTTGGACACAGTTCTCATGGGGGGCCCTGCCATATCATTCCAGTTTGCTTTCTGTGTGTGAACACTCTGTCGCACAGCTAGTGGCAGCGTGCGCCTTAGCACTGAAAACATCTTTAGTTGATGGAACCACTTTCCCACGAATGCTTAGCAGAATGCAGGGGGGACACCAGTTACAGCAAGGTCAAAATGGCTGAAGGCAGAGCCAAATGTACACAAAGCCTCGCGTTCAGTTTTAGAAACGACAAATCAAATCGCTGGCAGGTATCACGAGGTTGGTTGACCTCTGAACCTTCGGGGAACAGGTTTCAAAGCGAGGCCCTACATATTCGTGTGCTTCGGGGAAGCTTCGGGGAACAGAAAGGCTGGAGGTATTCCCGATAAGTGGCGACCTCTAACAGCATAGGTTAAGACTAATAATGTTTTATTTGAAGGCAATTTCCTGTGCAAATATCCAAAAGGTACATACTAGTTTTGGCCTCTGATTTGAGGCGCCGGTGTGACGGAGGAATAAGAGACAGGTGGGTGTGACTGAAAGTCCGTGACCAGCAGTTTCCTAAATTTAGGGGTGTGGGGCATGGCTAGTATGTTCTTTACCTTATCAATAAAAAGGCTTAAAACGCTTTTTATTTCATATCATTTTTTTATTATCATTTCGTATATTAGTTACGTGAGGAGATATAGGTTTTCTCAGAGAAGTATTTAGACCAGCGTCAAAACTAATTAGAACCACCAACCCATGAAAGATGTTGCATTTATTCTTCAGATCTAAGCTTTGTCTTACAAATGTGCCTTGGATTTCATAAACTGCAGTTCAGTTCTGTTTTCAAAATTCAAGTGTTTCATTCATGGTTGGGGGGAATCTTTGAACACCCAAACCCAATGTAGAGGTGCATTTCACATGCTGAAGTGTCAAAAAAATAAAATTGAATGAATTCAAAATTGTATTCAGTTTTTTTAAAACGTGTATAAAACAAAAATCCATAACTGTCTCAATTTAAATTCAAAATTTAATTTTTACCATGTCTTTTACATTATGCAAAGAGCCCTAACATATGTTCCAAAAACGTATGGTAACGTATGTTCCAGGTCATTTAATTTTAATTTTTATACCATGTTTTCTTTTGCTGAAGGAAAAATGTATTGTGATTCCATGATAGTTTGACATTTTTGATATAATATTTGGAGCACAAGGGGAAAAATAATATATTTAATGCTTATTTTACTGTCAGTAGGGTGTATTTTCCCCATTTTTTAAATATTCAGTGACAAGCAAACTTAAGTTGCTCAAAGACAATATATTGCACTCTACAGGAGATTATTATAATTTTTTACATTGTTATACTTGTAGGAGATAAATCAAAGACCAAAACCAGTGATGGCTGAATTTTCGAAGTGAGTAAAACGTTTCACAGTTGGACGTTTTGCATTTGTAATGGTAACGTATGTTCTTTTTTGGGGTTAGACAAATTATTTTTTATTATTCATGGTTCCAGGAGAGTGAAACTTTGATACAATTACAAACTTCTTCATGTGGGACCCTAAAATAATTTAAAATAGTTTGCAATCTGAGCACTAAATATTTTTAAGAGCATGCCTGTGACATCAATTGCACCTATATATTGGGTTTGGGTGTGAAGTGGCAATTTTTTAATTTGGAGATATTTGGTCTCCTGCAGAGTTGGATTGATTTAGCTAGTAAAATGGAATTATCTGAGCACTCCCTTTGACACACATTTTTGTTAATGCTTTTAATTTTTAGGGTATAAAAATCGGACTAAAAAACATTAAACATAATGTATCTTTATATAACCATTACGTTATAAAATGGTGATATGAAATGAGTAGCTGTTGAAATAAGCTTTTTATTGATATTCCATATGTTGGTATATCTTGGTAAGATGATAACTATTTTCCTGGTATCCCCCTGGTATCCCCCAACTTTATATGATAGTCCTAGGAATGGTAGGAATGGAAACCCTGGGTCCCATATGATTAATATAACCCATTATTAGGTTAGGGCAAGGGGGTATACATGTACTGTATCTCTTAACTATCTTGTTATCATGTGTTTGATTTTTTTAATATATGAGTTAAATAAAAGCAGTATAAAAAAAGTCGCCCTTTTTATTTAAATTCTCATATTTGTTATTACTAATATCTAACTTACATCAATATCACACTGGTATATGACAGCAATGTTAATTTATCATATTCCAGCACTAAATTTTTAACTGTAAATAATATAGGTGATGCTAAAGTCATTATAGAAAACATCATACAAAATTTCATGTTTTATTTTGGCAAATAAACAATATTTCAACAAGATCTTCAGTCCCAAAGATTTCACGTTCTATAGTAAGTAGATAGCATACAACGTATTTGTAACCTTGACAACGAACTAGATATATCTAGTTCATCCAGATCAATCTGGCTGTTGTACCCTGCACAGTACTGTAGTTTCTGTTTTTGGAACGGTCTTTATCTCTAGAGCACGAAGATTTTTAACCAAATAAATATTCAGTAGTGAGCCTGTTATGTGAATAAATTTTGTCTTGTGAAGTTCTGGAGGGTGTTCACTTTCATAATTTGGCGGTTAGTTTGTTCACAATTCATTTTGCGACTGTATGTGTTTTGTGCCAAAAGTAGGTCACTCTTTTCAGAACCGTCTAGGAAGAGAAAAAGACGTTAGTATGCATCAAAAATGATTTTTTAAAATATTTTTGCTCCAAATTTCTCATAAATCATGACCTGTCCGTCGGACAGCCAACCCTGCAACTTCACCGAACTGAATTTTTTACCTTAAAGAAACGTGTCGGCAAAAAAAGAAGCGTATCGGCAAAAAGAAGTGCGTATCGCTGGCCTGGGGAGAACCCTGACATATATATATATATATATATATATATATATATATTTATATATATATATATATATATATATGCAATAAAGATACCACATTTTATGGAAAACCATTTGACCTATTGTCTTCAAACTTACAGAACTCAGAAATAGAAGTGAGGGTTTTTTTAAAGTTATGCATTGGTGGTGATTGTTAATCATTTAATCATTATGCAATATTGCATCAAAATTGACAAAAACCCCTTTTTTGCACTGCCACCACAAAAGCTGTGAAAGGAAAACCATTTTTACTTATTATTTTTTACCTTACAAGAATGATTCTTAGGATTGACATACAGCTCAAATTGGAAAGCCACCTTGAAAAGATTTTTTTGAAAATCATTCCCTTTTTTGTGATATTTTCTGTGTCTTTACATAAAAATTGACACTTGTAATGGTAAACATGTTCTACTTTGATTCCAGATGTTTTATGTCATGTATCCAGTGAGGAAACCGTGACACCTGTGCATAGAAATGACAACACCCGCAATTCAGGGTGTCTGTCAGCTTTGCTTTCTGGAAGATGGCAGTTATTTTCATGGCAACATTATTACTCCCCACAAGGAACAATATGGATTAGTGGGCAAGATATCCAGCACAGAACCAAGTGGCAGTGTGACAGAATTTCACCGGTGCTGTATGGGGGATAACTCTGTATTTTACCAAATCCAATTAATTGATCATGGTGGATTTGATGATGATAGGATATTTCCCCATGTTTTAAAGTCAAGTGGGGACAATTGTACGTTAAGAGCTCCCGATATTAGGTTTGAGACAGAAGAACTGATAGTCGGGAAAAAGGCAGAGGATTTGATTCGACATTTTTTTAGTGAGACTTTTCTTGGAAAGAGTTGCTATGTCTGCATTGGCCCGATTTTTATAGCGTCTGGAGAAACATTGGAATGTACCAACCAGGAGTATATGCCAACGTAGATGCTGGAAGTCTCTTTAAAAAAACATCTGTTTGTGATTGGCTGCTATGTATAATATTACCCAAAGTTATCACTTCACCGTGAAGATTGAGCGATATAGGCCTATATTAGACTTTTTAAGCAAGTAAATGGACAGCATCAGAAGGTTACGAACGTTACCACCTATAACGTGGTGGCAACATATGCACAGCTAAATAACCTAATGTAATTCCAGTAATTGCTTCTGATCCAGATCACATCTAGTCTTTTGCACGAGAGAATTGATTCCATCATGAAGTAATACATTTATAATAATAATAATAATAAAAATACTTTTTTGTGTTATGGCTCTACTTCTATGATGCAAGTAAAATGTACCGCAGACCGACTTTTTGACAGCTGTTTGCCATTATTTGAATTACAATTCCTTTCATATACATATTGGCATAAAGCACCGATGGACACCATATTCATGATCCTCACTGAATATATTTATCGGTGTGCAGGGGCAGATCCAGGATTATCTGATGGGGGGGGGGGGGGGTCTGCAGATGGCGTGGGGTTCAGGGCCTGCTGAAGGGTCCCGATAATTTTTAGAAATTTAGAGGGCGAACGGGTCAGGACCCTCAAAATCAGTTTCATACATGCTTCAGTCATGAATTGCGTTCGCACAGTACATCAGATTGTTTACTTACACAAATACGCTTGTATTAAAAGATAAAACGGGCTTGCGTTTTAAAATTTTGGGACCTGTTTTAGTTTACCATCGTTTTATTTATATTCACCTTGTTCAATGAAGAAAAGGACCATTCCAAGATTGCCTAAAACTAGGCTGTGGATTACTGCGTGACGTTATATATGTACGACGAGAGACGTGCGAGGGGTACGCTTCCTATTAGCATTAAGAGTAAAACTATCTGCACCCGGTGTGTCGCCATAGAAAGCAACAGCCAAAGTGACACGCAAAACGTGGTGAATCACTTCTGCTGTGCAATAGACAGTTAGCTGACAGAACCAAAGAGAAAACATCCTCAATGACATACGTATATCAATGCTGTCAGCTTTATTCGCTGACACACCGCACTCGCTGTCCTGCCATTCTTCTTGCCCCATCTCTCTTCTTATTCCGCAAAACATTTTTATGTACAGACACAGATGTGTCTGTACATATTGCCATCACCTGCGTCTGTCGTCGCCGTCGCCGTTCATGTCGCCGTTCATGTCGCCGTCGANGAATTTGCGTTAACAAGACATTAGGCTATCTCTTGTGATCTCCATTCACGGATGCGGAGTCACTGATTACGAAAACAGCCTAAATAATGTATCTGCAACTCGATAAATCAGTAAACTAATACATGTATTAAGACCATCGGGGTGACAATTTAACTTGTCTACAATTAACTGCGATTTGCGGTAATGTGCCTATTATTACTTGTAATATGATATATGTCGATTCCAGGTTAATCAGATGTATTAAGCTACTTCTTTCAAACGATCTGTGAATAACAAGCCCTGCTATATTACAGTAGATATTATGAGATAAGGCTAGACATGATCTGAAAGTGTAATTATTCTAACCTTGATCAGATATCTCTGTATTTTTAACAACAAAACTAAGGGAAAAAGTACACGAATTTCCACATCTTTTTTTTTTCAGTGGACCAATTTCATATTTTCCTGGTAATTCGATAACTAAAAGTCCATTCTTGTATAAAATTAAATAGATGGTAAACATTAATAACCGGAAAGAAGACCGGGAGCCATGCACTTTCATGATTTTTATGCTACAGATTTGTCCTCAATAAGCTTCATATGCTCAATCAGCAATAACACTAAAATAGAACTGCGCAAGATCGGCCAGTTGTCGGCACGTGAAATATTATATTTTATTTACTTTCAAACGGGGCTGTATTGCGGGACGCAGAAAGGACGCCGTCCAGTGTAAAGGGGGCTTTACTAGCTATCGACTAAGACAGCTGTTACTTAAAAAAGAGGGTAAACATAAGTACAGATTTGCTTATTGAAAATAAGAAGACGAAAAGATTGCAAACTCCTTATTTAAAAGGGATTTTTTTTTTTTTTGTCTCTTCTGAGCATCCGTACTAGGTAAGATGCTGCCGAACTAATCAGCGCATAAGAACTACGAGCTGTTATGTGAATATATTAATGTGACAGTTGTTCAAACTCCTATTGTTTTTTCATAAACATGTCCCGTGTAGTTTTGAGTTTCGCGTCGTGATCAATCAGTTGGAAAAAATAGCGCACAATATTTTAATGAGAAATGATATTTAACACATTTATATTTAATACGGAAATCAAATTGGATTAGCCTATTTTTCATTTGTAAGATGGTTTTATGCTGTAATATTTTCTTAATGGACGACTAAGTTGAATTTTTTTATACTTAAGTTAAGAGGAAGTAAAACTTTTACCAAATGCTCCGCAAAGTGTAATTTCCCCAGGGTTGGGTTAGGTGCCTGGAGGCACGAGCCGCTGAAATGGGCGAAGCGTCATCTGGACTTTTGAGGCGGAACAGGGAAGTAACCAAACTATATAAACGTTTTGAATAATTTCAGTGGCGATCAAATGTTCACGTAAAGCGGACATAACCTGTAACACTGTCATTTAATTGCACACGTGGGCGTGGAAATGTTCATTCCAATTTGGGGAATGGTCGCTAAAAGAATAAAATTCCAATGACTTTGCTCTTAATTTGTACAAAATTGTTACTTAATTAATTTATCGTCACGGAAATGTTAATCGATGCAGTCTAGAACATTTGAAATTAAAAGATAATAAGATGCATGAATACTTAGAGTATCCAAGATTATTTTCTTCCTCTCCCCACAATTGGAGTGTACATTACGCTCCGCCACTTGTAGATCTTGCTGTCAAATCAAACCTTACGCACTCGTGCCAGGAATTATAAGCTGGGGTAAATCAACTTTTCTTTAAACAATACCTTTCGCAGTGCTATATATTCACTTCAAGGAGAGGGTTTGGCAAGTACACACACCGGGTTCAAGGGGTAGGACTAGGTTTTCTGTCCCAAATAGGTAAGTTTCAGTTTGACATTTTCAGTATAATTGGCCATCGCAAATTGTTACTTTGTCGTCCACGCCAGTAGACTCGAGTTTTGCTTAATAGATGGAGCCATGATCGCTTTCTCTTTTTTTCCTTGCTTATAGAAGGAGTAATTGTATACGAGGCATAACGGTGTACTCTTGGGGATACAATTTGGAAATGCAGAGCTTCTCAATTATTTTTATTTTCCCTTAGTTTGGTACTATTCTTAGCTACCAGATAGGTGCTGTGTTACAAGTAAATATGGTATTTGTGTTTCGTTTTCTCTACACATTTCTGTTACATACATGTACTAACTTAACGCTCTTTAACTTAAAAAAAATTATATGCATACCAGTTTGTCATAAGACGTGAGACGTCGGTGTTTGATTGTCTTATTTGCTTTGAGTGCATGATCTTTTAAAATAGAATAAATATTCCGGAAAGACTCAACTTCGGGATATAGCCCTTAAGTTTAAATGTTGTTTGTACAGTGATACAGAAATCTCAACTAGTAATCGCGATTAGCTACTTGAAATAGCACAATCTCGTCAACTTATTAAGGAACGAGATATCGGAGAACCTCAAAATGACGTACATCCATAAAAGTCCTAACACTGATGATAACTGTTCTGTTAATGGTGATAAAACATACACTAGAGACGTAGGGACGGAAGTTAGTCGTTCCTGCATTTAGTATAATGGCCTCTCGACGCCTTTAAGTATTTAAGTTTCATTATAACCCTCCGTCCATACATTCGTCCATCTATTCTTCTCTCTTTCTCTCTCAGCTCCTCTCTCAGCCAGATGCCTTGCAATTAGAAACTTTTTGTTGCGTTGTTAAAATAAAAAATAGTAAAAATATAAACAAGAATAGTCAGTGATACTTTTGTTGTTAGTGCTTATATGCGAATTCACATGTAAGCCGATTGTTCCTTGCACAAGTTATATATCTCCATTTCTGCCATTAATGCCGTTTCGAAAAAAAAAAACATTTTCAGCGGGTATCTCGACTTACTTCCTTGTACATGTACTGGTAACAACACTGCGGTATTTTATCACGCCAGTGTCCAAGAAACATGCATTAGCAATTATTGTAGATTAACTTTAGCGAATCACCCATTTTTTCTCCTTTTTGTGAAGCATGGGCCGCTGAGTATGTACATATTGATTTTCCAAATGCATTTAGGTTTTTTTGGCGAGTTGCCTACGTCATTTTCCTCCCCCTTCTTTTCCTGATGGCAGAAGTAGGTTTCTTTCTTTATTTTGACTTTGACTTCTAAATACCGGTGTGAAACTAGAAAAAATCTTGGTCGTGCTCGAACTATAGTTGTAATTTTATAGATAATCAAATGATGTAACACCCATAACTTTGTTTTGGCAGAACTTAAGTGTGTATGAACATTCGTACCTGGTGGCATTTGGTGCCAGGAGGCATTTATTAGCCCCACCTTATGATTGAAATCCAACTTTATAAACACTGGTATTCAAAATAGCACGCCGATACAAAAAGATTTTACTTGCCATAAACGGTTGGCAACGCACGCAAAAATAACTGTATCTAAAAACAAAGCTAAACATTTGATACACAATTCAAATTCGAAATGGCTACAACAAACGGATTAGTTGCTTCCGATGGTACATTGGGTGCGAACATATGAGTCAGACATCTGGGAGTCAGAAATGAGGCTTGCTCTAAGTATAAATCAAAAAAGAATTTACGAATGGGCAATTAGCGAGGCAGTCAGCATTAGCAATAGTGACTAAATATAAGAAAGGTTTATTAATTAATCGTTAGTGTTTGTAGAACACCACTTAACCGTTTACTTGTTTCTGAATAGGTCTTATAGGCAAAACTTTCAGTTTGGAATTTTATGAACTAAAGTCAAAACATTACCAAAGTGTTAATTGTCCATATAGATATCAATATCTTATTTTGTTTTCAGATATCATCTATTTGACAATGGAATTACCGGCGGCATTGATATCTATTTTACCAATCCTTTGGACTCTTGCAAGTGGGAGTGTAGACCCAAAGACAATGCTCGCATGCAATCAAAGGGAGTTTCGATATAATGTAGAAAAGCCGCCTTACGTCGCTCCCGATGGCACTACTATAACATGTAAAGGAACTGTGAAAGTATGGGCATGTTATGGTAGATGTGAGACAAGTGAGGTATGTATGTATGCATGTATACAGTCTTACAGGTGGACAAAGCTACGCACTTAATCTCGAATGGTTAATGTCGTTTTCAACTTAATGGATTGAAACTGTTGCACGTCTAAATTGATAATTGATTATTATTTTCTAATACAACCCATATGTATTCCATGCATCACAAGAACTAACTAAAATCGTCTGCATTCATTCCCTCGTGAAAACGTACGGTTTTCATATAACCATCATTTACCTGTCAAATTTGATCCAACAAAATTGCAATTTACAAAATTCATCCAACAAATGTATGATTCACTACTGCTTTGTATGAAAAGAAAAGATTGCTATCACTAGTTACATATCTTTTTACATATCTCCTTTAATCAGGTCGGAGACTACGAATTCCCTTTCAAGCTCAGCTTCCATAATGTTTGCACCTATGGCGGTGATGTTGTGAGACGGCGGGTTACGCTCGACTGCCCAGGCTATCCAGATCCTACCGTGGAACTCTTCGACGTAGAGCGATGCGAATGTCAAGTTTGTCGCTATGACAAAACAAGTTGTGAAAATATCTAACTAAAGGAAATAACAGATCTTGCCTCAGTTGTCTGTGATTTTGTATGTTTTTAAGTGTAATAATGTTAGCAATGATAGACGGGCAAAATTGGCCTCAAGTCTGTTAAAGGAAACGTCCAAAATATTGGCCAGAAAAATGTTTATTTTATAGGTTTATTTTATGTCCAGATTTCTCCTTTTGAGTATCATGCTTTCGTCTTATTTATGACTTTTTAAAATGATGCAATTAAGAAAGAAAAACCAAGAGTGTAGAACCTATTAGTTATCTGAAGTATGACTTAGAACATTGATAGATTACCGTAGGGTGTGGTGGTAAATGGCGCGTTAAATGAGCGGCGATGAATGTTTTGTTTCGCCCGAAGAAATAACATGTTTACTAGGTGAGGCACGTTATATTCACGTGCTTAATCTTACTAGATAAAAAACGAATGAAGTAAGGATAAAACAGAAAGAAACAAGTTCAACTTGTCACAAGGTGCTGACAGAAATTTAGGTGTAAGTTAGATTCACGACAGAATTTCTAAATCAAAATTGAAAATACTCCAAGCGGGACTCGAACGAACGCAAAATTGCCAAATAGCCATTTGTACATGTTTCCCACCTTGACAGGTTATTAACACGCCCTTGACGAATTATGTTCAAGTTTAGATGTACTTGATAACTGGATATACATGCTGTACATTGTACTTTGATAAATGAATGTAGATTGTATTAATGGGCTGTGTATGTTTCTCTCTTTCATATTTATTACAAGATATCAGTTTCTCCTTCATATTCTATAAATCATTATTTTGTAGTAAGTGTTCAGACTTATTATACACATGATACACAGATACTTATATTTTCAATAAAACATGTCTTTGCATTTGGCTTTTATTATTAAAATACCATACATTGTATAACTTGAACAGTGGGTTGGATGGGGGCTCATGGATTCAACATTCGGACTATTTGGGGAGTGACATAGGTTTTCTAATATCATTAACGCTAAAACTTTATATTTGAAGGACAGTGTATGCATATTTGGCACATGCACTTTTCATTTTTAATACGAAAACTAAGAAAATGTCGGTTTCTATGGAGATGACTGACTGCTTATTATTGCTTATATGGAGATGACTGACTGCTTATTATTGCTTATAAATGAGGCTTGCTCTAAGTATAAATCAAAAAAGAATTTACGAATGGGCAATTAGCGAGGCAGTCAGCATTAGCAATAGTGACTAAATATAAGAAAGGTTTATTAATTAATCGTTAGTGTTTGTAGAACACCACTTAACCGTTTACTTGTTTCTTAATAGGTCTTATAGGCAAAACTTTCAGTTTGGAATTTTATGAACTAAAGTCAAAACATTATCAAAGTTCTGGAGTTCTAATGATCGACGTGTGTTCCTCCGTGTTCTTATCTTCTAGCACCATTTTTACTTTTTGCTACTTAAGGAATAAAAACCTGCCAGTTTGTTCTGATCAAAGATCAATAATAAGTTTTACCAAGTTTTTACATTTTATAGTTAAAATCTATGTCACGTTTCCAACATGCGTTATATCACTTGACAAATAAGACCGTTATAGCACGGATGAACTCGGGGTACATTTTATGAACGTTAATTTTACAAAAAGTGTCATTTAAACCATATCCGTTCATATCATCAGTTTCAATATTTGCGTCATGTCCAGTAAGTTTATTTCTTTACAAAATCATTTTAATCAGCAGGCTAATTTGCAAATTATGTCGGAATATATCACTTAAGAATTAAGATGGTCAAGTCGATGTTTACCCATCAAGGCACTTATTTGCTGAACGAAATGTTTCCTGGCGCGCTTTGTTTAGTTCACGTTTCAGAATGGCCCATTCCTAATTTTCAGCCGTGTTTAGTAAATTACTGTGAACGAGATGTGCAAAGGAAATTCTGTATACAGGGAAGTTTGGAAGATGCACTAAAATGCTTTCATTGATTGTGCATTGTGATAGTGAGAATTAATTATAAATAAGAGAACCCCCGGTGGGAGAGGGAAAACATTTCAACGACAACGTATTTAGTCGAGTGAACCTTCGCAAAAAAATTAATACATGACACGCAACATTACCCGTCTAAACAAACAAGTATCATTACTTCTACTGTGTTTTGGTCTGTGTTCGTGTCATGCCTGTATCCAGTGACGATGTAACTCATCCCATGCTGGTTGAGTCCGGACATCTCTCCTTAGAGCGCTTTCAGAACAGCGGACTAACAGATCCGTGGATCGACTTAAAAGCCTGCCGCTTAATTCCCGATCAAACACTGAATAAATTCACCGAGGGGATTATACAACAAGCATTCAAGTGGGTCGGCCGTATTTGATCCGCGGAACTGTTTGTCCACTGGTCTGAATGCGCTCTTAAACTGGTCTTATCTAAACAAAACTAGAAAAGCACTCAGAGAGCGCAGACCTCCGCCAAGGCAGCAAAGTCTCCATCCAATGCCGTTTCACCCCTAAATTTTCGATATTTTTTATTATTGATTATTGATTGATTATTGATCCGGACCACCACCAAAAATTAACCATCTGTTCCTTGGCCCACTTCTGACAGTTCCTGAAAATTTCATCAAAATCGGTCCATAACTTATTTTTTATTATTGATTATTGATTGATTATTGGTCCGGATCACCACCAAAAATCTAATCACTTCTAAGTTATCCCATTTCTGACCTACCCTGAAAATTCCTTCGAAATTCATCCATAACTTTTTGAGTTATGTTGATGACAAACAGACAGACAGACAGACAGAAAGAAAGACAGACAGACAAACAAACAGGGGTGAAAACATAACCTCCTTGGTGGAGGTAAAAACCAGCTAAAAAATAATTGTGTGCTGTGCAAGACTGGGCAACAGCAATTTAGCTACGGGCATGCTACACAGCTGGATACGGTAGGTGGGTTTCAATTCCCCCTCCTCCTTTTTGATATTTTGCCTGTCTGTCCTGCTTAAAAAAGAAAGGACTATTCGCCACATATAATGTTAAATGATGTTTGAAGAAAGTATGTTCACCGGTTGGTGAGTTTAATGAACCTAAAAAAGACAGGGTGTGTCGAGTTTATTTAGGGTTGGGTTCGAGGGTTAGGTTTTGGCTTAGGTTCAGCTAGTTTTGCTTTTAACTCACAAGAATCGAATGCCAATTCCAGGAATCTTAAATGGCAGTTAACCCTGTTGGGTTACGGATCATGCACTTTATTGCAAAAGTGTGTGTGTGTGCGCGTGCGTGCGCGTATGCTGCGGTATGGGGGGGGGGGGGGGGGGGGGGGGGGGGGTCACCTTTCTCTCGTTTCTTTTGACACTATCTTAATGCAATTTGAACAAATGTATTCGGTCTTATGCGTATGGATAGCTCTCTCTATTTGTATCCGATGATCATGATAGCTTGAAACAAAATCAGACCCGTAGCCAGCAATTGCGAAAGGGGGTTCTTTTTCTGAAAAAGTGGACCTTTTGTCATGAAACCTTAGTTTACCTTGATCAAATTTACCCAGAGTGGACCTTTTCCCATGAAAAAAGGGTGTTCTTTCGAACTCCCCGACCCCCCCCCCCCCCCCCTTTGACTAAGGGCCTGAAAATGATAGAGACTTTGTTTGTGGCTTCTCAAATGAAAGCTTTATCTTATGTATACTGAAAGGACGTTTCACACACACACACACACACACACACACACATATCAGAAGACAAGCCTCCCCAATACAAAAGTAATTACGTGTAGCCTACGGGCTTAACCAGAACCATGTATCTTTCAAGTCTCGGAATATTCTTTTTAAAAAGTGGAGGTACATAAGATTAACATTACACACGTGCTTAATAATCTTAAATGTTTTACGTGTGAAGCAGCGTCTTCGATTTGGTTACTTGTCTGAAATATCCCTTAATTGCCGAGAAAACCCTCCAGTCCAATTACTGATCGCGAAGTGCTGACGCAAATCGCCCACTGTCAGTGTGTACACTGTTGGCTACACGCACGAGCGTCCACTAAGGACGCAAATTAATGGTCAATCTTTACATGAAAAACTTTGTTTGGCTATGAGATAAAACAAAAAGCAAAGGAAATGCAAATTTAACAGTCTTATTTATTACACTCATTGCACAAAATTTCCGTCTTCTATAAGCGCTTTGTTAATTCAGATTAAAGGAAGATGTCACTTCCCACTTCGGTGTCCTTAAAATGTGAAGTCTCTACAGCATGAAAAACAGTACACCGATGGATACCTAACACTTCTAATACTAAATTGGTCACGATTCTTGTTTTAAGCGAGATGCAGTTCAAGTACGAACGATTGACGCCAATCTTTATATTACTTTTCAAAAGTAAGCCTCTTCTCCGTCTCTTGGAGTCATTAGTATAAGATAACACAATTAAATCTAGCACATACAAACTAGATTAAGCAACAACAATGCATAAGTTGCACAAAATGCCGCAAAAATAAAAAAATAGATAATAGCGTAAGTGGTTGCATTCTTAACATACTTGTTAACTAACAATTAGAAGTCACTACGATATTAAACTACGCAATAAAATTAATAACTTCCGAGATTCTTAATGAATAAAGTTGTGCTTTGGAAAATAAGACCCAATACTCTGACCAGCAGACGGTTTAAGATCTGAATTTTCTAATGTATACGTACGGTAATCTGGCCAACTGAACTACATGTAACAGCAAGCTATTTCTTACAAGAAAAGCGATCTCACAATAAATAACCAACAAGTTGTGACATGCGGATTGAAATGAACATCGACATTTGAAAAAGCAATGAGCTACATACATATAGTGTGTATATAGCTCATTGGAACAACCGACTTCATCTGAATACATTCCATGTAATAACTTTTTACTAGTGATGGAACTCTATATGTGCAAACGTTATGTATTAGAGTAAATCTTCGTGTGCATTTGAAAACTGTCCAAAATACTTGGAGGTGGGATGGGGTGGGATTGGGGTTTACTTTCAAATACATTGTTTTGGTGAAACAAACAATAAGCGAGAATTTTCTGCATAGATTTGGTCCAATTTTCAGCTACAACGATGCATACATTAAAACTATATTGCAGTTGAAAAGCTAATCAATAATATTTATTTTTTTCTTCATTCTAGGCAGCTGATGATAATAATTTAAATAGGATTGTCTAAAAGTCTACATCACAATGGAATGTTAAGTGCGCAAAACTGGTGAAAAAATTCTCCTGCATCTTAAGTAGTGTTACTATATCTGTGTAGATTTGAATATAGTTGAACTGAACAGGTGGACAGAGAACTGACACAGGTGTATTTTTCCAATTATTCAAATATAATTGTCATTGCACCTTCATTTAAACTGCTATTGTAATGTTGTTTTCTATACAGATGGAATTTGCCTGCTTGTTTGTATCCTGTTACACTCTTTCTTCAAAGCATAAAGTTGAATGATATACTAGCTATAAAACATTACTACTATATACCATCTGTTAAATTATTCTTGAATTTCATAGCAACACAAGTGACTGTGGACAAATTCAGTTCTGAGGCTATTACTAAGGAAATACATTATTTAAAGTGCTAAACAACACACACCACACACTTTTTCTCAGAATTAAAACTTAAACAAAATTATTGTCCACCCACATTTGTGCAAATAATGTAACAAAACTGCTGGCAAGAATCTGGATTATTTCAGTAGTCTTCAAAAACCAATTGTCAATATTTGATGGATATTTAACTGGCAAGCTTGGGCACCTGCCCCATGTATTGGAGTGAATAGTAAAAGTGCACAGCTTTCACTGCCATGCAACTTATACTATTACTTTCAAAAGTTTACTTCTGGTCTTTTTGCTGGTCCAAAATCTTCTGGTCAGTTGATATTGTTGATATCCTAGTAAACCTACACAGATAGTGACAGACAAGATGACAGTGTCGAATGTGATTCACCAGTAAAATGCCAGGTAGGCTTCACCCTTTCTTGCAGAAAGAACAAGAGCAGCGGACTGCAGACTTGAATACAAATGTTCGCTGTTCCCCCACACACCGAACATGGACTTTTATCTGAATAAAAAAAGATAATTATGAAATTAATCAATAAATGAAGATAATTAGCAGGCTTAAACATTAAAAAATATATTTTATATATCAAACTTTATTCAAATTATGCCTCATCATGTATTTTTAAATTTTTTATCAGTCTTAACTTACATGCTTTGGAAACTGGTCATGAAGCATTTACAACAATACTTTTTTACATCACATTATTACACAGGCGTACAATGCTATTGATTCCAAAGAATTGATTTTAACTCCCTCATTGGAAATAATCTAAAAGTAGCAGTTCGGACACCTGATAGGTGCATGCGGTTTACATAACATAGTTCTCCAGTGGATTTACACTCTTTTCAAGGAGATAATAATAGAGATTTGACTGAGATCCTTCCCACATGTCTACCCGTCTTATTCTCCCGAAAACCTAAGCCAGAGACCACAGAGAAATAACAAAGGTTATAGTTCTATTGCAGTCGAAGCACCCAAGAAGAAAAAATGAACAACTTTTTGTCTTTTTAGAATGTTAAAGTTACCCACAATACAGAAAATGTCATACGTTTTATGTCTGAACACTTTTTATGACCTTTTCACAAACCACTCTGTATTTTAGGAATCTGAAATGACAATTCGACTAATGAACCAAAATCAATCACTGCCAATAGTTTGTGCTGTTGTAAAGTTGCACTTACTATCCCTTGTAGGCAACCAAGTTATTCTTAAAGCATATAACTAACTTAATTATCCAGGGTTTCCAAAATTGATTGATTAACCACTTTAGGTATGTTTGTTAACTAAAGTTATTCCCACATAGGTCATTTACAGTGTTTTTTCACTAATAAAAACCAGTAGGTAATACCTTATCAAATGCATACAAATCTTTGTGTTGATCGAACAATCACAGACACGTATGAAACCATAAAACACAGTACATAGATTTGTTAGAGATTCCAGTTAAAGACACCAAAACCAGTACGTAATACCTTATCAAATGCATACAAATCTTTGTGCTGATCGAACAATCACAGACACGTATGAAACCATAAAACACAGTACATAGATTTGTTAGAGATTCCAGTTAAAGACACCAAAACTTGACATTAATTAAAAGGAGTAGATGATTCACTGAAAAGGCTTTGGATTGTTGTCTACACCCAAAACGAAAAAAAAAAAATTAAATGTTCAAAAATGGAAAGACAAAAATGGGAGGAAAATAATTCAGGGTGGGCTTTCAGTGGTGTTGACAGACACTTGCAGGTGGTGTTTGCTGCCACAAAAATGAACATGAAAGGGTATATATCTTAAGCTGTGTACTTTAATTATAGCAATAATTCATCTTTTCACACTTTTAGGCATTTGAGCTTGAATGACCTTGCTGGTTCCATAAATAATGTTATTACATGAAAGTATGTGCCCTATTATATGTAACTAATTGTGACTAAATCACATGAAAAAAGTCTCAGTATGAGTTCAAAGTGCACTTTGAGATCCTGTTACTCCAAAAGGTGACAGCATTGAATGGCAATCAGAGAATACTGGTCAAATGCATCTTTACTCTAAAGTTCTGTTAGCCTGAGTTCTAATCATTCCATAGATTTGTTACTTTCGTATGCCACCTGTCTCTAGGTTTGTTTTGCTGACATCAAGATTAAGAGATCAGATATGAACAATATTATGTGCTTTTGATAGGTTGGAGTTGTAGTACATTGGAGTATCTGCACTTTGAAGGAGCAACATTTTGCCACATGGAATTTACAGCTTGGTGGAATAATGACCTAACCATATGTTGTCTATTGAGAAAAATCACAAAATATTCAATTTTTTTCAAACATTTCAGAGAACAGGACCGCCCTAGCAACAAAAATTTGGAAACAAAGATTCTGTTTAGTATAGAAAAGTTCCCAAAGAAGTATGCCCCTTGACATGTTTTCCATCAATCTAAGTATTTGACATGAAAGTTTTTAATAAAGCAAATATATTCTAAAAATAAACCTGTGTTTAATGTATAAAAACATACAACTTACATCATGGGATTCCACTATGTTACAACAAGAAGATTTGGATGTAATAATGTGATTTGGGTTGGCCTCTAAAGTCCGTTGTGGAGATGGGAAGGCATAGGACGTGCAATAGCCTACACATGCATTTATCCGGACTTCAAACCCCACACAGTCTTTTGGTTTCACTTTTCTTATCTGTGCTAAAATAGAAATGTTAATAACAATGATAGATAAAATGGACATAATCATAATGAGCTATTGAAAAATGTGACAAATGCAAAGAGTGTGACAATGGATTATTTCAAAACAACAACACTTCAAACTATTGATGGGTATGTATATATACTGGAAAAAACCACATAGGCCCTTATCAGACACTATATCTACCAGTTGACAGAAAATCTTAATATAAAATGCATCCATGTCAATTTAATATCAGTGAACAAAATGAAAAAAAAAAAGATTTTTAATCTACATGAGAGAGAGAGAGAGAGAGAGAGAGAGAGAGAGAGAGAGAGAGAGAACCACTTCACTTACAAACTATGTGACAGCCTGGCCTTTTGTAATCTTGTGAATATGCTGATAGGGTAAGTGTAAGCAGCAAAAAGACTGTTTTAAAAACATGTGTATAGTCTGATATCCTGAAGGGTTGCATGGCACAGTTGTAAAGGAATGATAACACACCAGATATGGTCTCTTTTCCTTTCTCCTGATCACTTTATGATATGAAGTTAGTCTCCTGAAAGAATTAAAGCAAATAATAACTAGGACAGTGCACAAAATAGTGTTATATCATGCTTAAAAGCTTAATCACCACTAATTTTAATAATGCACTATTCTTAAATTAAATATGGAAATTCAGAACACGTTACTAGCTTCAGGACTTCAGATTCATGGGAGTCTGAAGTCACACCTTAAAAATGCAAATGTGTGAAAAACAAAAAATTAACAAAAATCCACATAACTTCAAGAAAAATGGTCCAATAAAGCTGTTGTTTTAGCTTAACATGAATTTAAGTACTATGAATCATATTGTTATTTAATTAAAGCACAACTTTCCACTTACAGCAATACCAGTGTCTGTGTCAAAATAGACTTATTGGCAATTTTGGTGCATTATTACATTATATATGTTATCAACATTGATTTCTAACAACATGAAACTGTTGATTAGGACATGTAACTATCACAGGGATTCAGGCCCATAGGACTTCAAACTCACACCTTGAAAAAGATAGGTGTGAAAAATGAAAAAAAAAAAAAAAGTTGACTAGGCTAGTTTTCCAAATTGAACAAAGTATACATGTATAAGTCCAAAGAAGCATTCTTATAAATTTGAGGATAATAATCAACATGGTTAACCTTTTATGGTGTTTATAGTGGTAGTGCACAAAAAAAGGTTTTTGTCAATTTTGATACAATATAGTACCTAATGCTTTTAAACAGCATAATCACCACATATTGTGTACATAAGCACTGTGTTTGTACATAAAAGGAGTTTTCAGTGCCAAAAAACATATTTATACATTCCAACTAAGGGCCCATTTGATGCTCAATAAGCCATGGCCACAAAAGTGACAAACAACAAAACATGTTCCTGCAATATGTGACAGTGATGTATTTTATGGTAGCATGCTATACTTTTTCATTAATATGCTTTATGACAAAACTAGTGGACCATACCTCGGATTCTACACTTAATGTAATTACATGCCACGCATTACAAAACAATTTTCTTACATCTGCTAACATTAGGTAACAAGAAAAAAAAAAACTAACCTGAGAATAAACGTCTAGTCTACCCATGTTTTTAGTAAATGAAGGTAGATTTAGTCCAATCTTTCAAATGTTCAAGATCTGCGTAAAAAAACCAATGTTACAAAAATTCCAAGAACATAATATATCCAACTGTTTACTTTAGTGACATGAAAAATTATTAGTTCATGTTGCAAACTTCATAGAGAAAATGTGTTTTGAAGCTAGGCACAATTTAGTTTTACCTATATTACCCTTAGGGCTCATTCCCATTGAAACTACTGGTTTAGGTAGATCAAACCAACTCCGCAGAGACTATTGCTGCATGCAATCAGTTTAACAGAAAAACCCTCCTCTTCTTCTTTCCAACATAGTCATATAATCACCAGCTTTTCTGTTTTACTTAACATCAGGAGGAGGTGTGTAAATCGGTTAAGTTAGGTGGCTCAATCTATGTAGACTGATAGTTTTAATGGGATTAAACAGCATTAAACAGTATCAATTAATCCTCTACAACTAATGCCTGTCTTTTTTAAAACAGCAAAAACAATCATATATTATGTAAGCATTTTATACTAAACTAAACTATTGAGCCAGTTCTTGCTTCATAATATTCCTTTTTGGCACTTACCAGTTTTCATAATCTCACACGTCTTATATTGAAAGGGCTTCCATTATGAATGACAACTTCCAATACTATGCAATAAGCCTATGGCGTGCAATTACTTTATCCAGCACACCCTTAACTGTGGAGTACTATAGCTGGAGTGATCCTACAAATACGTCAACCTGGAATTCACCTATCCAGAAACAGTAGGTTTCCTGAAGTTCTATCTCAGAGGTTTAGGAACGGATTTATTCCAAAGCTCTACAAGCTCAAATGGGATTACATACCACATACTACTGGGCTATTAAGGTAATTTGGGTCAAACTAATGATAATAAAGAAGATTATGTACACGGCTGGGTTGAAAAAAAAAATGCACCAAGTGTAGTGTCTGCAGGGAGCAGGGCAAATACCATTGGAAGTCAGCTAACACATTTCACATTGTTTTATTGCCTTTAAAATATTTGACAAGAATTTTTGTCAAATATCATGCATACAACTGAAACACAGGATAATGTACCAGAAGAGAGAGGCATACACGCTTGTCAAACTGTTAGATGGTTAAAACATATGGTTAACTTAAAAAACAGCAAAGGAAGTAGGCTGTAAAACCAGTGGCATGTGACAGATACTAGTATTATTGGAACTCCCTGTCAGATGGCAATTTCTGAATGCCACTTGTGGAGGAACTTTTTTCTTCATCTAAATTAATAGACTGTTATCAAGTATCAGTACCAGTAGCAGTGAGAGATTACCATTTGGGTAATAATGTTAATGACAAATATAGATAACTGCAGATGAAAATGTACTTACCAACAGAAAAAAATCCTAAATCCAAAAACTATTAAGCTAAGTAGTCCCTTGACTCCAACTACACTGTATAAGGAGAAAACACAATGTTCTGTATGGGTTGCAGTTAACACAAGTGAATTTATATAGGCCCTTCCTGATAAATATTTTGACAGTCATACAGGCCCACCCAGACTCCACCATATATATATATACTGGTACAGCAGTTGTCGGACTTAACTTGCAACGGAAGTGAAGCCTACCTCATTTCTATCATTGTTTTACCATTATGGTACCCGCCTGGAGCCCAGACAGATTAGAGGTTTTATTAATCTTCTTATTGACATTTACCACCATGCTTAGATACGCATGGATTCTAATTGCTGAAAATTTATTATCCTAATATTTGTACAGTGAAACATGCTGTATTATTTATAAATCCGAGTAATCCTAAGGTGAAATGTTACTGCCCTTACATCAGGCATGGCCAAACATTCCTATTTGGGGTTCAGCAGGCAAACCCTGTTCCAACACACCAACCATGCATGCAAACAAATGTCTTAATGCCAGGTGGGATTTCATTAAAACATTAAACAGCTTGCCAAAGTGTCATATAAGTCAAGGGAGAAATCGTTTTTTTTTATGTAACTACTGAAAATGTACATTTCTGAAGGCTACAGCAAGCTAGACATTTCTTAACAGCGGAAACATTACATGATTTGTTTCCTTTTGGAGAATTAGAGTGGGTGTTTATTAAATCTACAACAGAAATGAGTAAAAGTTATATAGCTTTTTGGAGACAATAAGTGAATGATGAAGTGAGGGGTTAAAGTCCCCTCTGGAGAATGTTTGGCAGCTCACACCAAGAAGATGAAAATTAAAAAAAAAATAAAAAAAAACTTAAAGCCAAGCAGAAATGCATGCAGCATATGGCACTTCTATTCATTCCTTTTAAAAAGTACAACCACAACAATGAGTTTATAAGGAAACAAGCTCCCAAGAGAATTTTCATCTTCTAAGGATACCACACCATGATTTGCCTAACTTGTTGGCAGAATAAATGTTCTCCAGAGAAGTGGAGAGAAAAATTGCAAAGTTAAGAAGGGTCTCTGTAGATAATAACTGAAATTGTGTTAATCATTTAATACAAAGAACTTGTTTCTTTATTATTATGAACCAATCTAGCCCTTATATACCACAAAAAGGTTGTTACACACATTATCCATATGGCCATATGGTTCAATGGTTATTTCAATCAACTACACGGGGCACACCACCTTTGCTGAAAGCAAATCATGTTGTTAGATATTGAAAATGACATTAAAGAGCTCTTTGGGACATACAAAATCCTGAAAATCCAATTCAATCTAGAGGATTCTAAGAAGTCATGGAAACCATCAGGGTGAAGATAGCTAATCAAATAAACAATTACAAGCATTTTACAAGCTTGCCATTCAAGGCTGTTAAAGGGCTAAATAAAGATTCATTGTAATTAAATATTGGATTTATGGGAACATAACAGCATTGGACAAATGGTAATTCAACATTTTAAGGGTTATGGATATTCAACAGACCTTGACGGAAAAAAGCTTTTTTCATAGGAATAAAAAATGTTTGACGCACTGAAGTTTAGAGTGCAGGAATAGCAAAAGCCATTAATTTTCTCCTTCATCACTGCTATTGGGATAAAGATGAGAGACTGCCAAATGTCTACCATAACTGTTTCAATTAGCTGTAACTATTTGAATTTCCCCAGCTCTCTTTGGTGGGCTCACAATATGACCATAAAAATGAATAAATAAAGAAATGAATATTTTTTGTTAAATCACACTACATGAGAGAAGTACATGGGCATGTATGCTTTAATCAGCACCTGACTTTAATTAGACAAAAAAGATTTACAATTTGAATCTTATAATTAAAATATATACATAATGAACATTCTCAGCGATTTCAGTCACTTTTGAGAAGGCCTGTCTCTAGCAAATACAGAAGCACACAATACCTTTTTTCACCTCCAGCTTTTACACGTCATGCAAACACAGCAAATACATCTGTTTATATAATTGTGTTACCAAAATGAATCACCTGCCACCTTACCAAATGTATCAAGTGATGATGTATGGAAAAATTCTATCAAAATCAATGTTTATATGTAAGTCATGAATACTAAACTTTCAAGAGCAAATAGTCTTAGGGGCCTCCCCACGCAGCGTCTCTGCAGGGGCACAGTAATTAAATCTCGACTCCATCTGACCAGACGCGTGGGGAGGCGTGTAAGAGGTGGAGAGACCATCATAGGATTAAGCAGTCTTCCTTTCATGTAGGGTCTGCCATATTTGAGCCATGGACCAGTTGATACTCAGATCTTGTATTCTGAATGGCCCCATAGGTTTATTCTATGACAATGTTTGATGCTTATGCATAGAACAGTTTTTTACATGCAGTTTCATATCACACAAACTAAAAGATCTACAAAGAAATTAAAAGTTCTGCTCAATATCTATGAACTGTTCACCTTAGCCTGAACAGGTAATTCAGTTGTGACCAAGCCTGTCAGAGTGAACAAAAAGAACAGTCAACAAGTAAATCTAACACGTGGATCTATCATAAATGAAAACTTTTTAACACTCAATATGTATTACAGTTTGCATTCAACATACTGTAGAACTTCTAAAAAAATTAGATCACAAAAATTAGATTAAGGTAACTATAAGCTAAAGATCAAAATCTTAGGATTGTCAGCCAAACGACAATTAGCAAAGAAAGCAAACTAAAATTGGTTTTGAATACTTAAAGTCTTTTCATTAATGCTATTTGACAATGACACCTTTTTCACTTATGTTGTCATTTAGCAAATGCCAAATGCATTTAACATATAATGTTTTCAGATCTTTTTCCTCGTCACCAAAATTTTGTTCCCATTTCTGGTTATTATAAGACTACATTCACATCTACACACACATACTAGCTGGGTTGGTCCAACTCTGCTTAGAATTCTCACTCCAGTGCAATCAGTGGAACCAGCTTAATTGTCTGACAAGCTTCCTCGAGCAGCTAGCGGCTAATTAGCTATTGTGTGCTGATTAAGCTGGTTCCACTGATTGCACTTTAGTGAGAATCCCCTGTAGAGTTGCACTGGTCTAGCTAGTGAGACGTGTAAATCTGAATATAAGCCCCTCACCTCCAGCCAGGCCCTCACATGTCAACGTTTCTTTATAAATAATGATGTCAAAGTGTTTAAAACAATATGTCATACTTCTAAGTCATGCAATGGTAATCAGTACAGTAAACAGACTTCTTTAGATACCAAAAAAAGTGCCCTTATGCCTTAAAAGTGCATTAACTACCAGATCACTACAAATAAAAGCACGCTACATGTACACTAAAATAGTACATTTTACAGACCTTTTCAATCTGCCCTGTCTCTGTCCTTTGCACCCATTTACTGTGTCTGGGAGCTTAGCTATGTTTCTGTGGCAATACCCTGACACAGAAATAGGAACCATTTCCACAGATATTTGAATCGATCTATCTCCACGGGGAGTCTCACTAAATTGCTATCTGCTCATGGTGAGGCCGAGCATGCAAGAAAGTTAATTACTCCCCTATCTGATTCGGTAAGCGTGACAAACATTTAAGCCTCTTAAGCTGATAGCAATTTAGCGTGCACCCCCAGGGAGTTAGGTCGATCCAGATGGATCAATCTAGGCATGGGCACCCAGTCATACACTCCAAACTCAGAGCCACCTGTTCTAAAACTAAGAGTTGAAAAATAATGTGCTCATGGTAACAATTTTTCTAAAGCAGTGATACCCAGACAATCCTGTGGCTAATAACTCGATTGACACATCTCTATATTTCCTGAAATGCTTCTGGAAAATAACAAACAAGCAGACTGTTATTCACATGTCTATCATATAGGTTAACTGAGTACGTAGGTTGGAATTATCAGAGGATTAGACTTGAAATGGCCATAATTTCTCTTTTTTTGTTTTCCAGTGGGGCACCTCACATGCTTTTAGCTATGTATATTGCTAAATGCATTCAGGAATGAGGAAATACACACTATTTATGTGTTGTTTACTTCAGATACTGAGTACATTTAACTGACTCATGGTCAAACATATCCAGAAGGGATTTTGTTATCCTTCATAATTTACCAGAGCCCCTCTCCCCTAACCCATATCTTTGATTTCTAAGTCATAGTACAACTGTGATTGATAGTACTACTGTGAATTGAATGTATTTCCACAACTTAAGACCCAACTGAATGTTGAGTCTTTTAATTAGCTTCAACTTTTTTAGGACATCTTGGTCACACACCATACCCAGGACAATGACTCTACTGATTAATCTTTCAATCCTCCTTAAATCCAAGTTAATTTAGACACTATTGATCACTATTGGATATAACAAACATTAGATTACAAAACTGAAGTTATTCGTAAGAGAATAATTACTGACTTTTCTTTGCCACATGCCAAATTTTCCTACTCGTAATAACTTATTATTGCTGGAAACTTCAACTTTAAGTACAAGTTCAAGTCTCAAATCCAGCTTATTTATATATATTAAGTAATATATTAATAATATCAGTAACACCAATTTGGATATCAGGTAAATGTATTTCTGATATTCTGATGATAATTTCAACTACTTTGGTGTATGAAATTTCAGTTATTTTTGTCTGTGAGCATCAGAGGAGATGGGAAGTTCACCTCAGTTAAAAAACCCAAAGAATGGCAAGAGACCAGAAATGAAGCACTCAAACATTATATGTTACCAACGAGGGGGGGGTGAGGGGTGGGGTGGGGTGGGGGGCATAGAAAAGAAGGTCAAGAAAGATCGGAATATTATGTATCAAGTGCAAAGTTATAAATCAATACAATAGCTTCTTTCTTCAAACTTACTTTGCCACTGCAAAGAAAAACCAGCCATGTCATGTTATTTTGAACCATAATTGTATTCATGTTAACATGTTTATATTCAAACATATCATGTCAAAAGTTTTAAAAAACATTTATTTGAGACTTACTTGAAACACGAATTTGCCCTTTATGCTTGTTCTGATTGGGCATC